GTGGTTGCTCTTAACCTGTTGTGTCCTTGGACTCATCTCGGACCGCTCCATCCCACAAGCGTCACAACAGAGATAGTTGGCAGGATTGTGCAGAGTACAAGTGCTGCATGTCCAGCCTGGAGGCACTTTAGACCTCTCCGAACTACCACCAGGTCCCCTATGCGGGATTACTGATCCGCCTCCATTTCCAGTTGGATTGTCTGCCGTGGGAGCGATGTAAGAGTTGCCGTATTCGACAGATTTGTCTTCCTGCACTAGTTCCCACAGGGCTTGAGCTATGGCTGCATCGTTAGCCTCGTCTTCTTCGGCCTGTGTTCGAAAACCGTTCTTTGTGGCATTGTCTGAAATGTTGCGAATTTGAGTTTCGCTGAGGTTATCTGTGCCACAACCCTTGAGGATCCTGCTCCGCCGTTCGGCAGCATCCGCAATTACTCTCCGAATATCTTCACCTGGCCGAGGAGCAGAGCCCCCTAGACGTTTGCCTGATCCAGTACCGGGACGAGCTCGTCGCTTCTCTGCAGCCTCTCGTGCCACTCGACGAGCTTCAAGAGGTGGTATTCTTGAGCCTCCAAGACGCCGCCCCTCTGAAAGGAAGCCTTCTCCAGTGTAGCCTTTAAGAACCAGACCCTCGTGCTCATCTCTGAGTTGATCCCAAAGAGCATGAAACTTGGCATCGTGAGGGCCATGGACTATGTGTGACAGCTCGTGTAGCATTGTATCAACAACACTTTCGATGGGCATAAACTGGTTCTTATCTCCAGCATGTCGCAAACGAAGACATATCTTGGCTCCTCGGTTGATATTGAGTCCTATGAATTATATTTAACATGGTAGATGACCTGGAGAAGCTCATCTGGGACCTACCTAAAAGATTATGTTGTTCAGGATAGAACTCGGCCAACTCTCGGACTTTCCAGTTGCGCGCTCGCATTATAGGCTTCACAAGGGAAGCTACTTTCTTCAAGGTCTGCAGGGCATCGTTTGCTCTGGGAAGCTTGGCCAAGTGGCTATACGACAACACGAGCGCATCGTGTTCGGGCATGATGATGTCGTGCCTTTGTAGGGTAAGCTGTTTCACGATCGATGCAGGTGTTTCAGTGTGATAGAAGAAATGTCTTCATGAGCTAGGTATCATCTAGAATGCAACCTTGGTGTAATACAAAAGGATTCATCATATTCAGGAAGTAAATATTTTGGAGGAACTGCTGGAGGTCAATAGGCCACGTAAAGTTTAGGTGCCTTGGGCTTTATTGCCCCTGGGGCAAGTGATTGTATGAAACTTGAACAATTCGCAGTTACATACGCTGACGCAAGTCGTCTAGAAATTTCCGAGCTTCACTGACGTGACTGACTAATCACCACCACTTACATTCTTACGGCCGGGCATGGTTCTAGAAGTTCCTCACAATGATACACCGATATCGGTGTACTTTTAATACCACTAACAAGGTTTCTATCAAGATGCAGAGGCTTTTCTATTTGACGTTTCCCCATGCTACAGTTACTATCAGCTGTGGCTCATGGATCACAACTATTCAGGCTTCCTGGCTACGCCTCTGAGCCTCACATAAGATATCGTCTCCCCACCAGAAGGATTACGACAGACCTCCCTCAGTACCCCCACGCATTCCTGCACAGCTTCCTCCCTCTCCTTCTCATCTGAAATAGCATCTAAGAACTGACTTGCCATGAGTCTAATCCAGCCCTCAACACCGCCTTTGTCAGCTGGTGTTGGCCGCCATTCCCGCTCTGCCCGTTCAACAACGAAGCCTGCGTCTTGCAGCGCCTTTGTGACCCAAGCTTCGTCAGGGAAGAACCATGGATCAGCTGCAAGGGCGGCTTTCATACCGATGCGGCGGCCTACAGCACTAAGAGCAGCAGTTCGCATTTCAGAAACGTTGCCGAAACCGCCCATCTCGAAGACGAATGAACCACCAGGGGCCAGTGAAGCGTAAACACCCTTGAAGAACTGAGCACGAGTATCTTCTGGGCGGAGAATCCAGTGCATGGCTGCATTGGAGAAAACCTTGGTGAAAGCTCCTTTTTGTAATTCTGGCTTGGAGACGAGCTGCGTAGCGTCCAGGACTACAAATGGTCAATAAATCAAGGATGAGCAATTAGGTTGGTTGGCTTACCATCAAAGGTAGAGTTCTGAGAATCTTTGCACAGTTCTCTGGCAGCTTCAATCATGGAAGCTGAACTATCAACGCCATGCATTGAGCCGCTTCCCTGTGCCAAGATCTTTGCGAACTCGGCATTCAAGATGCCATCTAGACGATCAGTCTCAGGTCTGTGGTCCAACTTAGGACTCAAGTACATACCTCCACATCCGATATCAAGAAGGACATCATCTTTCTGTAAATCAAGCCATTGAACAACTTTTGTTGCCAGCTTAGGGACAAAAGAAGCTGAGTGCTGATAAGCCTGGATTTGGTGTAAGTGTGAAGCTCCCTCAACGACAAAGCATACGCACGTTGGTAGACCATCTATCTTTCTGTTCGGCCATCGTTGCGATTGAGAAGTATGTGGATTGGATGAATGAATACAAGAGAATAAAACAAGAGGATTTACGGCCTCTTTATACCTGGATTGCTTACATTGGAATAATCATGAACACTGCCTACCGTGCCGGAGCTACCGCCGAGATCGGAGCACTCCAGGTTGGAACCCCAAGAACGTGCATGATAATCGGATTTAGAAGTTTAAGGATTGGTGCTGCGCCTTTGCGGACTTAGGCACGGAAATTGTGTCTTTTATTTCTTATTCGACGACTATACAAGGCTTTGTTAGAAAATGTGGATTCCAATACTTACTTGTTTCTATCGTGATCCGAGTTGGACTCGGTAGTCTCATGAGATACCATTTTCTTTCTCCATGTTTGGTACCCCGCGGTGGGGTTGCATTCATGGCCTGTCACTTACACGGTTGTGTTTCATTGAGACAAAGGCGTGCCTCAAAAGTATTACACTGTGTCCTATCAGATCATGCCTGTAAACTGATGCATACCACGTCGGAAGGCCAAATGAAAAGACCCTGTTTATGATGAAGAAAGGTTGTTGATGGAGGTGTCTCTGAATATGGAGAATGTCAAAATCGGTTATACTGATGGTTCTCTCCATCTTTCTTCTATCCCTATCAGCCAACCTTTTCTCCTCTAATCGTAGTATGAGATCCTCTGTAGGGGAGGCAAGAAAACTTAGGACCTCTCTACCCTAAGTAACAAGCAGACTTAGGTAATTTTAGTATATCTTAACGTCAGAAGTTTTCTTGCTCTCCGGGGACTCTCAATTGCTGATAGTATGGGACTTGCTGTGAGATTAGAAACACTGTTATTGATGGCTTGGATTTCGCGTACCTAGTTCGAGTAATCCTCGGCGTGACACGGGAGCGCACCTTGAATCTTCGTGGAATACTAACATGCTTCAAGTCTCCTTCACATCGTCACTTGAACAATTCAATCACTGTTCATCTCGCAGGCTGTAGTGTATTCGTCTGCCATTGTTCATACTCTAGCTGCAATTATGATGGGGGTGAACAATCCCCGAACATCTCTTGTTCACAAGGGCAATTCGTCTATAAGTTCCATCCAACACAGACAATTTCAGATTTGTCCATCCTACAACACATTGACAATATTGACGAATTCGATAACCCAATAAATCCCGAGTCCCTTGCAGAAAAGAAGAAAAAAACAGAAAAAGAACATAGATCATCATGTGTCGCGAACACGTCGCTTTATGCCCCGAATGTTGGGCCACAGTCACCCTTGAATGGAAGCATTGCGGACCTTATATTAACGCAGATCCAGTAGCAGTTCGCAGTGACAGTGGTCATCTGATCCATCCTGTCGCATAATTTGTGTCTCACGATCTTGGAGTCGTTCAGGAGGTTTGCGGCTCACTAACACCAGAGACTTGTCTGAGCGAAAGCTGCCCCAGCAAGACTCCAGCTGGGAACAGAGAGAGCTCTGAAAGTCGAGCTTTAAGAGATGAGAGGTAAGATACGAGCAATGTAGAAGGACCCTATTGGATCTGCTGTCAATATTCACCTTCATATTGCTGTTGTGCTTCTCCATCTGTCACATACGACCACAGCTCGTGGAGAATACGGGGTCCCGTCTGCTCCCCCAGAGTCAAGCCGCGAAGCGCCGGATTAGTAGTTGGGTCGGTGACGACCAGCGAATACCTGGTGTTGTATGTTTTCTTTTGTTTATTCATTATCTTTTTGGCGGTTTGAAGCTGTACCATGGTAGTTAGATTTTGTTGTCTTAAGTCAGTTGCCCATCATCGACAGATACTCAGAAATAATAGACACTCAGAAACAATAATTGAGCTAAAGGACAACCTGACACTTTTACAGGATTCTACTGGAGTATTCAATTACATTTTGTTCCATTGTACGTAGTCCAAATCTTGGATAGGAGCAAGTGACTGCATGTTCTCCAGCGAATCACGTCTCTGTCCTCACATAGCAACTCGCTACCACTGCCACTGCTGCTGATTGCTACTCATTGCTCAGTGTGCCACTGTTTTTTCAAGTCTCAGTTGTTCATTTTACAGTGTTCGTTGCCTAACATTCCAGCCCTCTTCTCTCTTAGAATGCCAGTTCCCAAACCCTTCCCCTTCCTTACACATACCCTCCAGGCATCAACAACTTGTCCATACCTGAAACACAGTTGTTACCGCAATACTTCAGCACGAACTCCTAGAAACCAGAAGAAAAAAATCACCAAAGAAATGTGTCAAGAGATCGTCCCACAATGCTGCCATTGTGGTGACAATCTTGGTATCTATATCATACCTTGTTACAGCTGGTACGTCTCGGCACAAGTGGCTGACCGCGAGCGACGGGATATCCCGCAAGCATGGAACTGTAAGTATCGTACCAAAGAGTTCCAGCCTATGCTCACAGGCTGTTCCAATAATGACATCTGCCTCTCGTGGTTTGGAAACATCCTCGGGGGTTTTGGGAACGCCCGGAATGAGGGCCCTGTGATCAGAATGGCCCGTGACTTTGTCGCTCATGAGAAGTTGAAGGAATGGGAGGCTCAATTTTCTCGTGAGTATTTTGAGAAGAAGCCTATTCCTCCTCGCAAGAAGCCTGAGGGATTTATGTTCTTGATTCGCCAAGATATGATGGGAGACCTTGAATCTGTCACGTCTATTGACAGTCTCGAGTCTGCAGATACAGACTATGGAGAAGGGAGTAATCAACATAGCCATGAAGATAGTTATGATGCTGACAGCGAGAACTCAACTCAAGACAACAAAAATTTCAGCGATGACGCCTCCAACGAGACCTCTCAGGTTGACCCCGAAGATTTGTTCTACGGTGATGCCACCGAGGGTACCCCTGATGTTGAAATTCCTGAACGCAAACTCGTTCGAGCGTATGACGAGCCGGCAGCCCCTATCTTGAACTTGTTCTTCCCTATGATGGACCTGGGACGTGATGGTGATTTTGTTGAATAAGAGGAGTTCCTGGGAACGACATTTGGGTATATCTTTGCAGGACAGACACCTGGGCTTCCCTGGTGGAAGAATGAAGGTACCCAACTGGCATTGAATGTAGAGTATCTGGCGTTTCGGTGATGAGACCATAGAGCTTTTTTGTAACTGTAGCACAGCAACAAATTGATAACCCTGATTTCTACACAGATATTATTGCCTAACTGAAAGTATTTGTGATGCAAGCTACCTTCCCACTCATGTGAAGCCTAAGTGTCATCCTTACTCAAACCATCAACAATCCTCCTCAGTCGGTAAAATGCAGTCATATTGAAACAGTATATTGATTAAACACGTCTGTCTATCGAGAAAACGCCGTTCCATGTGCCAAACCTAACTTTAGGATATTCTTCATCACTCTCACGCCGACTTTTTCACCCTCTTGCTCTTCTTCTTCTTCTCGCCAAATGCCTCCTCATAGACCTCAGCCGCTGTCTGGCCGCCGGCCTTTCTCTTTTGCTTGGCTGACTTTACGCTGACCACGGGGTTTGACTTGCCCTGCTTTGTCGCACTCAGTACCTGTTTTTCCGCCTCTTCCCAAGCAGGAGTATCTCCCTCAATCTCATATCTATTCTTTGTTAGCAGATGTCCTTGCATGTGTATCTCAATGTAGCTTACTGGTCAAGTGGCAAAGAGTCAATGAGCTCTCTTTGCTTCTTCTTGAGCTCCCTCATTGCTTCATCACCACCCTCCTCAAGTTCGTCGTCCAATGTTGTAGCTAGAGGAACGTAACGCTCATCGACGATCTCATCGTCATGTGCGCCACTAGCATTCTCGCGACTCACACCAAGACGCTCAACCTTGGGAAGTTCTGCGCCGACAGCATCGGAGACAAGACCGGCGAAGTGTTTAGTAACCTTTCGCATCATCTTAATGAACATGGCAAGGGCTTGAGAGGTGGACATGTTGATCTCCTGGGCAACCACATCGATATCTTTGCGCTGCAGACCAAGAGCCAGCATGACGGCCTGCTGGACCCCTGATAAAGTAACGTCTCCCTTGATGCGTCCTGTGAAGTAGAGGTGGGCGATGGTTGGAACAAGATCGAGAACAACGTGGTAGTCAAGCATGTTGTTGGCATATGACTCGAGTCGCTTCAGGTCGAAAGGGCTCATATAGATATCAAGATCAGTCTTGGTCAATGGTTGAACTTCAACTGAGTCCAGTTGCGCTCCCAACTTGGCGGCCTCGTCAATACTAAGGGCAGTGATAGGAGTGAATGTGCGGAACTGGTAAGACAGGAGGGACAGGAAACGCTTCTGGAAATCTCTGGAGAAAGCCCCGAGCCAGCTTCGGTCCTCACTGTTCTCAAGCGGCCGCAGCATGACACAGGTATGCTCGCCAGTCAGATCGTTGGCAGTCTGTCTTAAGTAGACGGGCGCGAACGAGGCCTTCTTCCAGAATTTGTGAAGAGGTTGAGTCAATCCGTAGCTAACACCAACATAGTCGAGTCGCTCGGGTTTCTTCTCTGACAGCTTGGCGAACAAGGGAGGCATCTTATTGATATCCCGAACCTTGATGTCATCGTCGAGCAAGTTGGCGTTGGCGAGCTCGGCATCAGTAACTCGAGTCATTGTCTCCTCCATAATCTGATCCTCGTCCTCAGACAGATTGGCGAAGCGCCCCTCGTAGTAGTCAACGAGCAGTTCCAAAGCCTTGGAACCGTATCCCATTGAAACATACTCAGGGTTTGTGGCAATACGAACAACTCGAGCACCAGATAGGGAAGCAAATTCCTCATCTTGGAACTGCTGGCTGACAAGCCAAGGAATGAGATCACCAGACGGTCGCTGTCCTCGGCTCAGACTGTTAAGGACGCTCTGCCTGCTGATCTTTCCTTCCAACGAAACCTGAATGACACACAGAGGCTCGGGTAGTCTGGCGCTGTCCTCAGAAACAGGAGGAACAAGAACGAAGAGCTCGTGTGCGGGGGCATCACTCATGAGTTGAAGGTCGTCTGGTGAGTTCTTGTAGTGACTAGCTACATACAACGCAACCATTTGCTGAAGGAACTTCTCGGACACAGGGTGGAAGGAGAATAAAGTATCTCGGTTGACGTTCAAGAGCTGACATTGTGTAGGGTCGGGGCATCCGTTGATATTCGACTTAGCCTTGGGCAGAGTCGCGTCGAGGCAGAGAACCGTGTTGAGCCACTTCTCGACAGCATCCCCCTGAGCATATCGAATAGGCTCAGACAAGGTGATCTCTCGCAGCTTTCGTCCCGCCTGGAACTCCTCAGTCTTTGAGGTCTTACCAGTTGATCGATCAGTGATCTCCATGCCCTCGCCAGCTGTGGAAGCAGTGCGCGATTGGTCTCGCAACTGTTTGATGAGCTTGAGAGAAAGAGATCGACCTGTACCCTCATAGCCGTTGATGGTAGAGGCCATGAAGACAAGATAAGGACCCATGAGCTTCTTCACAAGAGGCAGAGGAATAGCCGCAGCCTCATCAATAACCACCAACTCGGCCTGCCCCAACACGTGTGCATCTTGAGGTCGAATGTACTGAATAGTCTGTCTGTGTTGTCGGTGAATGTTGACTCGAACAATGGCCTTGTTGAAGTCGGGGTTTGTACTCTGAATAATAGAGTAATCGGCGTGGTCAGCATAGCCCAACTCGTCAAACCCCTTGAAGACAAACTCAAACAGAGTCTTCAAGTTCTCAGGCGAAGGGGAGGTAATGAAAATGTTGCTGTATCCATACGCAACAGCAGCTGCGACAGCGACACCCATTGCCGCAGACTTTCCACGACCACGAGCAGCAGTAAGAGTGACCGTACTCCGTAGGGTTTTCTCAGCGATGGCATCTGTGAATGTGATAAGAGCCTTGGCCTGGTCAACAGTCTTGGCGAGAGAAATAAGAGGTCCTACGGGCTGTCGTCCCTCGTTCTGCTCCTTCATGGCCTCAAGCTCAATTTGCGACTCTGTCTTGGGATTGTCGAGGTCTGGAGGAGGAAGCTTCTTCACACCCTTTCCACCTGAGATAGGGAGAACGTTCATCTCATCATCGATAACCAAGCAAGAGTTGCAGCTTCCCAGAGAGAGAATAAATCGCTCGTTGAAACGCGCCACGACATCGTCGTGGGCCTCTGTCCTATAACGCGAGTGGACATCCATTGACAGGCTGTAAAGCTGCTTCAAACTGTTCATGCCCTTGAGGAGCAGAACAACCAATCCACCACCCTCGACAGTTTCGATCGTTCGGGCAAGAATGTTGGGGGTAATAGCCTCGAAGTCCTGGAGAATACACATGCCGAAGGTCTGACCTAGGATCTTGTCGGTCTCCTTATAGTAGGTATATCGGATGTTGTGTAGCGATACGAACAGCTCGAAGGGGTCCTCGGTATTGGCTTCTCGAATTCCTCGCTTGATCTCCTTCTTGATCTTTTGCTCGCGCTTCTTTCGGTGACTGTATAGCTTGGGTTAGCTGCGTCGCATCGAGGGAAGAGATTGTCAAGATCTACTAACCTGGTGAAGCCCAAGAGCTTGTTCTTGTAAGCCCAAAGAACTGATTTGTTCTGCTTGATATCAAACTGGGACATGATATAATGCAGACGCACTATCACGTCCTTCGACCTGTCTCCCACCACGACGAAGAAGCTTCTCTTCTTTTCTTGCAGGCCATTTTGAATGAGCGCTGGAATGCGCGAGTCACTATACCGATGTCAGTTGAAGGGATTCAGAGCCATACCATAGCATTAACACTTACACCGCCTTGCGCTGCATCTTTTCAGATTTTTCTTCAGACCAATTGTTCTGAAAATACGCTGGCGCAAATGCGATCTCGTTTTCGAGGTGGGACCCAGCGTCTCAAAAATCCAAAATTTTGGCGGTCGATAAGTTTCTGCCGGGCGGTGAACTTCGGTAAGATACTTTGGAGTGGGGCCTCCACCGAACCTAGCTTCAGTCACCGAGAACTCCAGAGGTTGAGTATAGTGGCGCTCAGTCTTTAAGAGCCGCGGATGAACATTGTTTATAGTCTGAGGAACGAGAATGTAAAATAGCCACTGTTGATTGACTCTATGACTCATGAGATGCTTCTTCGATCCATTGGAGGCTTTCGATATGCGCTACAGACTCTTACTGCATTACCAACACTAAGTCATACATATTCTTAACCTATCAGTCACAACACATGAGCTTTTAATATCAAAATCGACTTCACTTGAACCCAAATTATGTCTGAGGACCAACAGGTGAATTGTACAGCTATTTATACATGATTCGCGTATCTGAGACTGAGGTCACCACGGAAGATATCTCAACTCATTTGAAAACGATGATTGTTACCTGCGCGAGTCTATGGAAACATAAGAAAAGTCTCAAAGCGCAATGCCACAGTCCAAACTCAATGTGAGAGAGCTTCTTCTCCAATGCCCAGACACCACGAATGAAAAATGTCCTTCGATATGCCCCGTATGCGAGAGATCAAAAAGAGGAACATGACTCGAACAACCAGGGAAATATGTACATATGTCTAAGTTCGATCCAACTTGCGGCGCAGGACTCGCGTCCTCTTCATAAGCTTCTTATACTTCTTCTTTTTCATCCTGAGCTTTCGTTGTCGCTTCACGCTGATGGCGTGCATGTCTCGGCGGCCCTGGGCCTCGTTGAACTTGAGCTGGCGAAGAGCCAGACGCTCGAGGAAGCTTCGCGGTTGGTTGTCCTGCACAATCTGAGGGCTGTGGGCCATGATACGGACTTGGCCATCCGGATCGATGGACTCCTCGATGGTGAAAAGAGCCTTGTACATCCGGTGTTGGGGAACGTCCTCGGCGGCTTCGATATCGGCAACGGCACTATCTGCCTGACCAGCAGCCTGGGGTTGAGGCAGAGGTGGAGGCCGGAAAGGCAGGAATTCACCTGACATGGTGTCGATCTGGAGGTACATGCTGGACTCGGTACCATCGGGGTTCTTGATATCAACCTTGTGCATTCCTTCCTGGCCCTCGTGTCCACCAATGGTCATCTGAGCCATAGGCCCTTCCAACTGTTCGATAGCGCTGGAGAGAGTTGAATCTGTATCGGCCATCTTGTTGTTTCTGGTTCGGGAGGCAAAGATGGAGGCGAAGTGCTCATCGGTAACCGCTCGGGGCATGGTCTGAGTAACCGAGATGGGCCTGTGTAGTGAGAAGAAACTTGATAGTCCCAGAGCTGCGACAATTAGCAACCGTCTCCCCTATCAGCGATGTATATCCAAAGCTTTACCTTCTTGTGACATGTGATGCGTGTTGGGAACGCTTGGCAACTTTCTCATAGAAGCCGCTCGATCGGAAGCATCCTTGTTGCTCTTTCGCTTTCGCTTCTCATTGCCAGACTTGGGTGATGTAGCAGCAGGCACCGACTGGCCAGCTGAGATCTCGTTGGCACCGTTATCAGATTTCGAAGGTTTTGAAGAAGAACATCGTCGCTGCTGATTTCGAACAAAGACGGGAGTGGTCTTTGAAGTGGCTGAGGCGAGGACGGAAATGACACCGGTCTGAGGGGTCGAGGAGACGGCTGAGGAGACGACTCGGCGCATAGATGAAGGCAACATGATGTGTTACCAGGCGCTGAGGGGCCGCTGCGTGAGAGAGAGGAGGAGAGGGAGGTTTTGAGGGTCAGGATGAGTTCCTGATGTTGTTCGGTTCTATCTACAAAACCCGGATTTGGCCGCTTGGGAAAAGGCTGCGCTGCGATGGGCCAACGTTCTGACGCTAACTATTTGTGGCCTAAGGCAGCGATAACGACTTCGATGAGTTGAGGACATAAAAAGCATCACATTCAAAGACTAGGCAGAGAACCAAAATAGGAGAACCTGTGGTATATATATATCAGCAATTGTCTGGGTTCATTAATTATAAGCTAAGTATACAGTGATCTTTCTCCTACTCTCTTTTTGACTAAGCAAATCATTCATGTGACCCATTCAAGCCAACTCATGAGATGTTCACGATCTAGTTTGTACCATGTTTTTGTCTACCAGCCTATCACTGTCCTAAACATGGAACATACCCCAACCAATGCACCCAGTTTCATCACGGGGCTTCTCCGCAGTTTCGACAGGGCAGCATCTGTAGTGACTCAAAATGGCGGAAACCGTAAAGCTACGGCGGCTATCATGGCCTTTACCCCTCTGAGTTCGATCAACTTCCGATGGACACCTCGGAGATCGATTCCCGCTTTATCATGAGGCTTGGCAACCCACCTCGTGCTCGTAAGATAACTCGAATGAGACCCAATGTTTATCATGAAAGCCAAATGGCCATATGGTTTGAGTGGCTTATTATACAGAGGTTCAGTGTCTATCGAAACATGATACAGATCCTGTGAGATTGCTGCTTGTTTTTCTTTCCTCGTCACCATGTACTCCCCGACCCATGAAACAAATCCATATAATTCTCGAAAGGAACATCAATCCATCGTGAATACAGAAACACTTCTATATCTATGTGAAAAGAACTGGCAGGCAACCTGCGAAGCATGGAGTGTTTCTTACTGGGAGTTGACCCAGCTCAGGTAAGAGTTCCAGCCAATCGCTATGATATTGGCAAAGAACAGACGGTATTGCAAGGGAATGAGGGAGAAGTTGATGACCTGGACGGCAGGCCAGAGCATCCAGTTGGCCTTCAGGGCTGGCCACCAAGCCTTGTCGATTCGTTCCTGTGCACTCTTCCCCTCCATTGTGGCCATGCTGCCAAGGAATACACCTATCATGACAGGTGCAAAACCAAGCTGATCGCAGGCGACCCGAGTGAGGACCTCCGCCTTCTTGTTCCCCGGCACGTTGACCCTGCGTGCGAGGAAAGCGAACCATGTTGTAGCAACCGGACCGAACACAACTGTAAAATGTCAACGATTGTCGAGATGTTGGGTTCAAGATTGGAGGAACTCACAGCCACCGTAGAGAGCCATTCGACCTGTTCGGACTAGATCATGCTTCTCAACGCCTTTCTTTTCAACGAGCTGCTGAGCTGTGACATCGCCTGTAGCAAAGAGAAATGCAGTAGTAACGCTCTGAGTGAGCAGTGGACGCGCAGCCAACCTGGCGTTATACCTGACCATATATCAGTATGGAGTTGCTAATTGACAAAGTCTTTTCGACTAACCAACGAATGAAAGAAGCCATGGTTGCTTTCGAGAACTGGTTCGGGCGTAGTCGAAGTTTAATAGTCCCTCGGAGTAAAGATTTTCGAAAACCCAAGATGTTGGTAACAAGCCACAACGTTGAATGGGGCAGATAGTGCGTGTTTGGGCGAGTCGGGTTAGGAGAACAGCTGGTTGTAGAAGAAAGGTTCAGGGATTAGGAGGAGTGAGAAATGAAAGCAAATTTCTTATGAAAGTTGGGTTTTCATAAACAAAGTAGAGAAACTCAATGCTATGCAGATGCGCGTTAAAATTACAGCTTCAGATTCAAGAAAAGGTAATCGAAGCTGTAGTGGGCATGACGTAGCCTTAGCAAGTGCGCTGTGATAGAGGCTGGCTCGTGGTATTTAGCCTCAAACTCACAACCACCATCAGAAGCTGGACCGCGACCTGCCCGGGGTTCCAGACTTTTTGTGTCCCACTGCGGGAGCTGGCGATCTTCTAGGGGCACGCTCCGATAAGGACGCAGTGGGGGTTACATGCACACCGATAGCTGATTGTGGAATGATGTCTCGCAATTTATCGCTATAACGGTATATATATGCATGGGCTTGCTGTCCCGGAATGACAGGAAATGCGGAGCTGCCAGTTGAGGTTAAGGTTACCCCAAGAAGCTAGGATATGGCCTGGTCAAAGAGGCTTGAAATAATAAATAAAGATCCAATTGAGTTATCGCTGATTGGAGTCGTAGAGTTTGAGGGCCCAGAGCTACAGTGGAGAATGCACTTGGATATATCACAGGTCTGTATACGATAGCACTGCCAGACGAGCCTGCGGTCTGCATAAGGTTGAATCTAGAGCCCTCGTTGAAAGTCGAAATGTCTCAGTATTGCTAATTACACTTGATAAAAGGTGTTCAACTAATGTTGGTAGCTATATCGCTGGGATACGGTGCCATTCAAGAATCAATTTGATACAGTCTAGCTGATACCACGACTCCAGTCTGCTCATCTGACCCAGCTGATCCATCTCAGTCTCATAAGAATATTCTACCATTCATCCATCATGAGGCGCTCCATGGAGACGCGGGTTCATCTCGCGATGGAGGGGTATTTGTCCTGTTCCTACGATTGTTCTTCTTCCTGACATCGACAACCTCCGGCTGCGCCTCGGCCTCCTGCGCTGCACTCTCAGCACGCTGTAGCGTCTCCTCGGTCTCATCATCGTGATACCTGTTCTCTTCATCCACAAATAATGCCGAATAATCTCCATGCCGTCGCTCTCGTAGACGATCAAGCCATGGTAGCTCTGGGAAGTCTGGGCGAAGTCGATGGTCACAATGTGGGCAGTCAGGAGGTAGAGTGCGCCAAGCGAGCCATTGTACGATACTGTGGACAGCAAGACCCGTGTAGAATGACTCCAGAGCGATAAGAAGGTGAATGACACTGAAGTCCTTGTTAGTTTGTATGCAAAACAATGTACTTCTGAATGGGGGACTCTTACAAGTTGACGAGAAGGGGAATAGTGGCATAAGCTGCCAGCATACTCAACGACGCCAACTGGCCTTTCGAAATCCATGTAAAGACCAACACGATCATACAAGCTGCCGCTAGTACCACATCAAAAGCAAAGGCCATCACAGGGTGTGAGAGCTTGTGCGCAAGTCCATCGTCTCGTTCTCGTCGGCGGAGGAGGAACAAGCTTCCACCAGAAGAAAATGCAAGCGGAACAAGACCGACCGCAGGAGCTGCGTCGTTTGACAGAACTCCGTGAGCAATGCAGAGGGGAAATGCGGGGAGAAATGAGGCGATCGCGACTAAGCGAAGGGTCCTGTGTGAAGCAGGCGGCCGGTGGTGAGCCATGGAATCAGCCTCTGAAGGGGTGTCACTGGGCATTTCGAGACGGTTTATGATGGACAAAGAGACCCAGCTGCAAAAGGAGAGATGAGCCAAATTGCTCTTGCAAGAAGATGAATTATCTCTGTGGTAGTATTTGCAAAGCGGCAGGAAGGGACTCGTGATTAGACCCTTGTAAGTGAGGCCTGGCACTATCAGGTGGCCTGACCAATGGTGAAAGGACAAAAGATAGCATAGCTGCTTGAGCGTAGCAATTGGTTCCTGCAAGCCTAACTGTAGAAGACCTTCAGGTAAACTCAAACTCGAGTGTTGTTATTCAAGAACAAGAAATAGTGTTATCAATAGATTCATTGCTGTGTTGATCTCCCTTGTCATCATGGAAAACGAATGACTTGCTGCCAAGTCAGATACGCATTGGGGCTTTATTACACCTAGCAGGGCCGAGACTACTGTTCACTCTCTCAGGAGGAATAATAAAATTTAATGATAAATCATTGCTATCATTACGGCATTGCTGTGCACGTCCAAACAACATAAGCATCATACAATTCAGCAACCCCTCCAACTGTCCAGCTGTATCGTCGATGAATCCCTGGTTTTAATCATCCCTAAGCCCCAACATCCCGTCTGAGAACGAGTACAAGCAAATAAGAGATACCCCCAAAACGCCTAGAGAACCCTATGTATATAGCACTCTCCTTAGGTATCATGCTTCCATGCAGTAAATTTGCGACAGGAGCTCAACGGAGAGTAAAGAAAGCCGAAGCATACCAAGTGCTTGTCAAGAAAGAGAAAAAAAGATGAAGGACACTCAAGAGCTCTTAGTCTTCTTGCGGCCCGACTTCTTAGGCTCCTCCTGGGGCTCGGCAGCGGCAGCCTTGGTAGATGTGCGTCGTCGCTTCTTGTCAGGGCTAGCAGGGGCAGGCTTGGCTTCCTCAGCGGCGGCAGCTGGTGTGGCTGTCTTGCGCTTACGGCCACCAGCGGCCTTCTTGGGGGTCTTAGCAGGGGTCTCAGCTTGCTCAGGCTCGTCAATAGCGGGAGCCGCAGCCACAGCTTGGAGCTGTTCAGCAATGGCATCCTGATCGGCAGGTGCTTCGTTCTGAGCAGCGTCCTTGATCTCAGACATGGGGACGTTGAAGTCCTCGGCGTACTTCAAGGCCTCCTCGTCAGTCATGTTCTTGGCCAGAGGGTTACCGTGCTTGTAAGAATGAACACGGGCATTGTACAGGCGGAGGTTGTACTGATAAGCATTGTTCCAGCCCTAGGATGAAGTTAGTGGCAACTCTAACAGGAGTCAATATTTAACGTAGCGCGGCTTACCTGTTTCTCTTGGGGACCCATGTGAGCCCAACGACGTTGGCCTTCCTCTTGAACGGCACCCTTAGGGGCTTCGGAACCAAGGTCATTGGCGATGATGGAGCGAGCATGCTGCATGTAGAGGAAGTAAGGAGTTAAGGGACGCTTGGGCGCGTTAGGGTCAATAGTTCGCTTCTTGCGCTCCTTCTTTTCCTCGACAGGAGGAGCCAGCTCAGGAATGGGCATGATCAGCTGCTGAGCAGCATGCTCGAAGTTGGCGAGGATGTTGTCCTGCGAGCCTTCGGCAGTCGGCTCACCAAGCAAGAGATTTGTCTGACGAACATAGTCGGCAGTAAAAGATCGGAGAAGATCAAGAATAGTAGTCAATCGCCCAACAGCCTGCAAGGTAATGTTAGTAATGTGTCCTTTGTGTTTCTCGAGGACTAGAAGTGACAGTGATCAAAGGTCGAGTGTAAGTGGGTGGGGAGCTTGAGTGGATACAAGAACGCGGTGGCCATGGCTCTTTAGACTTCGTAAAAGACATTGACTTGTCAACAACCAAGTCAGAGCGCGTCCCTGATTTATAAAGGCATAGCGCAGTATGAAGCAAGGTCGACAAGGAAGTAAATCTCCCAAGATGGTCTGGTTGTGGCCTTAATACGGTGACCACTCCAGGTGTCGCGTTCTGCCAGAAGCCATGGAAGACTCTACCGACTTGATCAAGGGATGCACCGTGGCATGGGTGGGTGGTGTGGTTGGTGCCTGGGTCGTAGTGTCCGACCAAGGATGAAAGACAAGATGAAATGGTGTGAACCTACCGAATCTCTCACACGCAGAAAGCTGTCTGCCTCAACGACGCGTTGAGGCATAACAGCCTGAGGTGGAGGCATGGGCATGGGCATCGCAGGCTGAGGAACAGCGGCAATGGGCTGCGGGTGCTGCGGGTATTGCTGAATGTGTTGAGGAGGGATAGGAACAGGAGCAGGCTGTTGCTGTTGCTGCTGCTTCTCAACAGCTGACTTCTTGGGGCGAGCCATGATGATTCTGGTGATGATACTGGGGATAATGGGTTATGTTGTTATTTGAGCTTCTGGTGCCTTTCACCTGAAGTTTTGCGCCGACGATTTGATGGGACGCGTTGAATGAGTAGTGGGACGCGATGCGCTGTTCTGTTACTGCAATGGAGTGTCAAAGCGTGCAAATCCGGGTGGTTTTGGCGCGTTGAGGGGAATGGAAATCCAGTGATTCACTGAGAAGTGCTGGAAAATGAGGGTGCTGGGAGTACTGAAGAACGGGGGAGAAAGAGAAAACGGGCGCGGGGTGGGCGATGCGCTGAATATGTAGGGGTCAGCACCAAGCGCAATCAGTAAATGGCTCTCCAGGCGGGGGCGCAAAAAAATGGCAGCGCCTAAGAAAAATAAAAATCAGCGCCCGCCTTCCTACCCGAAAAAAAGGGAAAAGCTGCAGCAGGCGCGCATTCTTAGTGGTCAACCACTCGAGTGACCCTCCAAGTCCAGTACCCGGAGCACAATGGCGAAAATTTCATCACCTCAGGGCGGGGGCCTTGAAAACGGGGCTCGAGGGATTGAAGTCGATTTTCTCTTGGGACTACAGCAGTACCCACGGGCTGTCCTCGATATTCCCGCGGCACCCGATACCTCTGAAGCTCAGTGGCCTCTTGCAGCTGTCAGTAGCCTCACCAGACTCCCCCCTAAGTCGTCAGCTACCTCCCCGTACTTCCCGCTCTCATTCAAATAAGGCAACCCAGCCCATCCACGCCTTCCATTTCTAAGGGCATAATGGCCACCACTGTAGCACCTGCCTAATAATTGTAACGGCAGATACAAGTGCCCGCACTGATAGAACAGAATGCAAGAGCGATTCAACACAACAACATCGGTGCCTTACTCGTGACAAGCCTCCATGACTGAACCCAAACGCTCCAAGTTGGGATCTTTTCGCGTCCATCACTCTTCTCTCACTCATATAAAACCAAAACACAACAAACGCAAGCCCCCGACGCGCAAACGTTAACAAGGCCAGGTGAACTTTTGCGCGGGCAGCGCTGACTGGTCAATCAGCCAGTCGCAGCGAGGGAACAAATTGCCCGCCCACGCTCAGTCGTGCAGCCTTTTGGGTGCTACTGATGCAAGTGCGGAATTCACAATGTTGTATGTATCGCGACTGTACTCGTCTAATATTTTTCAGTATTGGGCTTCAGAATCAGGGAAGCTCCCTAGGTCTTTCCTTCGTTGAGGGTGTTGTCATCGTGATACTACAGATGTTGGCTGCTTGTGCATCGCAAATTCGTTGTCAATTTCGACTTACACCTGCGTTGAGGGCCCTCGCAATTACAATCCTCAGAGCTGTGATATTTCAGCGATACCAACGAAGGACTCCTTCAGCGGCTTTTCTAGCGCTTTACGTGAACCCTTCTCAGGGCATGCTGAAGCGATGTGTCACTGTCACACCCTACGGAGTGTGTTGCCCTCCACTCACCGCTTCTCAAAACCCAATCCGACGGTGCCGTCACTGGAAAGCTGCTGAGGACGCTGGACATATGTCCAGGCGGGGTCATTCCAGCACCTTCACCCTTGACCTGTATATTTCAGCACGGTGCACCCAGGGGCACATGGATGGAATGACGACCACCACTACGGGCGGCTCAAGGTTCGAGCCTCTTTTTCAGGCACTTGGCGCCCCCCCGACGTCTCGCTGTGCGACAGAACCCTCGCAACTCTCAGCAGAGCCCAACCCCAACCGGGCCACAGTCTTCCCATTCCACCCAAGTCACCTGAAGCAGGGTGAGGTTGATTGTTTGCTCGCGTCAAGTCCCATCTTGTGCCCTGAGCTTTCTACTCTGGTTTATAACGTTATTGTTGGTTGGAGTGCTGAGGTCCTGATTTTATCAGCAGGGCTTCAGCACATCCAGGCAAGTTTACCTTCAGTGCTCTCTATTTCCGTATCACAGCCCAGTATTTTCGCCTTACAGCGCGGTCGTGAAAGTCCCCAAGCCGCCATCAGATGATTTCAACAGCACCTAGCATCCTGTGAAGAGAACTGTTATGATAGCCAGCCTTTGCCTGTAGTTCCCAATCTTCCGAATACGTGTAGCATCAGATTCTCATCCACCTGGACGCTGATAAGACTGCATCACGTAGTCCCATAACACTAATTATTAGCTTCTACTGTACTCTCATCACTGGAATCTAACGTCAGATCTTCAGGCGATGCGAAACAACCATCTCATCTCATTGATCTTCATCACTTGGTATTTCGCCCACTATCTTGGTCTCTTGAGCCCAGATTGAAACACCTTGATGGTTCTAATCTACTCTTTGATGCCGTGTAAACTCTTTAACCTTGACAGACACCTCGACCCCGCACAGCCATGGACCGTATATAAAGGCATAGGTATGACATGTCTTTACCGAAAGGCCATTTCCTTAAGACTGATCCTGTTGTTCATATGGCAGCCCATACCGCCAGTAGCCCCATGTTCATTCAGAATATTGTTTCGTTGCCTGACTACACCAAACATCCTGTGAACAAAACCACCTGGTGATTAGCACATCAAACGCGAGCAAACGCGATAGCTTTTGTGTCCTGAGTCAACAACATACGTCGATACAAGGTTCATTCTTCATGCGCATAGTACTCAAACTTGGCAGTGAGATCATTGCTTAGTATGTCTCCCGCGTCTTATCAAATAGTTATACTTGTGTCTGGTGTCTATCGCCGATAGAAGTTACTGTTCTCTCTTGTCGCATCTGCGTCCAGCAACCAGACGCGATGAGGGGTAGAACGGCCCCTCTATGTCACCGAAAGAAAACCAGCAGATGGCTTGACGGATTCTTGTCACATGTGCTACGATAAGGTAAGTATTGGATCTTCAAAAGATGGTCATGATAACCAGGACCCTTTCTGATGTCTTCTGATCAAGCTACATTCGGCTTATCTCAACCATTACCAGTGCAAAAGCTAATGTTTGATCAGTGATCAACTGCGTTATTCCTTCAGCCACGCGCCCTCTTAAGCTTGATTCGACGACAGTCCATGGTCCCGTCGGCTCGTGTTACAGACCCCTGCTACTGATGACAATGGAGGGGTGAGATACTTGATTTTGTGTAATGATCACACTCAATGGCAATGTACTGGACCCCTGTCACAGCTTGCAAAAGCTTCCCCCCAGCTCCTCTACCCCTCGATGATTCTCTGACAAAAGTTGCGGGCCCTGGGCGTGTATGATTTCATGCTTGGCATGATGAAGCAGACCAGGCCATCCTTCCACTACCGACCATGCCCAGCGGATCGCCGGGGAAAACTGGACTTAGCAGGATTAAAGCTGCCATCGTCAGATCGAGTGAGCTTGGCATGAAGCAGGCCAGCTGGGGAGGGAGCCCACCCATACCATACTACCGTCCGTCCGTCTCACCATTCTGCTGTGTTAGCGCTGGACATGTGCAATGGAGTGAGGTGTGGTGGTGGCTTGCCTTGTCTTGTTAAGCTTGTCTTGGTCTCGTCCAAGGTTGCAACGCAATTGGTATCCATGGAAATAGCGTAGGCAAATAAGGTCATGTCTAGTGTTTCGTTTCTGCTGGTTTGCCCTAGACTCCCACTGTCTGTCACTGTTATTATGGAGAGCACGGGCTTCTTTTATTCGGTTGCCAGCTGAAGCTGCGTCACTTGGAGGCCCGGCCAGACTGAGCTTGCCCCTCAGCTCCCCTCCTCCACCTTTAAGCATAAGGTAAGGTAAAGTACCTTAGATCCCTACTAATCTTCCACCGTCTCCCTGTTTTTTCCCTTCTCCTCCTTCAGAACGACCCTCCCCCGATCCTCATTCTTTTCCTGTCTTCAAACTCCCTGACGATAATATCGTGTTCCCCTCTGCTAGCTCAGAAGGGGTTCTTTCTTTCCCATCTTTGCAGCACAACTAGCTAACATCCTGGGATACTCCCAGCTTGAAGACGTGAACCGCAGTCATGTTCACCTTCAGATCTCACAGCCTCCTGGTGGGGCTTGTTATCCTCGTTGCTCTGGCTTCTCCAGCCTTTGCTTTCGGTGCTGGTAACATTGCTTCAATCTCCAAGGTCGAAGGTCAAAACTGTGAGTGGTTACAACTACGACCAGACACCGTCCAGTAGTGGCTAATCAAGATCTCTTTCAGGGCGCCACGGCGATATCACCGATGCACTCTTGATCCTTTCGCAGGCCAAGGCCCTCAATGGCAAGAAGTTCAACAAGATCAACGTTTCGCGAGTCTACTTTGGAAACTGGCTTCGAGATTACTCTCAGGCCATCGATGTCGGTACTGTCAAGTCGGTCTCTGCTGAGGCCATCCGTCTTCTACTTTGTGTCCTCGGTTTCATGACCTTCGGCTACGGCTCCGGAGAGTTCGAGGTCACCGCTGAGCGACTCGGATGCTACCGCCCTGAGGACCACATCGACAACCCCAAAGACTACGCCGAGAATGTCGATGCCCGTCAGTATGATGAACGCCTCCGTGGGCCAGTCGACGAGGATCGAGAACTGGCTATCGACCCTGAAACAGGAATGAAGAACTACATTGCGAACGAGCGTGCACGTATCATGACCTCCGCTAGGCACGTCAAGAAGCTCTTTACTGGTACTATCGAGCTTGGTCGTCGATACAAGGACTCTCAGCGAAAGGCAGACAAGTACGAGGCTCTCCGCCTCATGGGAACTGGACTGCACTGCCTGGAAGGTCTGTAATCCCGACTTCTCAAGCTAATTAGCTTGTTTCTAGGGTCATATAGAGCTAACTTGTCTGCAGATTTCTTTGCCCACAGCAACTACTGTGAGCTGGCCCTCATTGAGCTCGGAGAGCGTGATGTCTTCCCCCACGTTGGTCGTAACACACAGATCGAAATTGAGGGTGCCCGTGGTCCCGTCTATCCTATTGTCACTGGCACTTTCGGTGGTGTTGACTTCTTGCACTCAGTTACTGGTGAAGGTTGGTTCTAATGCTCCATATGAACGAGAGGAGAGCTAACAGATTCAGTGTCCGACAAGCTCACTCAGAACGAAATTGAGGAGCTCGAGGGTACTCTCCAGCAGGGTGCCAAGTCTGACACCAGCATGCTTCGTGACCTTCTGGATAAGATCCCTGATGGCATCTTTGGCGATAAGCACCAGAGTGACCGGGTCGACGAGCTCCAGAACAATGCTGCTGCTGCTCAGATGGAGAACACCACTGTGTCTCCTCGTGATCCCGAGGAATTCACCATCTACATCCAGAATGTCTTTAAGCAAGTCATGCCTGCTATTGAATTCCACGATGACATCATGAAGAGCATTTCGGGTGCTATGGAGAAGATTCCTGTGCTCCCCAAGATCATCGAGCAACTGGAGGAGCAGCTCTCCGTCTTCATCTTCTCCATCATTGCTCCTTTCATTGTTCCTCTCATCCAGCAGATCCGCAATGAGCTCAAGACTGGTTCTGATGAAATCATTGCTAGCAGTGAGCGTGAGCAGCACATTGTCTTCCACGACGATGATTCTAGCAACCCCACTCACTCTATGCTTTCCAAGGATCACTTTTCCAACGTAAGACAAGCCACACAAATGATTATATTCAGCAACTAACTTGGATGTAGATCTTGAACGAGATTGCTGGCCGAAACGCTGCTGCGGTGGTGCAATGGGTTGTTCCTCAGCTCATGGATGCCATCGATGACGAGAGTGTCGACGTGGATAGACTCCTCGACGATATCGTCAACGGTGTGATGCATCATCCTGCTCAGCGTGACCTCGGAAACCGCAAGGTTCAAGAGGGTCGTCGCCGCTCCTACGAAGGTGTCAAGGAGTGGTGGAACAACATGGGTGACCGCCAGCGTGATGATTACCGTCAGAAGCTGACCCGAGAAGGCGTTCAGAATGGTGAGAACCACAAGGAGGGTGTTGTCGACACTGGTCACGGCCACGGATGTGCTGGCAAGCTACAGATGCGAAAGCTGTACGGCGGTGGCCCTGAGACCCTCGAGGACAAGATTGCTGGTGCTGCGGCCGACGCTATCTTTAAGGGTGCTACCGGCGCCATCTCTGGCATGGTTGAGCAGAACACTGGCTACAAGATGCCCTCTTCTTCCCGTAAGGAGGAGAAGGAGGAGGGTGGTCTCAGCGGCTTCCTCAGCCAGGCTGGCTCAATCCTTGGCGGTGCTTTCGGCAGTGACGAGACTAAGAGACAGTCCAGCAGTCACCGCGAGGATGATGGTTCCTACACTAGAACTGAAGTAGAGTATGGTCGCCACGGTGATCGCTACGGCCAGGCTGAGTATTCTCAGACACAGCGCCCTGATGGTAGCCAGCAGTCGGAGTATCGTCGATACGAGCAGCAAGACTCCTCGGATGGCCGTCACACCGGTGGCTATGGCTATGAGGAGCGAACTGAGACTCACCAGAGTTACTCTGGAGGCTACGAGCAGCGCACTGAGCGACATGAGTACTCCGGCTCAACTGAGAGCCACGGCCGTCGTCGTGATGATGATGACGGTGGCTACGGTGGTCGTCGTCACGATGAAGGCGGCTATGGTGGTGATAGCAGCTACGGCCGACAGGAGGAGAGCAGCTATGGCGGAAACAGTGGTTACGGTCGCCAAGAGAGCAGCTACGGTGGCAACAGCAGCTATGGACGTCAAGAGGAGAGCAGCTACGGCCGCCAAGAGCAAAGCAGCTATGGTGGAGGCTATGGAGGAAGCCATGAACGCCGCGATGAGGGCGGCTACGGTGGTCGTAGTGGTGGTTACGAGCGTCGTGAAGAGGGCGGATATGGCGGCAGTGGTGGTTATGAGCGTCGAGAGGAGAGCGGCGGTTACGGTCGCCGTGAGGAGGGTGGATATGGGGGTGACAACTACGGACGCCGAGATGAAGGTGGCTTTGGCGGAGGCTCTGCTGATGAGTATCTTCGCCAGAGCCAGGGAGGCCATGGACGTGAGCGCCGTGGCAGCAACGAATATGGCGATAATGGCTATGGTGGTGACCGACGTTGGTAAATTGTTGAACGGCACTGCGGCTGGGAAAACTCTCAGTGAGGGGAGTTCACCATCATGCCTAGATAACAGAATGTCGAACCAAATGAAGGAAAAGAAATGAAATTAACGGTTGAATTAATTGCGTGTGAAATGCATATGTGCATCGTGTCCGATGTCCCACGAGAGATTTGTGAAACGAGCTTTCTCTACGGTTCTTAGGTTCTGTCATAAAGATACCTATTTGAGGATATCAAAAAGTCTCCATCCGAAACGCTTTTCCAGAACACACCTTGAACCCCTCAAACAATGCCTGAGTACACGAAGTCATATGCAAAGCGTTACTGAACTGCGAGTTTGTATCAGGATATTGTAAATGGGCGGGCTTGGCCTTCTTACTCAGACTGTGCGTTGCTGATCTGTGCAACATAGACTGGAGATCTCGCTGCAGGCGGTGTCCTATCGTAGTGGTCTCCTCTTTACTACCTGCACAGTATGAGTCTATGTTTGTTGGTTTTCACGTCCGAGTGGCATTGGTTGTCCCATCCATCACGCTTGTGTTGGCGGTCTCAATGCAGTGAGGACGGAATGTCATTGTCATGAATCATGATGGTGTAGCACGTGCAGTTAAGATGAGAACTTGGTTCGTCAGAAAGTGTAGTTTTCGTTTAAATGTCCCGATGTTCTCATGCTCGGATCCTAGTAAGGCACAGATCCTTATGGCTGAGACCTTATCTCTGAGTGAGATTCGACCCTGAGGTATCTGCCTCAGGCTGCAATGATCTGGATCGGATTGCCCGCTTTTGATTACGTATTACGTCAAGTGGCGTAGCACGAGGAGGCCGGGATCTTCTAACCTCGAACAAGCTCTGACAGGGATGCGACAAGGGGCAACAGTTGACTTGTTGTCTTGTCCGAAGTTCTGCCTTTTCTATTCAGTCAGAAGCATGAACTGCCAGTATCTGCAGACAAACCAACAGTGGACAAGGCTGTATGTATGCATGAATTGTTGCATTGAAAATTCTTTCGCGTTTGATCGTCATTTCCAAACCTGATACTTAGGTGCCGTTTGCCGAGATAGCTCCAGCCACAAAGACCCTCGAAGAAAGGATAGGCATTCGAATTACCTACCTCGGCTTGCTTCCAGGATATCGAATGCAGTGTAGTGAGTCGCGCACCCTGAACGTGTAGGGTCGTCTCATTATGACTCCAGGGTTCATCAAATGACAAGGTCCTTGAGTGGGCTACAGCGCTTGATTGCCCTACCCGTTTGTCTCTGACGGTTCGACGGGTGAGCTCTTGGGGTGTCAGCCAGTCATTGGCGCCCAGAGACATAACCCTCCTTATCCATCGAGGAATAGGATTTTGAGTGCGCTGCGCCTCCCCGTCTCCGCGGAGGAGAAGAGTGACACGAGCAAGGGTTTAAAAGAGAGTGAGGGTCAGGGACTGGGCCTGTCGGCGATAATCACAATAACTCATCAGCAGTGGGCGGAATCGATTGTCATCGACAGATCAGCAATACGTATTACCGTTGATCATTGAGTTTAGGTTACAGTGGATGACTGAGCGTGTCGCGGGAGACAAGCTTTGGTCGCAGAAGCTTGGCTGGGTACAAGGTTATGTTAGGTTAGATCCGAATCGTTTCGTCAGGCCACTGAGTTCGAACTTCGAAGTCTTTCGAATGCAGTATTCGTGATGTCCTCTAAAAGCTTCAACGAGTCATGTAAACTCAGTGACGAACTGCTTTCCATCTCTGGACAGTCCATTGATTGACTGGCAAATACCATGGTTGAAGCTTGACCACTAGGCTTCATCAATTGACTATTCAGCGGTCACCGTTACAGTTAAACTCACGGCAACTCCCTTGTATCTTAACTCTGTAAGAACCACCGTAAGACCTAGGTGATGGTGAAAACTCTTCCAGCCTGCATATCTACGGCTTGCGTCCGAGTGATACGGTAAAACATCCATGTCCTTGGTGGTGAGAGATAAAAAAGGGACATTCAAGGATTACGACTGCGGGTCAAGTGTCCCAATACGTTCAAGTCTTGACCGACAAGCTTTTGGTTTGTGGGGAAGTGGATGGGACAAATCTTGACTGCCTGATCTTATCCTTTTCTATCCTTTCCTCCTCTGAGGTAAGTTGATGTGATTGATGGAGATGGAGAGCACAAGCTTTGTTGTACCACTAATGCAGATTGCTCTGTTAGGTTATTCTAGACTGTTTGCTACTCTCACACTCGTCTGATATCAATAACACCAACTGGAATTTCAAAAACTGAGACATTGGCTTGCTCTAACTCACCTGGACCTGGCCAACTCCGTTATTATTCCCGACTCGGGCTTTTACAAGCAACCGTCTGGTCTTAAAGTCCGAGCCAAATTATGAGTTGAGTTGTCTAATTGGTCAACCCTCAAAAGTCAATGAGATTATCAGAGACGGCTACATACCAGATCAAAAAACGGCGATTCTCTTGATTTTCCTGTTTCCCAAATGCTCGGGTCGTCAAGGGATAGCCGGCTTGGCATCAGCCATCGCTCTGACTTCTATTCCTTCTGCTGCTCTTGTTCCTGCACCTAGAACAGAGCTAGCTCAACGTAGCTGTAGCTGTTCCTGTAGCTTTCTTTTGATTTGGTCGATTTGCATCGTGGCCCCCGACACTTTTCGCACCTTGGAGTTGGGTCTCGAATCGGACTTTTATGTACCTGGACCGACTCGTCATATCTGCCGGGTCACATCGTCTCACTTTGGTATCACTGTTTTGTCATGGAGTCGTGATTCTGTCTATTAATTCCTTTCAATTCTTTTGCTCTTGAAATAGTTGATTCATATCTCTTCGATAACAGTCCCTGCATAAAATTGTCTTATACCCTCACACCCTTGTTCCATCGTCACACTCCGAAAACCGAAACGCGCCACCAACGAAACTGCCCCAATTCACTCAATCGCTCAATCACTCTCTCCACCCCCAACCCTGCCTGCCCTGCCATTCATCGAATCCAGTTTCCCAGTTCAGGACTCCCCCTCTCTTTTCGCGGCTCAGCAGGAGGCAGGAGACAGGACAGGACAGCCCAGGCAGGTTTACTGCACTTCAGTTCGTCACCCCCCAAAAAACACTCACTCGCGCTTTCTCCCTTTCGTATTGCCTCTCCTTCCTCTTCTCCACCAGCCCGGCCACCCTATCCATCCACATCCGCTCCCTCCCGTCCCTGCCTGCCTGCTTCTTGCTTCTTGCTCTGGCTTGTCCTTCTGTTCTTCCTCACCCCCAGCGGCGGCAGCCACAATCAGCGTCCGGCCCATTTCCACCCTCCGTCCTGGTCTCCCAAACCCAAGTCCAGGCCAAATCAAGTCCACCTTACTTACCTACTCTCGCTTGATTCTCTCGCTCTTTCTCTCCCCCCAGAAACGCCAACTCGTTAACTCTTGCTTTTTTACTCATTCTCATTTTGATACTCAGTTTCGGGTTTCAAGTCTCAATTCCAATTTTCACCCAACTCCTCCAACGTCACTTCGTCCTCACAAACTCGCTTTCACCAGATCATTCATCATCGAATCCTCACTGTCACCCTGGGTCGTCACTTGAATTTTTGCGCCTCTGGTGCACGCCATATAATGCCTACGATTCCATGATTGAATATGTTTTAGAAGCATGTGTAAGTTATATCACTCTCTGTTCAACCAACCTTTGTCATAACCTCTTATTTCCTCTCTCCGTCTCGTCTTACACTACATGGCGATTGATTGATTCATTGATCCTACCCATTCTCCCCGAAGGGCGTCTGTCCCTTTCCGTTCCGTTCCTGCTCATCCGCGCCCGCGGGTTCGAGGCCAAGAACCTCGCATCATACCCCAGTCTTGGCATCCCACGAACTGACATCAAATCGTCCAGCGCTCACCGAGATACGAAATGTCGTGTATGTCTTTACTCCATCCATTATGTCTCTGCCTGCAACGTCGTTGTATTCTCGTGGCCGTTCTTCTCATCATCGTCGCTGGCGTGACATAACGACTACGCCGCCCTCGACTCCCCGCTTGCACCAACGCAGCAAACCACACGACATCGCCTACAACCTTTCGATCAGACGACATCACTCGCCTTGCTTGATTAAAGCTGTGAACATTGCTGACCAATTTCATCAGCCTCCTCTTCAGTAATCCAGTATGGAGCGGCGCCAGTACGGTCCCGTCGACAATCATCCGAAACCTCACGGCTCTTTCGGTGCGTTAATCCACTTGACATTTATCATTCTGTTGCGACGAGGTAACTACAAGACTCATCTAGCATTGACTGACCACGCAAACAGTCCGACATAGCATATAAGGAGCGAATTTCCACCAACATTACCACCCTAACCTCCACAAATGCCGACTCGTCTAATGGCCTTATCACCGGCCTCCTCTACGTCCCCGACCTCGACAACGATCGTGAGTGCGACGAGCAGCAATACCAGTTTATTCCTCGAAATGTCACCCGCCGAGATAATCTTCCTCCTACCAATTACAATCTCATCGCTCTCGCGCCGTGGTTCAGCATCGACTGTACCCTAGCCTACCTTGCTTCTGCGCGTCTCGACCCCATTCGCGCTTTCATCTTTTACAAACCTAACAACTCATCAAATCAGCCTCAAGATGCGGACTCGCCTGTTTGGAATCTGGAAGATGGTGGAGCCTGGATGACTGCCAACAAATATCCGATTTACGCCATTTCTGGTCAAGAAGGCCAGAATATGATGCGACAACTCAGTTACTATTCAGGCAGCGTGGACGACATACCTTATGGCGAAAATATCAGCACACTTTATGGCCCGAACCCGAAGGATTATGTCCGTATCTGGACTGAACTCAGCGTTCAGGATGAATCTGATATTCCACCGCTATGGGCGTTCTTCCTCATAGTAATTGGTGCCCTGCTTGCCATATTTGCATTCGTCTCAATAACCATGCACCTTGTTCAACGAAGACGACGTATATCACTTCGAAAAAGAGTTGAATCTGGCGAAGTCGATCTTGAAGCCATGGGAATTAAGCGCCTGACAGTACCTGCTACCCATATCACCAGCTTCCCTCTATTTACTTACAACGCGGACCCGGACTCGACAGCGCCTCCTCCTACCCCATCATCTACACGACGCATGCGAAGTAGCCGAGGGTTCGATCAACGCAGCACACGATCCGGTGCCAGTGTTCGGAGCAAAAGATCCAATATCGGGGCCTCAGGCGACAACGCTGCTACTAATTTCCAACCTAGTTGTCACATCTGCCTCACCAATTTCGAACACCGAGTCACCATCATTCGGGAGCTTCCTTGCGGTCACATATTCCATCCCGAATGTATCGACGAGTTTCTGTCAAAGAACAGTTCTCTCTGTCCTATGTGCAAGCATTCAATGTTGCCCAGAGGTTACAGTCCAAGGATCACTAACGGAATGGTGCGTCGAGAACGTGCTCTGAGGAAATTACGTCAAAGAGTCGATCTCGAGGATTTATCTGAGGAAGGTGATAACACGAAGATGAAGGACTGGAGTAAACGACTATTCCGAACCTCACCATCACCTTCACGACCTTCCTCGTCGCCACTTGTTACCTTGAAGCTACCCAAGTTCAGACGACAACCTGTTACAAATACAGCAACGAATGAGGAGGGACGAGTAGAAACGCCACCAGTATCGTCCACCCCCGCACAATTCCAAGAACCAGAACCAGAACCAGAACCAAACACTCGCCCACCAGCTCCAGCCCAGATTCCAAAGACAAGAAGGCCCAGACCTCGACTTCTGAATATGCTCCCAACACAGCCAGAGAATTCCGAGTTGAATACGGACCCAACGCCAAGACGCGGAAGTCCTTCTTCGTTTGCTCGACAACGCATGCGTGAAATTGCAGCCAAGAACGCGCCTTTCGACGATCCGGACTCTCAAAGGGCGATATGTAAGTCGTTTATCTAAATGGACGTAAAAGCATACACTAACGTGATCACAGGGCTACGAGCACTCTCAAAAGTTTTCCCAGGCTATTTCTAATTCTGCTTTGATAAATCTCATGGTCAGAAAACATCTCTTGCATTTGATGGGGCAACATAGGTCAGGCGTTTATGTCATAGGCAGGGTTTTGGGATCTAGGCCGATCCATTGATTATACGACTTTTTTTTCGGGTACATTGGTGCATTGGAAAGGCATTTAATGAGGCGTTGGTTGGATTTACGAGAATTGTATATACAGGGGCTCGTTGAGAGGATAGGAGGTGCAGAGCAGCGGGCTAGCAATGGCATCCCATCTACTAATTGCGTGTTGACCAGAATAGTAGCCAGGGTCTGGACTGGATAAACAATTGGGTTTTCCACCATGGCTGAACGATCTCTTGTGTAGAAGAAATCACCAGCCATCAACAAAGCATATACCCAAACAATATACAATCACGATATGAAGCAACATGGGTAGCACTATCAAATGACCAAGATTTTCATATTTTAGATCAGGTTATCATATATTTCCAAGAACTAGCTATTCCCCTGCATGCACCAATGTATCTGAGGGTTCAAATCGTTCATATTTCTCGCTCTAGGTACGCTCCAAACGCCAAACATAATCAAAGTTCGATGATCCAAATTCCTACGTTCTGGTTTCTGATCATAATGCACTGCTCAATTCCCTTCACCACGCTTTCCTTTACCCTCCAGCAACGGCTCATTACGGACTCCGCCTCTAGCAAGTGCATCTCGAACGCGATCATTCTCGGCAGCACGAATTCTGCTTCTTGCGTCCTCCAGACGTTCGACGCCTCGATCAATGGTCTCAATATGCACGCTCAGAGGGATTGGAGGTCCACTACCAATACCATTGCGGAGCACCTCTGGCTCAGCAACACGGTCACGCAAGTCGCCCAGACCAGCTTGAATGCTCTCGAGTTCGAGGATAAGCGCGTTGACCTGTGCAACTGCCGAAGAACGCTGTGCGTCAACCTGGCGCAGAAGAGCCAGTTGGCGGGAAAGGCTGTTAAGTTGGTTCGAGTTTGCACCGACAAGTGTCCAGATATTCCAGAGGACGTTTTCACGACGAGATGCTGTATCGGCAGAGGAGCGAGAACTGATGTCGTAGATGAGCATCAGATGATCCTCGGCTTTTGTAAGCAGGCGCAGAACGGCCTGCGCTTCAAGGATAAGGGTCGCGATACGATCCGAGACAAGAGCTGTATGTTCAATATACTTGTCTAGGAGAACTCGCTCGTTGAAGATATGATCTGTAGTTGGCTGGAACGGGTGAAAGAGCCACGAAGCCCAGCCAAGAATAGGTGAAGGCGAGGAAATCGACTTCCCATCATCTGTTTCTGGGGATAGAGTATCGAGATAACGAGATGTCCAGCGATTTATGCTTATGACAGCATCAACAGCAGACCCAACATGGGTGTTGAACTTCTGCAAGTCCGAAGACGTCTGCCTCGCCGTGTCGATGTAACCGTCGAACTCAAACAGCAACTCATCGCGAGCTTGTAGATCGCTGTGTCGCACAAGGCTGCGTAGATCTCGGATGGCCGTTTCAGATCTTTTCATCTCGAATGGGAGAGACACTCCATCAGAGCTCTTTTCAAGAACTTGCTCGAACTTTGACTGCACATTCATGAGATCATCGAACTCAACGGGTGATCCATCGCCTCCAGCAGGCACTATCGTATCCAGAGAAGGACAGAACGGAAGATTTAGCAACGATGCGCCCGGGATACGGCAAAGAGGGGATAGAGATGCGGCGATAGAGCGAGTTGCCATATTCTGTGCAATAATAAGACCACCAAAGCAAAGATAGATAGCCAGTAGAATCGCAAAAGGTTTCTGGGCGTAGCGGAATGCTAGCCCGATAACGTTAAGAAACCATGCAAGTGTATTGTATATCGCCGCTGGGATGCTTTGAGCGATTTGATTTCCAACTGTTGGCGGTGGCTGTTCGCGATATTCGCGGCGATGATATTCATCCTCGGTCTCATATCTTGCGCGCGCATTTCTCTGCTTGGGAGGACTCGAAGGTGGTGGATTTCCTCTTCTCCTCACACCTTCGTTGCCGCCATATTCTATGCCCAGTCCTCTTATCGTGCGCTCACTCCTACTACTTCCCTCACTCGCAGTATCGATGCGCGGCATGTGAAATTCTGGATCGGGTGATCGAAAGACTCGCTCTCCGTTCGCGCTCACACTTGCGCGCGAAAGACTCGGCCTGAACGGCTCTCGTAGAATGACCTGCTCGTCGTCTGGGTCTGCCCCAAAGTCGCGAATGCTATCCTGCGATGCGAAGCTGAGATTTCCTTGAGAAAATGGTTGGGAGGGTATGTTGCCTGAGGATGTAGGTGGTGATGATTCCCCAAGCGATGGGAGAATACTTGTGTCGAAACTGTCGTTCTCGCCTTCAACAAAGCGCCACGAGTCCTCGGGTCGAAGCTCACGCTGGCGCGAAGATCCCATGTTGTTCACCTTCGGCGCTCGAGTACGGCAGAGTCGCACACGAGCAGGCGTTACGGTCACGTCACCTCAGTCCAAGAATTATACACACTCGACGTCCGGTCGCATCAGATAGGCGAGATGTATGGTGAAAGTGTCGTATTTATAGTGTAGAATGTGAGATAGCAATGTGCGCCAAGTTAGATCGTGAAGCGCTGACTGGCGCCCTTAGCGTAGGCAGGCGGAAGTTCTAGGAGCGGTGAGTCATCGGCAGTTGTGATAATCGTTCACGGTGATTATCGGCGAAAGTGCGCTTGATGTTTCAGGTCGTGAATGGGCGTCAAAATGAGGTTGATGTTGTTAGGTTGTTGTCTTTATGAATGATGTAAGAGCAAGGTAAGGTAGGCGAGGCGGCAAATGGAGCTACATGGCCGGGCGAGGGTAAGTGAGGTCACTACCCACCAAATCATAGGCCATGGGGAAGGACAAAGGCCCTGGGGGTGGAAGGAAAGGTAAATGATACTGAAGTTTAATACTTATTACTCTAAACAGGGCTCAACTTATTGATTTAATTAACTCCATATTGCAAAGTATATTCAATATACAATATAGTCCGTAATTTGTTATGGCCTTCACTGATCAATCGATACCTGAAGACTAACTTCTATCTTAGTATTCTGTCAGTTATAAATACTTAGTAGACCCTTGTCGCGCTGCCTAGCGTCGGCCAATGGTGGGGACATATAGAGGCTGACCGAGACCTCGTGGTCAATTTAATTAAAGTCTAGGGTATTAACGGTCACCATCTTAACTAGACGTCAATGAAAAAGGCCCAAGACCAACTTCTTTCCATCTGTCAATTTACTATTGAGCATTAATAAATGGGCCTCCGTGGTTAAATACACAATTTTCAAAAGCTACAATATTGCCAATCGAGCTCAAAAATACCCAGTGTGGTTACACCTTATAACTTCTCCCTGTCTAAGAGATGCTAGACATGTAAGACTTTACCAAGCAAACAGTGAAGCGTATACAAAATCAACCGTCTTCCATTTCTCGATCATGCCTCTTTTGTATCATTAAATTTGAATGAGTCTCGGAAATCTGTGTTAAATTTACTACCACTTCCTCCTCCAAACTAGGTCAAACTCTTATCTAGATATGGACATACAACGACGAGGACACATTGTAGTCACCCCTCCTCTACTTTCACAGGAACTGAGCCTCCCGCCGACTTGTCACCTAAACACCCTGCTTCGACATAAATATTCGAAACTGAACTTCCTGCGCCCGCTGTTGTATCCGAGGCTGTCATATCTCCGCCAGGAACTTGAGTTAGATTTCCTCCCCAAGTCACGTCACCCGTCTCCGGCTCACATTGCAGCGAGTATGATGGCAGCCCCGACCAACCACCCATATGCTCTACTGTGGGCGACCTGAGCCAGAGAGAGCCTCCCTCAGTTGTAGACGCAGGTGTATCACCAACCGCCGACATAGCCTGAGAAAGCTCCATATACCCATGCTCATGGCCGCCTCGGCCCAGTGCCTCCATGAAAACGTCAGATAACGCCTTCGACCTGGGCCAGAATTCCCCAGACTTTTTCAGGAACTCTGCCAGAAACAAAACTCTAGATCTGTAATCTGGCTGCCCTGCACCGTGGAGCACAGCATGACACAAAGGTGAGGCTGCGTGTCCCAAATCAAGTAGGCATGAAGGGGAGAACTTCTCTGGTACAAGCTGAGAACCAAGATTCACCAAAGTCTCTTCCTTCATCATACTTGTCTTCTTTGAATCTCGGATCCCTCGACGTGTCTTGATGTAACGACACGGTTTACCCTCTTCTTTGCATCGAGTGCATGTCTCAAGTCCATCGCACCTTATATGCTTATGACGACAAGGAACGCAAGCTAAAGAGACACGCTGCTGGGTTTTTGAGGTTCCCGTACTAACTCGTTTCTGACTCGAGTTGAGTTCAACCCCAGGTAAAACTTCGTCTTGTGAGGAACTTGCCATAGTTTGATCGACGAACCGGGTTTTCCAAGTGATGTCGAAAGGAGGTCTCAAGGTCCCGTACAGTTTCGCTTTGTTAGCAAACACCAGTGGTAGGACCCAACAGGGAGGCTAGAATCGATAAAGGATGTGTTATGGCACCGAATCAAGCTTGTTTGTCAAGAACGAACAGGTTGAACAGGTTTGTGGTAAGTGCCAGAGCCATGGAGTATATGCACGCATAATAAGGAATTAGAAATGGAAAGACGCGGATGGAACTACGAGTTCAATACAAATACATGGTACCAGTGCAACGGGGTGGAGGCGTAGGGCAGAGAGGATGGTCGTCAGGCTTAAACAAAAGCAAATGATCCAACGCATCATGATTGGAAGAGGTGGGTAGTTGAGTTAGATTCAAATCTCAGAACCATGTTGCAATACCTGACTCCTCCAGTCGTATTGGCCCCAGGGAGGTATGTGGCGTGGATATGGGTTCCCAGTCGAGGACCAGGTAGGGGGAAAGACCTGTCAGAAAACGGCCGCCTGCATCTCCATGTCGGCCTTTATCCATTGAGAGCTATGACAGCTGTGACCTAGAAGACAAACGCCAGTGACCATGTTGCTGGTTTCACGTTGTTAGGTTCGCGGACCAAGAGCGTGCAGAGGGGCCAAGAATGGGCCGCTCCCGACTCAATGATGGCAACTCTGGCACGAGAACCAGGTTGTTGGTGCATCTAGCACCCGGGGATTTTCACAGAGACATACAAGACGGCGTGTGTGTGTCGTTTGATTATGCGTTTGAGGGTTGTCGTTAAAGTGAAGTCTAAGCAGCAAAGGCAGGCTGATCTACACTGTTGGACAGCTGTTGAACCGCCGCTCGGAGCGGGCCTTGCAAAGCTCCCGTCTCTCTTAAGACAGCAGGCAATATAGTCACTAAGAGCAGCCGTTGTCTCATTAACTAGCAACTCGAGCTCTGATTGTTTGCATGGTATCCACAGAGGAGGAGATGCCTGGTCGCCGGCTGGAGGATTCACGTTTCTGACGTGTAAGAAGTCATCAGAAGAGTCGCGATGCAGATGCGAGTGCAGCACAACCAATATAAAAATTGCTTTTTCCAAAGGAACTCTGTGTAACACAGTGCCCATGCAGCTAGTCGTCATAGTCCCAGCTCCCAGGTGTCTGGGACATACTGGTTGCATACAGGGCTATCGGAGATATCATAGCGCCCTTGATTGCTGGTCGCTGGTCAAGCCTCAAACATACATACATAGCTGAATTCTGCCAAGTAAGTGTGGCTTATCTTCCGCAGAGCCTGGTTTTTGGTTTGTCGACGATTTGTGATGCTCTAAGAATGAAGCATCTCTGAGTTTCATGATTTGATGGTATCGGCCGAAGTTTGTTGGATGAAATGTGCTTTCTAGAGGCACAGAAGTTTTGAGGTGGTTTGGGACGAGTTGAGCCGCACTTGCTATCTCAAGTTCTGTGTAACTGCCACTCGCGCCATGGCACCCTCTCATTGGAACAAGGGGAACCAGTAAGAGCAAGGGCGTTTCGTGGGGGAAAGAGAGGAGTTGCAGCGGGAGGGGCTCCCGGCTTATGGCCCGGCCCAGACGGAGACAGAGAGAGAGACGCAGTGGCTAGGTTAGTATCTATCCAAGCTAACAAAAAGGCCTAGGTAAATTCAGTATAAATTCAGGAGACCTTGGACTAGTTAATTTTGGTACTTCGCTGTAAGGTTAGAAGTTGTCTTGCTCTTTGAAGAGTGGGAACAAGCGCTAAAGCAAGTCTCAGTGAGCACGGAGTAAGACAAGCGCGTGGGAATAAAAAGTCCCCTACTTTTTTACGAGTATCCTTTACCTATCCTCGGGGAGCAAGAAAACTTAAGACTTTAGAAGAGGATGCCAAAATAAACTCAGTAAAGGGTCCCCTAAGCCTGGGCTAAATTACCTAAACACTTTTGTCGCTTAGGGTCACAGTCCTAAGCTCTCTTGCCTCCCCTAGCCTAGGCAGAGGCACGAGCGACGAACATGCACGGTACGGTAAAGTAGCCGATAAGGCCTAGGCACTGTAACACCTCGGCTCGGCTTCTGCTCGACAACCCCCGGCCCTGGCGTCATGGGGGGAGTTTAGCATGGACCCGCACAATCCCCCAGATGAGATCCAATGCGATGCGCTGAGACGAGCTGAACTGCGTGGTTCCTTTTTGCTTTTATCACCTGCAACAAACGAAAGCTGGCTCTACCCAACTGTAACCGGATCAACCCACCACTAAATCGACCCATAGACTCCCAATTAGATACCCGAAACTCAACGAACGCCCTCGTCCTCATGCGCATGCATCAGGTCAAATGACCGACTCGAGCTTCGTCCAAGCCCAACGCCGCGTTGCTGCGCGCCGCCAAACCCGTGAGGCCGAAGCCGCTGCTCGCATCGCTGCACAGCGGCAATCTTCTCGACCTAGAGCCAACCTCGAGCGCTTACCTTACCCCCTAAATCGCATCGGATCTGCCTGGGATGCTGTATCGACAAGGGAGGGCACGCGTCCTGCATTTCGAGTAGGACAAGTCGATGCCGAATTACTCGATGTAGAGCTCTTGGACATTCTCAAGGACCAGGTTTGCGAGGGTCTCAAATACTTTGGTGGAGGGCATCTGCACGATGACTGGTCAGCTGAGATTATGTTGGCCCTGAGGGCGGTGCTTTTCAAACTCACTGTCTGGGACCACGATGCCACATACGGAGCGGCTCTCCAAAACCTCAAATATACCGACGCCAGAAACGACGGGCTTATACTCAAAGCACCCTCAAAGGTGCAGAAATCACTCTATGGACTTGTCACAGTATTTGGAAACTATGCTTGGACGAGATGGGAGGACTGGCTTCTGGAGCATGACGATGGTTACGACGAGCCAAGTCCCCGACTAAAGCGACTATCGAAACTGACATCTGCCCTCTCAACTGTTCACTCGGCAGCGGCATGTGTCTCATTTCTAGTCTTCTTACTGCATGGACGATATCGAACACTCCTTGATAGAATTCTCAGAATGAGACTTGCGCCACCCACAAGCCAAGTAAGCAGAGAGGTCTCATTCGAGTATCTCAACAGGCAGCTTGTCTGGCATGCCTTCACCGAGTTTTTGCTTTTCGTACTACCCCTGATCGGCATCCAACGATGGCGACGCTGGCTGACCAGGACATGGCGGAAAACAAAAGACATTATCAGAACGGGGCCTCAAGAAGAGGGCAAGGCTAATGGTGAATACGCGTTCCTCCCTGAGAGAACATGCGCAATTTGCTACCAGGACCAGAATACAGCAACTTCTGAGAACGAAGTGATGGCAGCAGCAGCATCCAGTGGTGTTATTGGTTCAGCCCAGACAGACATAACCAACCCATATGAGACAATACCTTGTGGGTGTGTATACTGTTTCGTTTGCTTGGCTACTCGATTGGAGAGAGAAGAGGGCGAGGGCTGGACCTGTCTGCGTTGCGGTGAGCATGTTAAAGAATGCAAGCCTTGGAGTGGTGACTTGGTTGAGCCGTCTGCAAAGCATGCTTCAGCCAAGACGGTGGCTTTCTCAGATGATATTACTGGGGGTGTGCTTGTAGATGAGCAGGATGAGGAATCATTCGTAGAAAGTCTGAGCACGACCTCAGAGTAGAGGGCTAGGAGAGGCATTGATCTGCGGCGTTTATGGATATGTATGGATAGCTATATTTTGTAATGTCACACGCAATGAATGCGATATTGTTCTACTTTCTTCCATTACTCACTACCCAGTTCTCCCACTCACAATGCCACAGATAATGGGTGTAGTAGTCCCTGCTGCCTTCACTGCCTCGAAATCCCCAGAAAGGTATGTTTATGCGCGGTCAAAGCAAAAGAAACTCTTAATTAAGTAGTGACTCAATGAATAAATATAAAAAGATTTGGACTTTATGAAAGAGAATCTGACAGCTGAAAGTCCACCCCAAGTTCCTTAGAAGGACCTGAGGGACCCTGAAATGGCCTGCCCACATATCCATCCTCTGAAGCCCACTAACACGGGTAGCGCGTCATAGCAGGGGAGATGGAACTTGGACCCCTGTTCTATTCCTACCTGTTGTCAGCCGAGATACGGACCAACATCAGCCCAATCTAATGCTTGGACAAATCAACACCAACTTCCAAATTCACGATACCGACATTTCACCATAATCATTCTTCTAATACTCGACGCATCCAATTCACGTGCCTTGAAGAACTCGAGACGCAATACATCGACTTACTACACAGAATACGCCATAATATATAATCGAAGCCTTTCAATGTAGCCCGATATCACAACTCGATTACACCGACTCCCTCCCTTCATCCCATGCCCAGCTTCTTCCAGTTCACGCAGGGCACCGAGTCGCACGTCCGACCCAACGACTCGGCCCCTCTCCTAGGCCGCTTCCGCGCTGTTCCTCCGCGTCCTGGCGTGGTATCTCGAAGGCGCAGTCAACTCGGCCTCTTCTCGAATACCGCAGACAACAGAGGTAGCGTGCATATACTTGGATATGATGCTTTTCCTGCAGATGACGACGATACGGACAGTGATTATGACCTTGAGGACGATAGGAGTTTGTGGCAGCGTCTTTGGCAACGATGGGTGTTGGATATTTGGGTTGATCCGAGGCAGTCGGCGGTGAAGAGGGTCGTTGATAAGTGGTGGAGTCGGTATGCATTTCTGGTGTTGATGCCGGCCTTGTTGGTATGTGCTGGAGCTGCAATAAAAACAACAAAGAACCGACTGACTCAAGAATAGGCTGTGGCGTGGTGTTCTATACCTTTTCCTCAGTATAGAATTCCTGACGACCATATCGGTGATGGAGACGAGGATAGACTCCCCGACGGATCTAAGACGCCTGGTCACGGAGCTGCCCGAGTCCAGGTCAACTTTTGGTTCTTCCTATTCGTCTACTATGGTTTCTACAACCTTACTGCTCTTATCTGGATCACGAAGGTGTTCAACCTCTACAGCCTGAACTGGTGGCCCCAGTCTCTGGGTTTCCCGCTTACCGTCTCACTCATCGCCATCTTATCCATCGCCGTCCCCATACCCATGTACTACAATGATAAGGCGCGTTATTTGCTTGTTCACAATACAGCATGGATTTCATGGACCTTCATCATCATGGCCTTGCCTGTCACGATCGCCTTTATCATTCTCACGACTAATGAGCGGCACATCGGGCTTCGTCACTCGCTATCAGAAACTCAACGCATCTTTACTACATCCTGGTGGACCGGAGAGCCAGACACGTTCAACGGTAGGGACCGTCGGCGCCGTAATGTCACGGCTGATCTATTCGACGCAGACGCAACTCAAGTTGAACCCGAGCTGAGGCCACAGGGCGTTAGGATGCGTCGATTGTGGTTGCCAGCAAGCTTTGTGCGCTTCTTATGGTTTTGCGTTGCTTTGTTTATTGGGCTCATGGCATATGTGATCGGAGAGGCATACGCAGAAATCTATCTCCGAACCTTACCACACAACAACTTGGAGACTGTGGTGTACGTCTATGGCTGGGTTGCGACGGTGCACTTGCTGGATGCGTTAAGTGGCTGGGTGCTAGGAATTCGAGAGGGTGAGCGTGTCGGAAGCTATCCTTTGAGCTGGATCTTCAAACTGTAAGCCTCGATACATACAGATACTGTTGTTTCCACTACTGACACCACAGCCAGATACTTCATGTTGACCTACCAGATGTACGTTCGTGCGCTGTATGCACGACTGCGTTCACCACAACAGTTCATAACCCTCCAGATATTGTCATCAACAGGTCTGGTTGTCATCACGCCCATCATGATGACCTCCTTTGTGCACAAGCTCTTAACAATTCTCGGGCTGAACTCGCAAAGCTTTGGTTCATACCAGAAGCTCCAGACCCGCAATGTCTTCATTCGCTTTCTTGCCGAAAACGTCTCAATGGTTGCATTCCTTGGAAGTATTCTAGTACTGCATTTCGGAGCCAACAAAGACGTTTACCCATATTTTGCGTTCGATACGGAGGGAGAGGACTACAACTTTGGCCTCACTTTCTACGCCTCATCAGTAACGTGGGCGTGTGAGTTGGTGGCGAGTCTTGCCGTGCGGGGACTCATCCGACTATTTTTCCAAATTGATGTCGGCCTGGAGGGGAAGCTGGACTTGGCTGTCTGGCCAGAGTTGATGCCAACCTGTGTGGCAGTCATGCTGCACGTGCTGCAGAACATGCTATTTTCCATCATCCGACTACAGTTTCAGTAAGTGGAGAAAGGATCTTCTGTGGTCTGGTGTGAAAGAGGACCGATCATCCAGGGGCTATTTTTCATAAAGGATTGATGAGTTAGAGGGTCGGAACGGCCCGAGAAAGGTTGCCGAGAGGTACGACTATTGAGATGGTGCACCCATCGACATTCGCACCCGCGCAACGGACAATAGGTTGAGTGTTTGGCCTCTGCTTTGCTTTTTCTGTTTTCGTCACTCTTAATCTGCGAGTCGTTGTCTTGAGTTGTCTTTCAGTAGAGCGACTTCTTTGCATACTTTGTGATGACCTTGGACTGGGGAAGCTGTGCTGTTGATACAAGTCGATACCCATTAGAACGTTTCTAGAGAGTTTTGCTACGTTTCATCTTTGTTATAACGCATTAGATACCACATACTGTTTGTCGACACGTTGGTCATTACCATTAATAGCAATTCCGAGTTGAGGAACTTCTGAAGTGGACCGAGATAGCGACCATTTCAGATCGTTAGGGCGACTTGTCTATGCAACTATATTGTTTCGGGACTTGCAGGCCAACAATGATTGGGCGACGGAGTTCAAGTAACTATTTCCCGTGCCTGGTGTTTCATAAAGTTTATCTGACAGAAGCAAACCTGGATCATGATTGGGTCGGTGCAGCTTCCGTAGAATGGTCCTTTTGAAACCCCATGAGATACTTGCCTACTGCACACTGTCTTGCATACCAAGGCGATGAATGATGTGCACTGTAGCTATGAGAGGTTTGATCGGCTTGCCAGCCAACTCTTGAATTACCTGACGCGCAACCGACCTGTTCCTAAATCGATAGCTCGTATCGGTTCAAAAACAGCAGCTCAGATTGGCTGCGTTCTTATGTTGATGCCTGCATAAAAGTTGTACTGTCTGTACTGTACTGGTGCGAAGGACCCAGTTCTATCAACATCCATGGCGACATCGCCCATCAAGAAAGATGGAGACACTTGTATCAAAACCTCACGCCGAGCGGCCCGCAAGGGCGCCAACACAGAAACGCGCACCTGCGGCTAATGCAAGCCCCAACCAGTCTTTTCTTCGGTGAATGAGTACAACAAACGGCGGTGTACAATATTCAATATTATCAACAACCGGTCAATATGGCAGAGGAAGGAGAACTGATGACGCGGCGATGAAGGGGCAGCCGGTCAGCGAACACTGGAGGGGAGGATATGCAAGACATTGGGTGGAGAGCTGGGGAAGCATGAGGCACAGCAGATAAAAAGGAACCACAACGACAACGCCCAAGACCAAGGCCAGATGGTGCGCGATACCGATAAGGCAATGTATTCCGGAACGGTCAAGAGAAAAGAGACACAGAAGCAGGTAGGTCGATGCAGAGGGCGGCATGAATGCAGCCGCACATCGCATCGCATCGCATCGCATCGAAGACGCAGAAAATTGCTGCATGTTTTTCAGGAAAGGAACCTGGTGGCTGGGATCAGGGCTGAAGGAAGAGATCGCAGCGCAGGGCAACGCAGCACATGCGTTGGCTGGTGTGGTTTGAAATGGCTTGGTGTGGTGTCGGGCACAAGCCCGTGATTCGTGATAGTGACTTGCAGCGAGCTGAAGCGGTAATCGTCAACCGTCTTACATGTTGCTAGAGAGCTCAGATGCGTCCTATTTCGATGGGCCGCCGGCTAAAAAAGAACCCTGTCCCATCTTATGCGGGTGTAGTGTAGCGTGTAGTACATACGCTTGACATGATAGACATCTGCCTGGTCTGAAGGTGCGTATAGTGTGCCTCATCCTCAGCAGTAAGGATCCATATTGGGCACAGAAACGGTCTCAGCTATCAGGGCCTGTGGGGTTGCATTATAATCGGCATCAAAGAGATAGCAGCCGATCAGTCACGATTGAAAAGGCAGACGGGGTCTGGGTTATGCAATAAAGACGAGATCAGCATATTTCAACCCTTGATAGGCCTCGCAGTTGTGTTATCTTGGCATGATATAACGTCGTTCGGGAGCCTGGCGAACCCAAGCCAGTAAGCTCGGCCTAGTATGCCCTCGGTTTCGCCGTAATGGACTCATCGAGATGCTCTCTGTCATGATCGAAGATCGGAGCAGAATTGCGAGATCGTCTCGTTTAATAGAACAGAAAGTTTCAATGAAAGGAACAATAGCATGTGTCGCGAGACCCTCCACCGTAACAGCATCTGTCTACAATGTAGAGATTTGAACCCATGTAGGAAACTTGATGCCGTAGAGTAGCAATGTGAATGGCACAGCTGCATAGAAAGAGCGGATGGGCGTGGGGAGAGCTTGATAGAGGGTTGCAAGAAACACGGATTTGGCCATTTAAGAACACCATGAATAAGGAGTCATGCGATCTAAAAATAATAAGACCCGAGTGCTCCTCATGGCCCTCATTCTTTTGTTGTATATGGATACTTCTCTGCAGATTAGTATCGGCCAGAGACGGATCATGAACCAAAACAAAGCTCTCATGAGCCATGCATTTAGAAGCGCTATGGGACGATGGCTGGCATGGGTTTATGGCGTCTCCGGCCTTGACCACGGAAACACAGTGGAACAGCGGTACTTGGGCGGAGCAAGTGGATAAGTTGTAGCTGAAAGGTTCTCTGGAGGAACTCGTTCATGGATCGTATGTTGGGTACCTTGTTATCCATGTTAAATCAAGCGGGTAGAAATGCCAACTTCGAAACCTCCATGATACAGCTTCTGGAACGTATCACTACGAGAAACAGTGGTTCTCGAATGTACCTTGGAGAACTTCTAGCGAACTGATTACTAGTGGTGTGATGGTTGATATGGTGAAAACGATGGACTACTGAGATAACATCGTATCATGAAGACATTTGTGTTAGACATGACAGCACAGGCTGCACCTGCTTCGTCCTTGGCCTCCATGGTTGTCCACCAAATGGAAGCGGGAATAAGCATGGCATCCACTAAGAAACTAGACTGAAGAAGGAAGGGTGCCCAAGAATGAAAGGAGAGACACCCATCGGCGGTAACCTTGCCGCTGCTTCGATCCTTTGTTCGAGAGAATTGCCTAAAGAGGCAGTTCGTTGAACAACCTCCGCATTAGTATTCATCCCTTCTAGTACAGAAATAGGCTCTATCTGCCTCGACTGTATGTTATAAAATCATCTTGTAGGTATAGTTCAGCGAGGATGATGCCATATTCAAACTTAAAGAGCTTGTATAAAGCTGTAAAGTAAACGGGACCATTGAGTTCAATGCCTCATATGCCAAGCATACGCCAAGGATCCATTTCGTTTGCGGGAACCCGGACCTAGAAAAACAACTTAGAGGTACAGGCCTGGTTGGCCATGTACAGAATATGCAACACATAACTCTCATGGCTGGCTGAAGCTCCGATGGGCTTACGTGACTTTCCTTTCACGGGCTGTACAGTATCTCAGTCTCTTTCCTTCTGTCAAAAGACTCGTTTCATAGTGAGCTTCAGCTGTTCCTCTTAACTGGGGTTTCCTACCCGTGAATGTCCGGGTGGCTGTGGATGGATGCCGGAATAAACCCAGCAGCGCATATAAGACCCAATTGAAGTTGAGATTCCCTTGAAGCTGCTCCAAGGGCATGACCTGAAACTACGGGGATGCTCATAGTTTGCATTGGGTCAAATTCTATCTGGAGCCATTGCCCGTCCATCCGAGGCTGGTGGTATGAATTGCGGTAGCGGGAGGTAAGGCAGTGAAGTATACTTGGAGCGAAGAATTCTAGCGTCCCTCCAATGGACGCTAGGCTCGCAGCAGGCCCGATACTGGGGTAAGATAATTTATTGGATGCTAGGGTCTTGTTCAATCAAGGATAAAGGATTGAGGGACGACAACGGATCAAGGCAATCGAGTGAGCGTGCATAAGGGATGGAACTTGATAGAAATAGCTGGCATAATATTGATCTTATACAGCCAAACTCGTATTCATGATGCTTAGGTACAATGAGCAAACAAAACAATGTACATTTGATGTACAAGGAACAACACAGACCAACCATCATTCAACGGGGTCCAATGTGTGGCGGTTAATATTGAGTTGGACCTGGTCCCGCCATTGAGTAAAAAAAGCACTTGAATGGTACGACCTGGCATCCATGACATGTACAGAACACAACGGCGGAGCCTTTGTGTTTCTCGATTTGTCGCGGCTGACGTTACTGGGACTCTTGTCTGTAACAAAGAGACGCGTGGAAAATATACTCCAGTCAGTTATTGCTGGCAAACGCTCGTGAATCGTATCACGACAGATTCGTGTTCGCTCGGCAGCGTGAAGTCTGATTTGGCAAGTTGACTCATAGAGGTACAAAAGATGACTATCCAATAAGAGTGTCGATCAAGGGTTCAGGTTGCCGATTAGCATCTAATACTGCATTGATGCTACATTGATACTGCAATCATGCATGCAAACCGAGGAGTATGCATCATTTGTTTGTAAGAAATGGCGTTTTACATATCAGAATTGTCATGCAATCGTTGCGGTACCGTTATGTCGACATACGAATGTTTCATGATGATACAACTGGCGGGGTACTCATGCTACCTATTTATCATTCTATACGACAGATGGGATTGCGCGTACTGGGACAAGCTGCAAACTCACAAGAACTTTCACGAAACAACGCTGCCTGGTATGAGTTGCATTCTCCATTCGGACATGGCTGCTTCTCGATATCCAATTGCACGATTGGTGCTTGTTGAGTCATGTAGACTAATACCTTGAATCGTTGATATCTGACCTGAAGCTTGGACACCGAAAAAGCCCGCTTGACCGCTTGCTTGTCCATGTTTGATGATGACGGAAATCAACTCTTGCTCCGAAAATCTCACTCTATCTATGCCTACTTGTTCATTTGTCTCTTCTTGGTGAGATGCTTACCGTTATCACATCAATCCAACAAACCAATCCCTAAGTCTAGGTGCCGATTATCACAGATAGCAACAAGTGGGTATCAGGAAACATCCACGGATCTGAGCCTCCCCACAATTAACTCCATGTTAGGCACTGCTGGGCTCGATGGTGCGTGCTGGACCCAGGGAGCAAGAAAACTTCTGACTTTAAACTAAGGTGCCAAAATTAACCAATCTTTAGGCCTATTAGGAAATACTAAACCTATCTCGTCTTTTTGTCATTTGTCCCAAGTTTTCTTGCCCCCCCTTGGCTGGGTCCTGGGCGCTGGCGCTGGGCATTGATCACCAAAAGGCTTCTGTATCCGACTCAGCGGCCAGAATTTTGCTGAAATCCATCGCTGCCGCTGCTGAGAGTTTCGGAAAGGAAAAAAAAGTTAACAAAATTTTCCCCCTCCCCCACCTCGCATTTTCCATTTGCACCCCTTGAAAGGCTTCCAAATCAATGGGACCCTGTCGGGTTCCCCTCCTCCTCGCTCCCAATCGTTCAATCGTACCTGCCCGCCATTCCCCCACTAAGCCCTCGCACGCCTGCGGCATGCCTAAGTTGCACCCCTCCTTCCTCATCGTCAATACCACTGAAGTTGCGCATCCGTCTTTCGGCAGCCCTGTCCTTCGCAGCCAAAACAAAATTACGTTAAACCCTTCCATTGTGCTTGTACCTGCCTCTTACTGTTTTGCCCGTCGGGTACTAAATCAGCCAAGTAACTCACGTAGACGGAGCACGTACCTCGTTCGTACTCTCTTTCCGCCTACCACTAAACCACTGTAACTACTTCTTCCGACGCGGCTTGACCACCGACTACCTTCCTTACCTGAGGTGCCTACCAGGGAAAAAAACCACTCCTTGTGCCTGGCAACTGCCTCCGCTCACCCTTTCCCAACTTGCCCTGTATCCCTCGTCTCTTTTCTCCTTCTCCCCTTATTCCTTCCTTCTTTTTACCGACCCTCCCACCCCTTCTTCTACCCTGCCTCTTCCCTCTCTCTCTTCTCCTTCTCTCTTCTTCCCTCCACAATGAGCGCTCAAGAACCCCTCCCCTCTACCAACTCATCCTCAGCGATAAACAACACCACGTCTACCGCTGTCGCTAGCCAAGATGCCTCGGGACGACAGCCCTCCTCCTCCGCCGCCGGTTCCTCCGAACTCTCCGGTGCAAAGATAAGCCTGCGCAAGTCGCTGCGAAGCTTCCCCGACTTCCCTATCCCGGGTATCAACTTTGTCGATATTATGCCTCTCTTCGCCGACCCAACCGCCCATGCCACCCTTGTCGATGCTCTCGAACTTCAGATCGCCGAGGCTTTCCCCACCAAGCCTGATGTTATCGTAGGCCTTGACGCCCGTGGCTTCCTCTTCGGCCCTGGTCTTGCGCTCCGTCTCGGTGTTTCTTTTGCTGCTGTCCGCAAGCAGGGCAAGCTCCCTGGACCTTGCGCTACCGCTGAGTACGTGAAAGAGTATGGCAAGGATCTGTTCCAGATGCAAGAAGACGCCGTCCGTGAGGGCCAGAAGGTCCTTATTGTGGACGACATCATTGCTACGGGTGAGTAAATCTGTTTGCAAAGCAGTATGCTTGAGGCGTATGGGACCGTAACTGACATGAATCATCAGGTGGTTCTGCAAAGGCTGCAGCTGAACTCGTCCAGCAGCTCAAGGGCGAGGTCATTGGATACTTGTTTATTCTTGAGATCCCTGGCCTAAACGGCCAAGAGAAGCTCGGCACTGCTCCTGTCAAGATTCTTCTTGAAGATGCTTAAGTGGCTGATGCCAGGCTTCCTCTATTTTCGATCCCACTTCCAGCGATAAAGCGATGCCGGGCCATAGATCGACGTCAATTAGCTCTGGTGTGCCTCATCGCGGCGCATTTGTGAGAAGTTTTGTTAGACCTGGAGAGTCTGTTTTTGCTCTATTTGTTTTCGAAGTGTTGGCGGCGGTAGTGACCAAATTTTACAGCAATTCACTTATTTTACTAAGTGAGATCTATATTGGTTGGCGTTTTGTGGATGGCTTTTTCACGACTCAACAACAGCAAAAGTCTTTTCGGGTTCGCGCATATAGAATGGGGTTTTTGGAGGATACCTTGATATAGCCATATAAAGAAAAATCGCAAACTAATAATCATAAATGCCAGTATTATCTGCCCACCTTCTGGCTGCTTTGCCATCATGAGACAATAATTACATGCCTTGCAAGGGCATCATACCACCTACAGCTATGATTAGAATTCTTGAGATTATGAGTAGGTCTCTAGGTCAGGTTTATAAATCTCAAGTTGAGCTTACAAGCAAGGCTTTGGTTGTTAAACGTATCATACAAAGAGACATCTATCCCCTATTTCCCTCAAAGCCTGAAGGTATCGTACGCTATCAAAAACAGCAATATACAAAAATGACGATAAAAGCCACCAAAATAACTCCGAGACATGCATATGAACTCTATGCGCTCGTTATAAGACAATGGCGTTCTCTATCAACATCCCTTGACTCTCCACCACGTACTTGCGCCGCATGCCTACACCCTTAGCCTCACCGAAACGTTCATAATCACCCTTAGCTCCACGCATGAGAACGAGAGGCACACCGTTGAGCCGCCCCATGCCTCGGGGTGTCACTTGCGCCGTGGTCAGCAGGGGGCGAACAATCTCATCAGGGCCTTCTTCTGAGTCATCACCCTCGTCAATGACAATCACAAGTTGTAGTGTGTGTGGCGAGGCCGGAAAGCTAGGTATGCGCTCTAACTTTTCGCTGAATGAGCAGCCGCCGCGACGAATGACAATTATTTGATGTTGGCGAGACGATGACTCGGGCAAGGGGGCACCACATGCTTCACCACCGAGGAAGACGGTTTTCCAAGGAAAGTTGGCTACGGGCTTGCGGGAGTTGTAGCTGGGTGAACCGACCATCGGTGTGTCGGTAATGGGCGGCAGAGGAAAAGCGCCGGGGCCGGTAGATGTGTAGGCCGTCCAACGGAGTATAGTGGGGCCGGGACCATCCGTCTCCGTCTCCGGGAGATCGGTATATGCGGGTTCAAAGACGGAGCTCACGGCACGGAGAAGCGACTTGAGGAGCGATTCCGAAGGAAGAGCCGCATGACTCGGAAGAATCTCACTGGATACGTTGACGCCCTGGGCGGGTGCTGGAGCACTGGCATTCGACTTCTCTGGTGTATCGAGGAGAAGGTCAATCTCAACGATGTCCTTTCGTCGAATACAAGTAAATGCATCGTCTTTGTAAGATCTCACATGCTCTGCATGAAAGAAGACATTCTCGTGACGACCAAGCTCTCTACTTGCTGCGTGTGTAATTCTCCAGGATCGATCTGCACCCTTACCGCCCTTCTGCTGTTCCAATTGAAGCCGCATGCCATCAAGGTTGCGGACCGTTGGTCCGTTGTGGCTGTACCACACGAGAGACGTCCCGAAACGAGACACAAGCGAGCTTGCCGTGTCACCGGGTGGAAACTCTATCCATGTCATGACGCGCTCAACGGGCGCGGCGCATACGCCGTCATGCGGTAGCATTGTTGGCGGTAACGTCCATGGAAACATTGTGTGATTGGTTTTAGCTCTATATCTCGTTACATGCCCTTTCTTCCGATCGAAGACTTCTACGGCTTCAAGGGGTCCATGGACATTGGGAGTATTGTGCAAGTCCACGAATAGTGCGACACTGAAAAGGTCAGGACGAGCAGCCGTAGCTGACCCGGAAAGACCTGGAACTGTAGGTACCGGACATGAGTGCGTGAAGCTCTCATCAATTGTGTCGTTCTTGGATACGACACGTTTCGATAATGAATGTCGTCGAGTCGGCTTCTGACGGCTGCGCTTGGGGATAATAAGGGGGTGACCCTCCGTAGAAAAGACAAACGCAGCATCAACCTTGTTGAGAGCATGGTCTGGGTCGAAGAGGAGGTACATGTACTTTGTTGTTTCACCAAGGAAGAAGCTCTCCATGCGGTCAGAGAGCTCTCCTGTTCTCACGTCTTGAAGACCAGCCCATCCACATGGCGCACGACATCGTCGCTCAATGTCTTTAAGAACCATTTCTCCGACATGCAAGTACCATGGGTCTTGTGTGGCACGGTATATATAATATGTTGACTCTATGAACTCGGGACGGCCTGGCCACCAACCGAGCCCCTGATCAACAGTGTTTTCGCGGACAGACCACCGCTCAGGCAAAGCAGCATAACGCGTCCAGAGAGCAGTATAAACAAGATTTGCCTCTACGGCTTCATCGACCTCGCCAGCCATAGCTAACAGACCAGGGTAGAAGGCACCCAAGCTATCAATCCACATAGTATATGGTTGCCCAGTTGTGCGATGATTATTCGAGTAGTATGGGTAATGACTTCTGTCGGTGTACAAATATCGCTTGACAGAGGCGTGTGCCTGATGCCATGCATCCAAGAACGCCTCAGAGGTCTGTAGCTCGGTAGGCAGAGGAGGGTGGAGGACGTTGGGGTCGAGCCACTCAGTGCTGCTCTGTCGACTAGTGGTCGACTTGTTGGGCATGCCGTGTCCTGAAAGCAGGATATGGCTCTTCAAAGCATATTCGAAGAAGCTATCCATACCAGCACCAATCCCGGCGTGTGGCCCTATCCACTGCCCACCCTCTGCGTCCAGGCCGTTACCGACGAGTCCAATTTCACTCCTTCGTCCCCAGACTGCCCAGAAAGCCCTCTTGGCCGCTTGCTCGAATCGAACGTCTCCTGATAAACGACTGAGAACTGTGAACTCTAGGGTAAGACTTCCAGCGCCGGCACTGCAAGTCTCGGTGATCTCCCCTGAAGCAGTCTCAGGTTTGCTCTCCATGTGACGAAAAAGGGGCGAGTTTGTATAGAAAGGAATCCCATGTCGAAGATTGACCCGAGGATATGGGATGCCAGTGTCTGTGTAAAATGCTGGGAGAAGCCTTTGTCCAAGATCGAGGGCCAGCCTTAAAAGTTGACCATCGTATTTGAAACCATTCGGCCAGGTTATAGGCGCCAGTTCAAGGGGGTCGTCCGCCTGAGTCGCCCAGGCTGGCTGCACAGTATACCCGTTGATAGGCAGTTCTCCTATGGCAAAAAGATGCGCACTGAGAAGGCCACCCAATCCACGTATTACGGTCTCAAAAACCTGAACCTTGCTGTCCAGGTCAAATCCAGTCGCTCGAATGCCCTGGCCCGAAACACCTGGTCGTCCATCACCATAGTATCGCACAAAATCCGCTATTCCATCTTGGAAATCGCTCAGAGCTTTCGACCCTGTCCCTGACGCATCTTCGGGTCCTCCGGCGAGGATCGCAAGTGTCGATAGACTATCAATGAGTGTAAGGGAGTAATTTCCTAGGGCATCGTTCAGTCCGATATGGGCGGGATTTTCTCGGTCTCGGGTCAGGGGCGAGCACGTCAAAGGTCGAAGCTGTGGAAAAAGTACAGTCAGCTTTGAACGGTGATCAGCTGCGAAACCAGACAAACCTCATCCTCAGGAAATGCATATTTCATGTAATTGCCAAAGCCATGATAGAACATATCGACTGTTTGTTGGCGTAACCGCACAAGGTGGTCCTGCCGCATTGCTTGAGCCGTCCATGATAGTGAGGCCCAGATCAAGAGCTGCACCCACACCAATAACATCATGCCTCCTGGCTCAAATAGCCAATGCCTAGGCCTCCGAGACATTGGCCAGGGGGAAATGGCGCTCGAGAGCTACTGGGCTCATCGAGGGAAGCCTAAGAACAGCGAAACCGACTGTAAACCATACAGGTAATATACGGAACGCCTCGAATATGACGCGCGACAGACGCTTGGCGTCGCGATTTGAAAGTTTGGAGGAGACGAAATCCTCACGAATTCTTGGTGACGGTTATTTCCTGTCATCATCGCGCCACATGTGGCTAGCGTGCTGTGGCGGTTCGTGAACTGTGGTCCAATCAGGTACCGTGCTTAACGCAGGCTCTTTCCCAAACAGAGTCTCCACGAAGTCGAATGTCTTAAGAGCTTCGACAGACCTGGAGGTTATTCTTTATGACTCTAATCTCATAACAGATTATCTTTACTTCGCTTCTATGTAGGTCAACAGTGCTTGCATTATCATACTCAATTTGATCATGGTAGCCTCGTCCCTTCCTATCTATCAGTCATCAAAATCACCTTCCTTGTCATTCGTCAGTACTATAACACACCCCGAATTTCGATGCAACACAAACACTAAGGTAACGACGAGCCAACAACATCATTCAGAAGCAGAAAACTCTCTCTCAGCACTAGTTGCCACATCTTCACCTCTCTTAGCTCCTTTGTTTCGACGCCTTCTCCGAAGACTTAATCTCACTAAATCACAACCAAAATACGCGAAGCCCACTCAAGTTTATGCCAAGATAAAAGGTCACGATGAGAACACCATATGTGTGCCAGCGCGTCACATCCCTGGCGCTAAGGCGAGAACAGGGAGGGTCCCTTGGATGAACGTCACTGTTGATCTAACCAAATTGAAGCGTCAAGCGGCAATCAGCCAGCCGTCTGAAGCGCTGGCTGTAACTCAACGTTGGTTATGCCTTGAACTGCTCAGGCGACAAACGTTAAACGCGTTTCGAGTCATCGAATCGTTATTTCTCATCACACCATCACGCACAATAGAATCTCAAGCGCAGTTTGGCTGGCGTTGGCCCCATTCGTCCGTGATCACTCGCTGGTGAACTTTCTGGACCTCAATACCCAAGGCGCCTAGGGATCGAAACATGCGCTTGTCCTGTCTGTGCTCGGGGAAACAGAATCAGATCAGTCCCCACTTGAGTTCCTTTGAAGATCCTCTGCTACAGGATAGATTCATTGTCAACGGCAAGCCACGCGGACTGCTAGTGACTCCTAGCGCGTCATCGGGATCTTCTTTTCCGCTGAGTCTTGACCTAAGCTATATCTGGTTACTATAGCAAGCCAAGGACCCTGGAGATGCGATGAGCAGTGAGGTCCGACATGAACGTTCAGCTGCGCTCACTCTCAAATTACCTTGCTTCTAGTCCGGCAACACTGCTGCATTGTTCCGTCTCCGCCATACAGTCCCTATGGTATGACTTCACTGTTAGAAAAAGAACCCAGAATCGGTAATTTGCACAGCTTCCTGTTGCAACTCCACGACATCTTGTTGTTCCACTGCCATAGCGCATTTCAACGACTGTTACATTCTTACTCGGCTCTTTTTAAGAGTGCAATATAATCTGCAGGAGTATCATGTTGAACAATCGCTGGTCCTTCCAACAATGGAAACGTGGAAGTACCCTCACCACGTTTCTTTAAGTCCCTATGGTCTTGTCAGGGAGCCAGATCAACCATATCCTTAATTGGCAGGTCGAAATACCGAATCAGAACAACTGAAAAATCGGGGTTTGCTGCCTTGACAAGCCTTCACATTCTGAATTGGAGAGCTTCGTCCTCCCAGTCTTGACATACTTCTCAAGACCCGCTTGCTTCTACTGCCACGACTCCGAGTGGTTTGACTTCTGCCATTTTTGGTAAGATTCTCTCTTGGGTTTCTATTCCCCCAAGATAAATCTCTACAATACTTTCACTGCCATATTTCATCCTATTTCAACTGCGGCGGTCAAGCAAAGGCAGGCCGTTAGCCAGTTATCGGTCTCGTCTGAGGCTTGACATTGCCGAACTGTCAAACGGCGTGATCTGCATCGGGGGGCTAGAAACCTGGATCCCTGGCGGCTAGGTTAAGGGTGTCCGCGAACGGGGCCACTAGTTTAGGCTCGAGGAGGCCCTGTCAAGCTTGTCTCGACACCCTCCCGGCTTCCGAGGGCACCCTGAATCCTTGCCAACCTGAACCCAGTTACATGCAAGTTGCAGCGAGAATCAAATTTACTTGAAGCGCAATTTTCCAAACTGTCGGGTCTACACAAGGACAAGTTTGTCAATACGAGCTATGTGTTGTCTCACTCACGCTCCGCCCCCTTTCTCAGTCTTTCCAGGTCTTTCGCATTCCCCCCTTGCTTTCGTGGCAGCGAAACACGCCATCTTGTCAATTCTAAAATCGCCAATCTTAAGAGCACCCAACCAGATGTTATCTCAAAAGTCTGACCCCAGATTTTGTGTGAAGCCACTCATGTCACTTGACTTCCCGCCCGCCCATACAATTACCTCTCAAACTTGGCAATATCTTCGGAAGCAGTGAAGACATAGATAGATACTACAAGAGCATTGGGGAGACGTGATACGACGCAGAATTCCTTCTTATACAAAGATGTCGGGTTCTTTACGAAGCTCTATCTTGAACAATTCCTTGGGGTATATGAAAGGACTCTTATATGGAAAATACAAAAAAATGAGGGGCTCTTCGTTGAGAAGATGAAGTTGTCTATAATGCCATTCCCGAAAATGAGTCAGAAGTTTTCTGTTTTCACGACCCTCTGCGTCCTCCATACATCGTCTGTGTTGGACTCAATCTCATCAAGGGTTGCATGCGATTGTTTTGTGGTGGCATTGCTCCCGGTTCCATCTTCATTTGTTGGTCCCACATATGTGCGCTCATCATGTGGCCTCCAGGGCCATCTTCTTCCATCTTGATATTGGGAAGGCCATGCACCTGGTTAATAACCTCATCTTCATGAGTGTTGTGGGATCCGACGCTCATCATCTCGTCGTGCTCATCACCGCGGCCAGTGCGCTTCCTTGTTTGAACCGACTTGCGTCGTCTTCTGATATTGAGATCCCCATGGGACTCCATGTAAATCCCCTCCTCGAGCTTTAGATCGTTGACAACTTTGACTTCTATGTCGCTGGCATTCAATCGCATATTTCGGGAACCCCCTAATTCGTGAAAGGTGTCAAGCATCATCTGATAACGACTCTTCTCGACGATCTTATAAGCCTCTCGAAGCAAGTCCTCCTTAAAATAGTTAGCAAAGTCCTCCGGGTTCTGAAGCCAGAATGACTTACATCTCTAGATAACCACTCAATGTACTTGGACCGGCCTCGTTTGAATTTCATCTGAAGCATTTCCTTACCGGGGCACTTCTGGAAACGACTCTTATAGTCGCTCTGGATGCTCTCCCACATATCCTGACCCTTTTGGTTGCGGTGCTCCCAGCGAGATTCGAATATGCAGCGCTCCTCATCGGGACAGGTACTCTTGAGTGTTGGCGGGACCTCTTCTCCAAAGCAGTTCTTGTGCTCGTCGACAGGCTCTTCAGCAGCTGCACTTCTAGAGGCTCCTGACCTCTTGGTTGTGCGCTTTTTGACGCGGCCAGGGGCGTGTAAGGCAGATCTTCGACGAGGGGATCCAGTCATGGAGCGTGGAACATCTGAAGGTAATCCGTGCAGTCCTGTCTCTTCTGGGCTTCTTCGGCGGTACTGGGGTGGATGATGCTCGGCCAGAAGAGGGGCAGGCGCCATTTCGCGATGATGCATGCCCATTGGAATATGATGATTGTCCCTCATCATCATGTGGTCTTGGTGCTCAACTGGAGGCGCCATATTGACGTAATAAGGGTTGCTCATAGGTTGCGGTTCTGGTCCGTTTGAGACACCAAAAGCTCCCATATAGGGCTCTGGGGGCCCTGGGGTTCGACGTCCATCGTGGACATAATTGGCATGAAGGAATTCCCCTCCAGCGACCGGAGCTTGAGAGGTCATGGGCGAACTCGCTTGTGGGGATTGACTATTAACGTCAAATTGTCCTGCCCACTGCTGCTGATGATACATTCTGGAACTCCCAGGAGGGCTAGGGTGTTGATTAGGTGTGCTTGGAGGCGGAGGATATTGTGATGCAATTTTTGACACGCCGTGCAAAGGAGGAGATCCCACGACTGAGATAGGAGTTAAGAGGTTTGGATCGCACTGGCCAGAAATGCTGTTGAAAGGTGAAGAAACCTGCAAGAACAAGCGTCAGTTTTACAAAAGGACTATTGGGGGCAGAGCTTCGGATCTATGACAGCGCTATAAAAGGCTCTGCCAAGTTCACGTCCACTTCGGATGAAGCTCGACTTACAGATGAGTAGGATGTCAGATCGTGGTAAGGGGAAGTCTCAGTTGTTGGAATTGAGTCCTGCAGACTGGGAGCTCCCGAAAGACCATCCGGCTGGGGTAGACCTGGGGCAATATACTGCTGCTCGACCATGATCATGTGGGTATCAAATTGGAGGATTGGACAATCGCAGTCCAAATCGGTTGGTTTATGTTATAGGCGGGGCTGAATAACAGAAATGGGTGCTTCTGTGAGTGGTGGGGAGCTGTTGATGCTGTGGCTGCAAGTTCAAGATTCAGACCGATACTGATAATGGCACATTTATGACCAGAAACCAAGATACTTCAAGAAGGCATCAAGACCTGGCGAGGCAGATATGGAAGAACGAGATGCAAGACGATTCAGCCTTTTCTGGCCGCGGCCGCTTTTTGAAGACCTGGGGGGTCAGAGATCGAGGCCAAAAGAGTGCAAGGGCAGGAAGGAGGAGTTGAAGGGAAACAGAGCCTTGTGGGGTCACAGACGGGCCGGCCGCGTTGTATAAATGGTGTTTGGAGATGAAGAGCAGTGGAGTGCAGATCGTTGGAGTGTATGTAGGTTTGGTGTACATGGAGGTCAGCCTGAGAGACAGCAGTAACGAAGTACCAGGACATTTTTGAGAGCCGTTCTTTTGGCAAGCCCAGGAAGATATGGACGAGCCAGAGACAGGCCTCGGTGCCAGGGGCAAATGGGGGAAGGACTGGGGGTGTCGAGCAGAGGGATCAAGCCCCAAGTACAGTATGGGTACGGCCTGGCATTGCCTTGAACCTAGGAAGTGGAGGGCTTAAGCTGTGAGGGCTCGGGGCTCAATATCCTCCGTCATGCCAAGGTACTGGAGCTGTCGTGCATAACAATAGCCGCCGAGGGGTCTAAAGCAGCGAACGAAACGGGCTGGAAATAGAGAAAGGCTAAGGGCAGAACAGAGGACGTGCATGGACGTGCATGGTATGCCCGTGGAGATGACACTGGGATGGCTTAAAGGATGGAGGGGAATCATCGCGACCATCGCGGCTTCAAGGGCGTGTGTGGGAGTGGGAGTGGTGTTGAATTTGGCTTTTACTTTGGCTTGGATATGGGCGTGGGCATGTAAAACGAATGAATATGGGGCGGGGGGTGTTGGTTTGGGGGTGTTCTGCCATCCCTCCATCCCTCCATCCATCACATCCAGCTTCAGTGTGTACATTATGGGTGTGAGACGATGAGATGGTATGGGAAAATGGATTGAAAACAACACCGAAAAGAGTCGGATGTTTCTTCGGACGCTTCCTCGATTTCACCAGGCCGTCACTCTTTCGTCAGTCAGGGATGCTTGGAACTTTTTCCACCAGGCAAATCCCCCTTCACACGACCACCGCCTCGCATATCCGGTCTGGAGCAGTCTTCTATCCGACAGTCTGGATAGAGTATGTAATGGCAATCTCTGGTTATCAGTCTAGCAAGTAATGAGGAGATTACGACTCAACTCGACTTGACTCGATTCTCATCCCACACGGAGCTGACCTGTGAGGTCTGCGTTTGATCAAGAATGATAGAGGAGAATACAGCACGGAATCGAAGAGCAAAACAGACTGACTATTCAGAACCGCAACTATGATATATTATGTGGTTGGCCAAAGACACCATGAGCTGTCGCTGCACCGTCAACGTGTACGTACTGGAATGGAGGGTCGACACGAGTAGCCAAAAGAGAGACGGATGCCCCGAGAGGGAAAGGCGAGACAAGCTGAAGAGCAGTATTAGGTCTCTGCCAAACTAAAAGGCCAGGCTGAGCTAACGGGGACGAGAAATCAGTAATGGCCGAAGAGAATGAAAAGAACGGGGACCTGGGGGGGCCTAAACCTGGACCTTGACAATAGACGATGACATGGGCCAGCAACCACTGACCAGGTACGCAAAAGAGAAAATATGTGAGCGATAGGAAACGCAGCAAGGTGGGGACAAGAGTGGCCAAGGACCCTTTGTGTCTGGTCTGTCTTTAAAGAGGGAAGAGACAATCAGAAAGGTGGGAAGCTGGACCGGGTTACGCTACCTGAAGGCAGACATCCAGGAGCCGTGCTTCTGATGAGTTTCTCATCCCCTTCTTCGTAGACATGAGCCGGTGAGTCAACAAGCTCATCTTGGGTTGGTCTGACCAAGTTATCAGAGCTGGGACGACAATAATGTATGACGGACAGCAACAAGGGCTGTCAGCAGGAACAGGTACAGGTACAGGAACGCGGGAACTCATAATCCTGTGCGGGCCGTTTGGCGTCCATCGATCTGAAGATCGGCAGCTTTGAGAGAAATGGTGCGCCAGTGACGTCCCGTACGGTACTGGGATGTTAGTGGAGGAGGAGGGCGGAATACAGAGAGTCAAGACATGAGAGAATGAGAAAAGACGCGATGATCTAAAGTGGGAGCAGGGGTCTGCCGGGGGAGCGCATTTGGGGCTGGGTGAGGCCTGGCCGGGCCAAGCCAGGCCAGCACAGCCAAATAGCTCAGCCGACAGAGAAGAAAAAGGGTACAGAACGGATTTCACTCCATTTCTGCTTTGCTTCTTAGCCTCGAAGCTATTTCGTTTTGCTGGTCAATAAGCAGCGAAAACAAGAGCGAAAGCGGAACGGCGTCGGAGACGGAAACGGAGATGGAAGACGAAAAGGCCCAAAAAAGACGACATGACAGAATACAAAGTGACCATGCCTGCAACAGCTTAGGCAGATCCCAGCGACTCCACCACTTTGCTTGGCACTCGCCGGCAGATTGCCTGCCTTGTCATTGCCATTGTCATGTGTGGGTGGGAGGGAGGGAGGGAGGTAGAGAGTATTGAGCGGAGCATTGCATTGCATTACACTACATTGTATGGCTTGCGCACATGCTGAAGATTCTGTCAGTCAACTAACCATCCATGAAACAGTTGCAGGTCTATCATATCGGTCGGTTGGATGCTGCCCTTTGGCGCAACGACAAGAAGGAACTCTGTAACCAACAACAAGCTTGATATTATACGCGCGCTACCTGGGACCATGATAGGACCGCGTGTAGCGCGAAGCCGTTGAGATGTGAACCTCGCCGCAAAATGGACGGTAGTGTTAGCCTTAAAAGGTCGCCTCGTGCCCCCCCTGGGGGTCATAAATTAACGACGCTCTACCGCGACACATGGATCGGAAGCTTTGACTGTACGTATGTACTGTACAGGACGGTACAGTACCTAACAGTTTACCTTATGGTTCCCACAGGTGGCTTGTCCTGTCCTGTCTTGCCTTGTCGACTCTTCCCCTGGTCCGCGGATGCCACCCGGCCTGGAGCAAAAGCCGAGCAACGATGCCGCTGCACAGCATCAGCAACGTTCAGACAAGTTATGTATTGACAGAAAATATGTGCAGAGGGCTCGCTTCAACTAAGATGAGCTTCTTTAATTAATTATCCTTCAGCTACTGCAGGGCTCTCGAAGACGAGTGGACGGAGAAAAAGCAACGGGGATTATGATGCTCTGGAGCCGACAATATCCCGGTTCCCTGACTCAATCAGTCTCAGCTCCAACTCGATTCAGTTTTGAGGCTGGCTGGGCATGGTCATACAACAACTAACGCAGTGTCTACACGTCACGATTCATACTGTACGTATCTAGGATGGCAAAGCAATGATCACAAAGACACGACTAATTGTCTAATAGCAAGTTTAAACCCACTTGCCCTGCTCAATATGCAACCCATAACATAGCATGGCATGCGCCTCGCGGCGCTTGAGAGATGACAGGGGTATCGGAGTTAGAGGGTGGCCCGCTCTGGTGCAGAAATGCGGCCCCGCTGCCGGCCATTCAGCACTCTGTGCCGCAAACTAGTGATGACGCTAAAAAGCTTAGCTTACCAGACTGTCGGGACCACGCTAAGCAGGCATCAATCCCTGTGAGGTTACTCGTCTTCCCAAAGAAGCATGGCCCGAGCAGGGGAGGCCCTTGATTTATAGTGGGAACAATGTGCTACGAGCGAAATAGCCATTGGTAGCCCAGATGATCAGCCTGATGATTGCGATTGGGGCCAATGGGTGAGAGCTCCGGGCTCGCACGCTTTGCTGAATGTGGTATAGCGAGTACGCGCGCGTTTACCATGCGGTTGGCTGTCATTGGACAGCGGCTTGACTGCAAGCGAAGGTCCTGCCAGCTCAACGCTGGGCCTGACTTTCCGTGTCAGGTCCCTGCACGCCCCCCCCCTTGCTACTTGCTGCTCCTTGCACATTGATTGCTCCTCTGATTTCCTACCTCACATTATCCATCAGAATCAATCAAACCCTCTTCATTCCACCAGCTTCGGCCTTCTCGTACCGACAAATCATTACCGATTTACTCACCGATTTTTCGTTGGCCTTTCTCTTTCCTATTCTGCGTTACAATGGGAGCAACCTTCCCCACATCCCAGTCAAAAGGCTCCATTGTCTCTTTTTTTTTTTTTTTCTTACAAAGTTAGACTACGTTTTGACAAATTCATTATGAGATGCTGAGAGACTTGGCCCAAGATTGGACTAAACTTATGCTACTCCAGCATATACAATTGGAGTCTTGCCGATTTCTATCGGATGCATGTGCCATATCATGATACCTCCAGCATTTATATGGTTGGTTCACTTACTATCAGTCTATCACAAGCCAAGTGCCGGCCTGGAAGGCTCAGGCCCCTGGACATCGTCTCCCTCGCTTGTGCGCTATAGGTAGCTCATCTGTTATTAACGCTTAGCTATTAACTTAGCTGCCAACATCGCCCCCATCGCACGCCGCTGCCGCCAGATCTGGGGTTTTGGTTTGAGGGTTCCTGCAGATCCATTCTCGGATCTAACGTCGCGGGTGTCAAAGATAACACAGCCTTGTCACGCCATGTGTCTATATGATATGGTCATTGAGGTATTCTGCCTAAAATAATTTCTACACTGCATCGCAGGCTTCCTTCCCCATGCTTCAAGGCAGTGAAAACGCTCCGCCCTGCTCCACCGTTTCATCAAGCTTGGCCTTGTGGGTTTCAGCATTGGCTTTGCCTCTTACCCGTGATCTCAGGACCTTGGAATGCTGTTGAATTTCAGCGAGCAGACATGTCTTGCTAAAGGACTCTTGCCCTCGGTTCTCAAGAATCAAGAGCCCCCTTGTCTGGTTATCTCCGTCCTAGCGTGGTGTCACTGGTACTCTTGATTTTGTTTCCGGTTTCAAACTTCTCCATCTCATTTACCCAACTGCCGGGACTCTTAACGCGGACATACTTTGGCCTGAATGGGAAGGTTTTGCGGGAGATTGCTCGATTCACTGGCTTTTTCGATGCGCATCTGACTCGTTCAAGTCCACTCTAAGCGCTCTCGTCGCGTCAGGTTAGATGATCGCCCCCTACCACTTACAACACAACAAACATGTTGACACTACCGAGGCATGTTTGCTACGGTATTTCTAACGAGCATGGGAGTGTTTGCCGCGAGTATTCCGCCTTGTTCGTAGGCTTAGCCGCGTTTTTGACGTCTCACATTTCAACTCAAAAGTTCGTATATGTCGGTCCATAGGGTCGCATTTCTGTCCGACCCGCTCCCCCTTCTCCCAGTCATATTTCGAATCACACGCATGCTCATGCAGAGTGGGCGGTACCAGACTTTCGGGACCAGATAACGTGTTTGTTGCTCGTACGTTGCGAGCAGAAGAGGCAGGTGATGATACGGCTCATCAGCGTTGAGACAACCATCCATAACAGGTGTAGTGCCGTACATATCCGTCCGTCTGCAATGGATGGCGGCCCCCCCGCTGTGACATGGCTCTCGCTAGGGTGTACCTTGCCAATGCCCGGCTTGACATTCATTGCTCAAGCCCTGGCAGAAAGATGTTTTCGATTTGTTGCTAGGCTGAATTTTAGCGTTGCCTTCCGTAGCCAGCACAGGCACAAGGCGACGCCCCCAAACCCCTCCCTCCTCTTTTCTTGGCAACCCATCTCATCTTGTCATCTATCGGGCGATCATCGTTAATAAGGAACAAAACACACACCCTCGTCAGAAGCCAATCTCGTGGGGTTCCGGATGTTCCATCCACCCATCTTTTGTCCTGATTGCGCATGTCTACGGCCCGACGCTTCGACTTGTTTGCATCACGGTCAATTGCAGAGCATGTCATTCAGCGTCAACACACTCACCCATGGCGCAGACCTGCGGCATGCGCTGCGCAGTAACAAGAACAAGGGATGTCCAATTCCCCTCCATACTGCTATGGCACTTATGTTCTGCTCGGCCGGGGTACGTACACTCCCATACATCATCTTGTAACCGCAATACTTGGATACGCCCGCAACAAGCAGACCCGATATCTTCTTTTGGGTGTCAATAGGATTCTTTGCACCTCTGCCAAGTGAGCAGCTGATTGTGGCTACCTATTGTTCTTCACATGGACCAAGTCCTAGCTCACAACTGTCATGTCTCCAGCGTGCTCTATTTGGTTTGCCAGCATTGTTCTGTGCTCCCAAAACGACCAAATCTACTAAGGCTAGCCGTCGGCTTTGCCGTTACGTGAATAGCTAGAGCTTATTTGCCTTAACTTTGTGTTAAAGGCGCCAAAACGTGTGCAGCTATCGGCCGCCTCTGCACTAGGACAAACACTCGCCACAAAGTTCTATTATGGCTTTTAGCCTGTATTGTATGTTTCTTTCCTTCATGTCAAAAAATTGAATATAGAAACTTTTGTGGTAGTTCCTCATACCACAGCCTACTGCTGTATCAGCCCCCTTCTTGATGCTGCGAGAGCCGAACACTTGGCCTACTCGGAGGAAAGCAAGACAGTCTCGAATCAACTACCTTGTCCAACTTGAAGGGAACTTGTACCAGTCACTTCATTGATATGCGTCACCGATAGCTGCTTGCTCGCTGTAGCACGGGCTCCATGTTGGCCTGGAACGTTAGCCTACTGGCATGTCTCTCTCTACCAGTCACTGGCGATGGGGACGCAGAATCCCGGGCCGTTTGATCATTTCAACCATCTTTCTTCTTACGTCTCTATGCATATAGCATGGAGTTACAGTGACGGTATCGTTTTCCAGGGCCTGAAATTCAAGAAGCACCAAAAGTACTCGGCAAAGACTCTTGAAAATTACAATGCAATTCTTAACACCAAATGGCCTCAACAACGTGATCTATTGTCTCTCTATCAAGTCTAGGCCTCTATAGATATAGGGTTCATAAGGAACTGAGTCTATCCACATATGTGACAAGTCTCCAGTTTCTTCTGACCAGGGGTTGATTCAAGCCCTCGTTGGGAGCAGGATCTTCCTCTTTAATTTCAGGCTCTAATAAGAGGGAATTATGGTACTGCAATAAGCCAACTCATGGATTCATGGGGCCTGTGCTCTGAAAGTGTGGTCATGGTTGGCATTTTCTCCATCTCAAGATGGTGTTTTTGAAAGGAAATTGAAGGACGAGACGCCACTTTCGGAATTGGCTGCGCACAGGCAGAAGATGCAGCAGTTGCAAGCAACTATGGTCAAGAGGATAGATCTTTCAGAGCGGTTTAGCGCGTGACTCCCGGCACTTGAAAACGCCGTCTAACGGCTTGCCGAGTCTTACATTCTTTAGTGAAGCAAACTGCGTCTAACTGGGATGGGCTGGGCTCAGAATTGCTCTTTTACAGGCTGGAAGGCTTATCCCAGCGCAGATCGATGGCGAGTTTCATGAGCGGGCACAGGACGCAAGTCCTGGCTGGGGCTGGGAGGGGGCGTGTTGTTGGTTGTTGGTTGTGCCTCTGTTGGTTGTGTTTTCTCAGAGTCAGAGTCAGAAGAGAATGACCGCCAGGGATCAAATTCGACGTGGTTCTTCCTCCCAGGGTCCGCTACAGCCCTAAAGAGTAAGTGGCTCGTCTTCGGTTCAGATACTGAGACTGATACTGATAGTGGTTCCGATCTCCAGATGCCCTTGTTTCTCGTCTATGAACGCTCACTGTGCCGACTTGTCTCATCGGCCGCTACCCTCAGCATCCCTGCAATGGAATATCGATAGAGAATCCAAGATTGGAAAAGAATATCCGGAGCCGGCATTGTTCAGTTTCTAGAAAGTTGGCTCAAGCATTACCCGCATTGCTTTACATAGCCTACTGAGAGTGCCTTGCCGAACTGAATTCAAAACAAACAATAACGGCATCATTATGAGTAAATTTCCAGCCAACTCTTGTCGTCTGGGGGCGCTTAATCCAGATATTTGGTTTGTCTTCTGCCGCGCACCAAGGCCCCCCGGCCGTTTCCGTTTCATGCGGCCATGGGTCTGCAGAACAGGCCAAACAGGGCATTGCCGGCCTGAAAATGCGGCCATATACTTTACTTGACGACATAGGTCATATCATCTCCGCTGCGAGGCGTTATTCTGACTCTATAGTCGATGAATGAATTGCCTGATTGCCGAGACTTTCTAAGCTCTGCGGAGAGACTCGATGTACTGCTTTGACAAGGCGTTTTCGGGACAATGCAATGTTTCGAATCACGATGGTGGACAAGGAATGTATTCGTCTCAGCCTCTGAGGCATGGCCGTTACCGACTCCAAGGGTTTATCACTCATGGAATTCATCCTCAAAGCCGGTGTCTATTCAATCGATATATTAGCTACTATTGACTTGATGTCATTGATGCCCAAAACCGTCTCTTTTGCATCCTTGAACCCAAATTTTACCTTTTAAACGACAAGAGCACCACTGAAAACGCCACGGCAACTTCATTTCCGATGGATGAGGAATTCGGAAATAAAGAGAAGGCAAACGGCTGTGGCGTAGATTGTTCTATTGTCCCTTGCTCTCTACCGGAAGTCGAATCAGGATCATCACCACGCAACCAACAGACTCGTCGACGCTGGGAAACGCCAAATTTGACCCAAATTCGTGGCGAGGGATCAGGGATTCTACCATGGCATTCACTGTCCTCAATCGTATCGCCACACTAGCTCGATGATGGGGCAGATGCAACTGATGGCTGCGAATCAACCTCCAAGAGCCGGGGTCCTGGGTTGATGAGCTGCATGCATTTCCGGCGATTGCCTCTCCAGGCTGACATCGATGAGTCGAGTCAGATATTGGTTCAAAGTTAATTAAATTGATCTACAGGTACTGTTTGTTTGTTTGTTTGTTTGTTTGAAACATCGTAGCAGGCAGAGGCAGAAGTGCAGCTCCAGCTCCAATTCCCCTCCTCGTGCTTCGGCTTCTCGTCATTGAACCCAGTCATGGTGCCCCATAGGGTTCTGAGAGTGAGTGATTGATCAGGGGGCACATAATGGTACGTGCCATTGAGAGCAGAACGACAGAATGCTCCGATCCCTGTCTTCGCCCGCCCTGGACCTGGACCTGGACCTGGACCTGGTTGTTGCTGTCTGTCGCTTGTCAACGTCAATGTCACCGTAACCTCAATTAGACTCGGCTCACGGATCAAGTCCCCGCGTCTCCGTTCCCCTGCAACCTCGCCTTCGCCATGGTATCCGTATACGTTATGAATATGAAATGGCATGGGTCAGAGACGACTTCTAACTCGCTTAGCCAAATGCCTCGGCCTATGCTTGATGGGGGCATGTATTTCTGCCTGAGATATTCATGGGCTATCAGGTCTCTGTTCGAGATTTTGCCCAAGTTGCAAAAGTGCCTCCGAGCTTGTCTCGTACACGAGAACGGAAACTGTACAAACCGGTAGAAATCATGAGAACCAGTATAGTCTTGGCTTTGCTGATCCTAACATTCATCAAAGAAAATACTTACTCTTAACTATGGGTCAAAACGAGCTAACTTTGAGGCACGATACGATATGTTTTGGATGACGAGGTCATGTTCTCGTGATCTTTTGTAGAATCAATACTTTTTCACATTATACGGCTTGGGCAATAATATCCGTATCCCTTCGAAGTACATAGACAACAAGAATGATGATTATTGCTTGTCTTTATTGAACTCTGAACATCTCGTCATACTGCATAATTACACGTAGACTGTCTTTTACCACTTCCAACTTCCATTTTATTCCTCAATAAGCTCATCCCGGTATGGAAACGCAATAGTTGAGCAGATCCACCCTGGCTCAACAGTCTCAGATTAATCACGATGCAAAGAGTACAAAACCCAAGACCAGAAAAGGAAAATGAACCCGTGCGCAGACCTGGTGTCAGCAAAGGAGCGGGCTCGCTTCAGTGGAAAAAAGAAGAAAAGATCTTGCCGCTGGCTTATGATGCTCCGTTACAGTGCCGAAACTCACGCCAGTTTTAAAAGGAAAAATTGCTCTCAAGACTATGTATGTCTAATGCACCTCTCACTCATAGTACCAATGTTGTTGATCACGTTCCTAGGCGCCTTCCAAAGGAGGCACGTATGAGTAGTTAAAGTCAAGTAGGCCGTCCAACATCCAGTGCTGGGGGTCGAAGAAGTCGTAGTTGGCCGCATCTCCGTAACTGACACCTGCCATCATACTATGAGCTGACGATACAGCTGAGAGTCCTGTGGCTCCCGGTGTCAGGGCGCCGTTCGAGTTGGGGTTGCTGTTGTGAGTGTTGTTGGTGCTGAGCAGACTCGAAGGCGGGAGGGTGTGAGACGGTACGAGGGTGCTGTCCATGTGTGTTGATGATGCTGAAGACTCATTAGCCGAATCTGGATTTGTCGGTTGTTTGGCAGCTGTGGTCTGTATTAGCATTCTTGCAATATTTGCACAAGACAAATCAAGACATGCTCTACTCAGGGGCCTTCACCAAAACATAGGGAGAAAGGGGATCACCTACAGTCTATAGTACCTCGCCCCGATGCCTGGAAGTCCTCCCTCCACCTCCAGACTGAATCGAATACAAGACTCATACTGTGGCGACATCGAACCTTGAGTTGGAGGCTGTCGTCCATCTGGATCGGTGAGTTGTCGTTACTGTTGAAGTTATGTTGATTGTGTTCGAGTCGAGCGCCGTTCCACATCTGCACCATGAGTTCAGCCAAACGCCACTGAAGATCATTGTTAACAACACTGGTAGCCCGGATAGCCCGGATCGTCTGATGAAAGAGCGTTCGACCTCGCTGGAAGTCTATAGTCTTCGAGAAGAACGACCTCATAAGCTTGAGAAGGGCAAAGCCAGCGGCAACCATCATCTGTCCGATGTAGTTACTGCAGTGAAGAAGTAAGTGTCCGCCAACGCCGTCCCGAGGACTAGTGGCTTGATCAACTTCGAGAATTTCATCGAGAAAAGCGGTAGTGGCGCGCCATAGGCCCATCAGATCATCCATATAGCCTGGCGTCTTACTGGAATCGAAGAAGCCGGCCAAGCGCATGTGAAGAGCCGCTGCCCGGAGATGCAAAGAGACGATGGGGCCCAGCCCTTGTGAAAGGATAGAAGCATTCAGCTCTGCGTAATCTCGACGGTAGACACGCATCAGCATTGCCCGGTGTTCATCTCCTGCAACGCCACGGGGATCGCTAGCGTTGCTATACATCTCCTTCGATACCTTGTCACAGAATCTCTCAATCTGTAGCCGCGCCTCTAAATCTCGTGATAGTTGGAAAGCACTCTCTTCTCCGGCTCGTGAGGCCAAAGTCCAGTCATAAAGGGTTGATGCTGGCTGGCCGTAGCCAGTTCCAACAGACTGCGCAACAATGTTACAAACAGCCCATGTTGTCACACGGTCATTGAGTTGTTCCTTGTTCAACTCAACTGACACCCTAGAAAAGTCTTGGATATTATTGGGCCGGTGAAGACCTATTCCAGTAGCCGTTTTCATCATCACTCCACACAAAATGTGCGTAGGGTCGGACGAGGTCGTACTTGTGGGTAGTGGCCATGTGCACAGCAGGCACATGGCCTTGACCACGTAGTAGTTGCTCGGGACTTCTCCTATCGTTGACCACAAGAAACGTGTCAGAGGTCCCGAGAGATTGCTGAGCAGATCGTTGGCGTTCGGTGGATTATATCGTCGGGCAGCGACAGAGATAATGGACCAGAAGAGGAGGGGATGTTGTTGGTAGAAGAGATCAGGTGCCTGTGAAGGGTTGAGGAAGGGCAGAAATTGATGATAGAAAGCCCAGAATTGTCGGAAAAGGTTGTTGACATCTTCTTCCGTTAGCTTGACATTTTCTAGGTCGTGTGAATATCGTGGCATGTTGTAGTTCCCGCCGCGCTTAAGATGAAGCAGGGACGAGACAGCTTCGTCAGAACCCATTAAAGAAGGATTTCGGGTGTGAGTGTGAGTATAGGTAGGATTGCTCGCAGCGATGGGAGAGTCCATATCGTCATCGGCTTCTGGAGTGAAGCCCTGAGACTTTGCGCGAGCAAGACTGCGACGCAGTCGATCGATCTCCTTCTCCATCTCGGCGTGCTTAGATCTTTTGCCTACTCTTTTGAAGTTTGATTCGATTTTGCACTCTAGTTTCAGGCGATTGCACCGAGAGCAACTTTGGAAAGGGTCTTGCACCACGTCGCATCGGAGCTGTTGGAAAATTCCTTTCAGTACAATTGTATTTAGATTTGTTTCTCGGGGTTTGACTCACCTTTTGCTGTCGACACTCGTTGCAAGCCCTTTTGACGCCAGGCTGGCGCTTCTTCTCCTGCTCGGCATCGTGATCGTCAAGATTACTGCCTGGGCTACTTTCAATGCCAACCATGCTGCTCCTCTTGCGCTTGTTGGTACCATTGCTGTTCCCATGACCATGACCATGACGGGAGCTGACAGGACTCGTAGGACTCATCGAGGCCGCCCCACCAGCCATCATGGAACCGTCCATAGGGACGATGCCCTGAGCCGGAGGCCCGGAGGAAGAACGCGGCGGGATGATGCGAGGATGCACCGGCGCCGAGACGGACACGGGCACGGGCAATCAAAGAATCGGAGGCTTCGAAAGCAAATACCCGGAGTTCGTTGACCGGCCGGTGTCGGTGTTGGCGTTGATATGGATATTTCGGGTCGCGGCGCTGAGTGGGCGCGTCGTGTGTTGGCAAAGACAATGCGCGTGAGCAAAGGCCGACTACGGAGGAGAGGGGTTTGTTTGTTAGGGAGAAGATTGCTTTTCGCTGGTTTCAAGGTGCGAAAAAAGGCGACTCGAATCTGAGTGGCTAATTGACCTGGCCAATTACCAACTTTTTCACCGTCCTTCCGTGAAAAGGGTAATTCGCTTGGCAATCTTAACTGGGAAGGTGCAGCAAGGTACAGAAACGGTACTCTTTCACCGTTGTTGCCTCATGCAACGACTTCTGAGCGACCTGACAAACTGGAGACGAGCGGGGCAGGCCTAGAAGATTACACCCTGCAGCGGGGATTGAAGTCTCTGATTGGCAGGTCATCCAACGAGTCACGTGAGACATACATCACTCAGCCGAGGCTCAGGTAAGGCGTGATCATGATATGGGGAACCTAAGATATGACAATTGGGTATACTCAAATGAGGTCCTGAAAGAACAATATTCTGCATGTAGACTTGGAAGTCAGATAGTTTCGTAAAAGATTTTGGATGGCGATGCAAGACTTCTGACGCTGAGTATGTATTGTGACCACCTCGTATTTATGAGTTACACGATTTCATCACATGATGACTGACGAGAGTGTAACCAAAAAGAAAAAGAAGAGACAAGAGGGAACTATGCTTCGGCACGTTATGACCTTCTCGTATTATAGATACACGGTTTTATTCCTTCTGGTGGTGGTATCTACAAGTCGAGAAAAGTGTGACGATGTGCTGAGTAGTACCTATCTTAGTATATGGCATTGAATCTGAACCAGCCCTTTCATGCATCTGAGCCCCAAAGTTCGAACGAAATCTAGATTAACTATTCAGCTTCTCTTTCTAGGGATGAAACCACTGCAAGCTATCATCCCTCACTATACTAGTGATTTGAAATCACATACTATGGTAGTAATACCTTGCTCCGTCCATCAAATCGAAAACGATATTTGTCCTTCCAGTGGAAGGACATGAGCTGCTAAGCCAATCAGGCTCAACCACTTTACACTGACTGCTCTGAGCGCATCTTGCCAAAAACATATCTCCCTACCTTACTTGCGTTAGATAATCATCTTTGCTTTTTGCATTAAAACCACTTCTCTTTTTCCTCACACCTGGGTCCTTCATCAACAATCATAATCACCTTTCCTCGAACACTTCATCATGCCTGAATCTGACAAGCCTCGTCAGTCGGTCAAGCGTCAGCTCAAACCCGCTCCCCAACGCCCTGGCCAAGATGTGCATTGTCCACGATTCAAATCAGAGGTCCACTTTGTGATTCCGGGATCGATGCCAGAAATCGGTGAGTTGATCAAGGCTACAGTGTTGATGAGACACGGTTCTGACGCTTTGTGTGTGTAGAAATTCTTCGCATTCGAACCACGGATGTTTCTCAGCCTTTCCTGGACCCAAATTCGATGCAACAGTCATGATGCCTTTTATTACAGGAGATGCGTTATTCAAACTTGGCTGATACATAATTGATACCCTCTCACAAATCTGAAAGCGTATGTTTCCAATCTAGACCCTGCATTTCTGTTTCGGGCCCAAGTCATGGACCCTGGCCTGGTGGACATCAAAAGCCAACAATATTTCAAGGCGAGGCGGGAAATACCCGTGAGTGATCGGCTCTTCTTGTTCCTTTCCGAAACCTTGTAGGGTCCTTATAAGTGAACCTCGTTCAAATATTCCAAATTATCGGGAATGCCAATGCAATTGGAGTAACTTCCCACGCTAGACAAGCCTCGGACATGAGCTACTTTATCTATCTAGCCCATGCTACTTGTCAAATGACGATCTCCAATCCAAACCCGGTGAAAGTGCCGAACAACACCACAATTCAGGATCCCCCTCTTATTCCGCGGGTCGCCCACACTCATTATGCGGGGCTGTGGACTAGTGTCTAGGGGATCCTACTCCTCCTCCTGTGCCTCTCTTACCTCTTTCTTCCAAGTGGAGGAGCCGATCCGCATAACTAAGCTATCCCACATGCACTGCTATATGCCAAGGATGCATAGTAGACTACAATGAATCTAGCAAGATACGTTCTTTTCATGGGCATTCTCTCGTCGAAACCGCCTATATAAACCGTCATCCTACCCGACTGTCGCCCCATCCAGCTTGTCTACAACATTACTGACTCTCTAATCTGAAGCTTGATACCCTGGCTTCATCATGGCGACCAAGCTTCATACTGTGCCTTTCCTCATCAACGGCAGCGATCACACCAGTGAAAGGGCTGTTGATGTCGTGTCTCCTGCGAGCGGCGAGGTCGTCCACCGCTACCACAGTGCTGACGTCAAGGATGCCAATGCTGCTGTCGAGGCTGCTGCTGAGGCATTCAAGTCATGGCGCAAGACAAGGCCTAGTGAGCGCCGGGATCTCTTTCTCAAGGCCGCCGAGATTATGGAAAAGCGACGTGATGAGCTCCGCAAGTACTCCATGTCAGAGACTGGCAGTGATGCTACCTGGGCCGATTTCGATATCAGCACAGGCATTAGCCATCTGAAGGAAGTTGCCGGTCGTATAGGAACACTTGAGGGCGCCATCCCCACTGTGTCGGATCCCAACACAACCGCACTCGTCTTGAGAGAGCCTTATGGTGTCGTTGTAGCAATTGCGCCATGGTAGGTTTCTCGTGCCCGGATGAGTCTAAGAAGTTACTAACATGTCAATCCAGGAACGCCCCTTATATTCTCGGCACGAGATCTGTTGTTTTCCCCATGGCCGCTGGTAACACAGTGGTCTTCAAGGCCAGTGAGGTTTCTCCTCGAACACTATGGGCCATTGCCGATGTTTTCAGAGAGGCAGGACTCCCTGATGGTGTTCTTAACGTCATCTTCCACGAGAGAGCCAATGCTGCAGCAGTCACCGCCGCATTGATTGAGCATCCTGAAGTCAAGAAGATCAACTTCACCGGCAGTACACCTGTTGGCCGTATCATCGGTAAGCTTGCAGGCGAGAACCTGAAACCTGTTATCCTGGAGTTGGGTGGCAAGGCCCCAGCTATCGTGTGGGAGGATGCGGACCTCGACCTCGCCGCGCTGCAATGCACCCTTGGAGCGTTCATGAACTCGGGGCAAGTCTGCATGTCTACCGAAAGGATTCTTGTGCACAAGAATGTCAAGGACGAGTTTGAGAAGAAGCTGTCAGCAACCATCGAACAAGTCTTCTCTTCTAAGGGGGACGCACCGATTCTTATTGCATCGGCTCCTGTTGAAAAGAACAAGGCCTTGATCAAGGATGCCATCTCTAAGGGTGCCTCCCTGGTTCACGGAAACCCTGATGTTGAAGAGTCAAGCAAGACCCGTATGAGACCAATTGTTGTGAGAGATGTCACCACAGAAATGGACATTTATAAGTCGGAGTCCTTTGGCCCTACAGTTTCTCTGATGGCTATTGAGACGGAGGAGGAAGCCATCAAGATCGCCAACGATACCGAGTACGGCTTGAGCTCTGCTGTATTCACATCTGACCTCCAGAGAGGCCTCCGAATTGCTCGCGAGATCGAGACAGGTGCTGTCCATATCAACAATATGAGTATTCATGATGAGAGCGGTCTGCCTCATGGAGGAGCCAAGGCTAGTGGATACGGCCGTTTTGGTGCATCTGCTGGTCTTGATGAGTGGACTCGCACGAAGAACATTACCTTTAGGAATTAAATGATGGAATTATTATAATACCAAATAGCGCAATATGAAAGAATAGTTTATGCCAATTGAAATTGAGGTGGGAGTGAAACAGTGATGGTCAAGTCAGTGCCATGAGTGATAAGCGGTTGAAGCTCCAACTAACAACAAGACGTCGATGCCGCAATACTTGTGTATTCCCCCCTCCTTTTCTAAACATAATCCAAGATTATTATAACATTCCTACCCAGAACACTGCAACTATAAGTATTATAAGGCCTTGAGTTCATGTACAGATGGGTTCATGATGCCGTGGTACAGGGTAGTCGGAACAAAGCATCCTTACATAATCGACCAATCCGCGATAAGTGGAAAATTTCCCATTATCCAGTTCAAGGTCCCAAAACGCCGTCATAACACAGCCTTTAACCATCACAACGTCTTAATTAAACCAAACCGCCCAACCACCTCTTCCAACACCGCCAAAATGAGTTTCCTCGGAATGGGTCGACCTCAGCCTACCTCGGAGCAAAAGATTGCTGCCGTTGAGAGCGAGATGCGCATGATGGCCGACACCTACAACCGGTAAGCCTCAGCGCTCACCAAGCACATGTACTGATACTGATTGTAATGCCACAGTCTTCAGCAATCTTGCCAGAAGAAGTGCATTCCTAACGACTACCGCGAGGGCGAGCTCAACAAGGGCGAGTCCGTTTGCCTCGACCGCTGCACAGCCAAGTTCCTCGACACATCTATGAAGGTCAGCGAGATCATGCAGCAGCAGGGCCAGGCTCTCGGAGGCGGCCAGCAGGGCGGTGGCGGCATGTTCTAAGCGTGATGAACGAAACGCAAACATTTTACGACCTCGAGAAACCATTTAGAGGACGAGCCCCAAATAGGCTGGGGTGATGAATGAAGCTTTGTACGATTATTCAGGAGAACGGATAGATATTGGGTCTGAATCGATATCTGGCGCTTGCATCACGAAATGATGACCGAAGGTGCAACGGAGGTGTTGCTGTATTATACCTGTATATGAATGAATCGAGGTCAGGGCGAGAAATGACACTTTGGTATATGGATAACTAGATTAAGTTTATTCGATATGACCCTAAAAAAAAATGCCTTGTACCCAGGGGTGTGCTATGCTATATTTGATATGATATCGATGTCCCAAAACTCCGTGCTGATGACCCTTTAGGGGATTGTTACCCCCAAGAAAACGCTCTTTACCCAACATCAACCCCTGGATTAAGAAGGCGACCTTGTAATATCTGGTCCCGTCCCGATTCCCGTGACAGTTCTGAACATCCAGTGAAGCCAGCCTTCGGTTTCAAGCTGGGCCTTCAAAGCCTCAGCTCTGTTCTCCATATCCTCCACTTGCCTCTCAAAAGTAACAATACCATCTTCGACATCGACCACCTTTTGTAACAGAGCATTGATTTCATAATCGAGACGAGCTACGAGCGCCTCAACCTCCTTAAGGCCTTCTAAGAGATGAGACCGCTCCTCGGCAAGAAGCTCATGAGAAGTTATACGCATACGTTGGCATGCCTCGTTCAGCTGGTAGTAGAGTGCATGCATTTCCTCCTTGTCTTTCGCGTAGCGTTCATCGAGAGCCTCAACTGCACTGATCTTTTCTGTGACCCATGGCTCAATGCGGTGCTTCATTTCCTCCAAGCACTGGTTAAAATGCTGAGCTAGGTCATTGAATGCTTCGATATTGGCAAGGTCATCCGCTGCATCTGCCACATCGATAAGCGGTTCCCACCCCAATACTGCCTCTTCAGCATCGCCAAATGACATTCGTCGTGGCCAGCGATTTTCGTTGAGAACGGTCATGTTCGGACACTGTGATAACTGAATACTGTGTCGTCGCGAGAGCCCCCTTTTGGATAGATCATCGTTGAGTTCTGCATCCAGAACAGGCCCCTGGAGGTCATGCTCATCAACGAGAGATCCAACAGCGGAGGGTGCTTTGGACAATACATCCTTACGCACTTCCACCCCAATATCAAATAACTCCCCATCTTGCTCGCGCTTTTGAGTTTCCACGGGAGCCGAGGCTGGCTGCTTAATGTCAACTGTCGAGGTAGACGCAAAGTGCGAAAGCTGTGGGAAACCTGCTCCCCCTTCCGCGTCTGCTCGTTTCATCGCGGCCAGATACTCCTGCGGTTTGTTGTTCCATGTGAAGGTTCTGCCCACTCCTTGTGTGGGCGCTGGCGGTTGTGTTGTTCCTGGAGTGAGCCCCTGGCTTGAACTCCTGGGGCCCAATTCTGAAAAGTCATCTCTTGTTGAAACCGAAGGTCGATTGTTGTGACCACGTAAGCCTCCCCCAACGACATCCTTGATACGTCCAAAACCAGACCTAGCGTCGTTCATCTTTCCAGCGACACCTTTGAAGATATTCTTCCGCGAAGCCTCCTTGTCACCTGATCCATCAGCGACACTAACGGCGGAACCAGGTGGGTGGCCCGAGTAAACATCGGGAGTCTCATCCAGTCGCTTCGCATCCAGTTCGTTCTCAGCAGGCGCTGAATATACTCGTTTCGGGTTTGGATTCGCTTCCTCCTCTTTCCAAGGTACCGCGCTGCTCAATTCTGGACTGTGGTGTGGTAGCTCAGCGACGCTTCTCCGAGGCTTGCCATGCCACAGCCATTTGGCCCGTTCGCCGTATGCTAAGCTAGCAAAAGTGCCAATGTCGAGAGTCTCGATATCAGCAAGTCCTCCTTTGTCTTTTCCTGACACCATCCCCATTACAAGCTCACCCCTTTTACCTCCGACTTCTGTCAGCGTTGATTTCACAGCCCTCTGCACACCCCAACTTTCTCCAGCAGCAGCCTTGGCAGACACAGTGTAAAGCTTGAGAAGAGTTTGACGGTCCAGCCTTCTCGTCTTCTCGAGCTTTTGTGATTTTTGAAAGTGACCAATACCACGCTTAGTGTTTTCGAGGTCAAATACGTCCTTTGATACTGGGGCACCGTACCAATGAAGGCGATTTCGAGCACCCATGAACATGCCTAGTAATGCCGCCACCGTACTAGGGCCTAATATGCCATCGGTAGGCTCAAAATTATAGTGTTCAGCACCAATTTCGATCCACCAGTTGTTGATAGCCATTTCTGTCTTGTCGCAAAGAAGTCCATCGATGTATTGGTGCCCCAGCTTGTCAAACATGTACAATGTGACTTGACAAAGCTTGATAAGTTCGACTACAGCTTGCGGAACAGGTACTCGATCGCTCGTCCTGTAAAGCTGCAAGAACTTGAGCTGCGTTGCTTCAGTTGGATCTGACAGAGTCATGCCTGATCGCCCAGAACATCCTAATCGTTTCAAATCCTCATTGACGATGAACGAGGAGCGATATTTTCGGATATCACCCTCAGGTACCATAATAACGGTGAGGGCCGAAGGAAAATTACTTAGATTAGTAACCATAAGCTCTCCAAGCTCAGTCTCCTTGGGCCGCGCATGTGAATCCTGGAGTTGATCAAAGTAGAAGCGTAGCCTTGGAGGCCAAAGACTCTCGTCTATTGGAACAGAGAGCACACCGACAACGACTGAGTGTTTTTCGTCTCCAGTATAAGTGACGATCAGGAGTGTTGGTGGTTTTCGAGAACACGCCCATTGTTCGACTAGGTACGACTCGTATCCGCGTAAAATGCCTCGGCGCTCGACAACGACAACATTGCTGCCTTCTTCGAGATACCTGATGCTATGTTAGCCTTGGAAGCTTCAGGAATGCTTGTTCGCGACGCACCGAAAGGCGAAAGGATCAGCAAAGACAAGATTTTTGCGCCTCGGCGACGGTAGAGGCTGAGAATCTGCAACTTCATTGTATGCGGAAACTTCTAACGGAGGGATACCGTTTGGGGGACTTTCTCGCGTGGTGCTAGAGTTGGAGTTGGTCGCTGTACGGGCGACAGACCCCTTGGCGGTGGTGCCTGCCGAGAGTTCATCGTCGACTCGAAGTCGAGGATCTGGAAATCTGAAAGCCATGGTGTCGTCATTGGCCCGTGTATTTGATAGACGCAGTCTCGAGCTTCATCCTCACCCGTGGTGAGCGAGGAGTAGCAAGAGGACGTCTCTAGTAGTTTCGTTGAGGCGCGCGTGTCTTGGGAGGCCTTTTTTCGGTGTTGAACAGGTCTGAGAGGCAACTAACATTACAGGGCCTTCATGTGATGCAATAGCTCCCAGGTTAGCTCTCGGTACCTGCTTCAAGTACCTATCGCAGACGCAGCCGAAGACTTTACAAGCTAAATGCGGGGCACTAATTCAACGAAGCCCCACGTGAATCCCTGGGGGAGACTGGGGTCACTCGACACTTTCGTCGTCACTTGCTATATGAGGAGGAAGACCTTATATGTGATAGTTGTTGTGGTGAGTCGAAGAGGCTTTTTCAATAGTTGTGTATGCAAATTGTACCTAGTTAAAGTAAAGCTGTTGTCAAAGCGTAGCCAAAATCTACTCTTGTTTAATTGACCTTCATTAAGAGAGCGAGACTGGCCCCCTTTAACAGCAAAGCCTCGGTAACCCCCTTATCGATAGCGATAATGCACCTGTCTCTCTTATCCAAGCTCGGAGCGTTCCGTCACCGTTGAATCCTCAAACGACATCAACCTTCAACACAACGGGCATTTTGTCGTCCACCCGTCGAATATCCTAGCTATTGGATGAGCGCATGACTCTCTCTGACTTTTGAACCTTCACTTCGCGTTAAACATAACTCTTGGTCTTGATCATATCTTCTACATCTGATTCAAAACCCCACATAGTCCCCAGCCATGGCGGAAGCTGATAACGATCATGTCTCGCCCTTTGCACCACTCATGGTTGAGCTGGCTCGTATGAGGAACAGGACACTCAAATCCGCGATCGATGATGTAGATCAAGTCATCGAACTTCTTACTAATGCTCGCGAGCAGATTGCTCAAGGTGAGCTGGCTTTTTTCTGATACTATCACTAACTAACCATTGTAATAGAGCAAGACGCGACTCGAACTGGTATGGCTATGATGACGCTGCAAAATCCAGTCAAAGCCCGCTTCGAACGAATCACTACAGACCTAAAGGATGTTACCAAGGCGCAGAAGTCCTTTGGAAAGGCCCTCGATAAGGTTTGTCTATCAGCTCTAGCTTTTGACGGCAACGACATCTGACCGACACAGGCTCTTCCTCACCGAGAACTCCCTATGGAGACTGATGCCATGGCGGACCACCCGCGACTTATCAACCGTGCGATAGCCATGCATCTTCTTCGCGAAGGTCAATTTTCTGTCGCCTCGACATTTCTCAAAGAAGCTACAGATCACCCTCCCGGCCGCGAAGCCCACACCATTTCACAAACAGACGAGGATGGCGATGATGATATGGAAAGCGAGGATGACTTAGAAGATGAAATGGCTGGTCTACATTCAGAGCATTTGCAAAACAAGTTCGCTGAAATGTATAGCATCCTTTCGCAGCTCAAGGACCACAACCTCCTACCCGCCATCAACTGGGCCCACGCAAACGGCGTCCATCTTGAGGCCAGGGGAAGCACACTCGAATTTGAGCTTATCAAGCTCCAATATGTCTGGCTGTTCAAAGGTCCATCTGTCAACGGTCTCCCCGACGACCCTGCGACCAATGGACTTGGCGGAGCGATTAACTATGCTCGCCAGAACTTCCCACGTTTCCAGAACCGTCATTTGCTAGAGATACAACAACTCTCCAGCGCTGTGGTGTTCGCCCCTAACCTGGCCAAATCTCCCTACAGCCATATATTTGAGACAGAGTCAGCGTTCGAGGACGTAGCCATGTCGTTCACTCGCGAATTCTGCTCCCTGCTTGGCCTATCGGCGGAGTCACCTCTCTATATCGCCGTCACAGCAGGCTCCATCGCTCTTCCACGCCTGATCAAATACACAACTTATATGCGGGAGAAGAAGACAGAATGGACGACAGAGAACGAACTTGCCTTCGCGACACCTCTGCCCGAGTTTATGATCTATCATCCCATCTTTGTCTGCCCCGTAAGTAAAGAGCAGACAACTCAAGACAACCCTCCCATGATGCTCAGTTGCGGTCACGTTCTCTGCCGCGAATCTCTGAACAACATAGTGAAAGCAGCACGGTATAAATGTCCCTACTGCCCGACAGAAGGTCACCTTAAGGATGCCATCCAGATCAGACTATAGCATACTCTTCCTGCTAGCATACATGCATGGTCATGCTACTTATCACAGCGCACTGCCACACTGGGCAAGATGGATTGGCGTTTATTCGACTTGAATGAATCCAGCAAGGACTATGCTTCGGCTTTGGTTCAAAATCAAGAATGGAAAGCGGGCGTTTTGGCATTTTGTTTTACAATTGTACCTGTTGGGATATTTCCCTTGCCTCATAGACAGACACGTCGGTCTTTTCTCCAGCATAAGCTGTGAAACACGCAACGTTCTAGCTGCACTATTGTCTCACATCATGCTTCACAAAGTTGAAACCAGTGAGTGTATTGAGTCAGAATCGTGATGGTTTCATGACGTGATACACATATGAGCAGTCTCATAGACCACACGAGCACGGGCCATTTTGCATATACCTGATTTCACTATTCAATTCCTATCGGATTATCTGATCATGAGAACCTACAATCCAATTGATCAGGGGACAAAGTAAAAGTAAAAGTAACAAAAGAACTATGTATCAGCTCCTGGATCTCATTCCATGTGGTGGAGCATTGAACGCCTAATATGGTTGGGTCTAACATAGGAAACAAAAAACAACCAAAGTAAATAGAATAAAAAAGTCCAAGCAAGTTTCCGACACCATGGGATATCACTTCGTCGCCTTCTGTTCACGCCGCACCCGTTTGGTCACCGTCCATCCTGAGCCTGCCCTTTGTGACTGGTGCCATAGAAAAGGGAAAATTTTTGTATCCTTTCGTAAAATCGTGTCTTTGTACATTCATGTCTCCAAAAATTTGTTTTCGAAGAATCATGACTTGCAAGGGGCCGCTTAATCAATGGTCATTCGGCTGGGAATTTGAGGCTTGACATCCTGCATGTTGATTGAGTTGATGTCAGGCTTCTCCTCGACCTTGCGCTTTCGAGACAAAGACTGCAGATGGGGCTTCAGGCCCTTGCCAAAGTTTCGCATGCACACGATGGCGTTGGTAATGGTGAGAAGGATGAGAAGAATGGTGATGACAGCAAATGCGGTCAATGATCGACGAACGGCTTCGTAGTTTTGTCGGTGTCCAGGCTGATAGATTCGTACAAGCTTGAAGATGAAATAGCTGAGACCTCCGAGATAGAGGATGATGATGCAAACCATACCGATCTTGTTCTCTCGTCGAGTGAAGAAAGCGGCAGCGAGAAGGATGAGAATGGTAATGGGAATGGTGACGATAGTTAGGGCGAATTCAGGGTCATCCTTGTCAGCAACGACGACAACGAACTGAACGATGAAGCCGAGGAAGAAGAAGAAATCGAACTTGAGCAGAGCGATATAAATCTGGTTCGAGTTAGTTATTGATCAAGGAGTGTGGGCAAAAGAGTGCAACATACCTGGTAGTGAAGGAATCGCTTCTTCATGCGATAATCGGCACCAATGTTCTTGAGAATATCCCAAGCATACTCCTGGTAAATCTTCCACGAAAGGAAGCCCATAACGAGGGTAGCAAGGGCAATGATGGCAGGGATAGCCACCAGATAAGGCTTCACATCGTGCCAAAGCTCGGCAGCAGTCATGCCACGCTTGAGAGCATTGCTCTGCTCGAGAATATCGAAGGCCTCGGAAATTTGATCAACCTGGATGGTCGTGTAAACCATAAGGGCCAGGTTAGAGAAACAGACACCAATGACTTGAATGGTGTTCTTTTGTCGGAGAGCATCCCAGACGACGACGAGGGTGTAAAGGAAACCAAAAATGAAAAGCGTCAAGAAAGTCGGGATAGTTTTGTACTGAGATTGAACCTGGGGAGCGCTGATATGGGTGCCAAGGTTGACCTGGAACTTGCCGAAAACATAGCTAGATAAGGGTCAGCGAGAGGCACAGATGCCGAAAGATACGGAGATGACGTACGCCTCAAAGCAAATACACAGAATAGCCTGGAGAAGAGAGACAGCCATGAAAGAGGCAGGCCATCGGCTCTTCATAAAATCGATCTTGCCATTCTTCATACTTTGCGCCGGAACCGAAGGGGTGAGGCCTTCTCTATAGGCGAAACCCTGGTTGTATGCGGGATCAACTCCAGCGTCGGCGAAGTTGGGCTGGGCGAAGGCGGCAGGCTGAGGAATAGGCTGTGGAGATGGAACTGGAGAAGGAGCGTAACTGTCGTCTCCGTAGGAGTTGTTGTATGAATGGCCTCCGTATCCGAAGCCGGTGTCAGCTCCAAGGAGCGATTTGCGAGATTCTAGCCGGGTAGCCACGGTGTACATGGAAAGACTCCGACCGGGAGTCACGGGGAAACAGTCGAAGTGATGAAAATACTCGTCGATATCGCTCGACGGGCGATGATGAAGAGTTGCCGTTGTTGATGGAAGAAAATTGGACAGCGACAGATACTGAGACGCGGTGGTTCGGTCGGGGCGGTCGTGTCTATATTAAGGTACAGGGTGCTTTGCTCACGCGGATGGCCACGGGTACCGAGGTGAGTAAGTACAGTACAGTAGTCGAATAAGGTTATACGAAAATTGGACCAAAAAAGGAGTCGCGCGATGAGGAAAAGCGGAAGAGAAGCGAGAGACGGAGTCGCGATTACGAGGGATTTGTTGTCGAGTTAATTGGTGGCTGAAAACGGCCTGACCAGGGAAATAATGGATATTGTTGTTGTTGAGAAGAGAGAAATGAGATGAAAGGAAAAGAAGAAGAGCCCAAGCGTTTGTAGTAAAAGGATGTCAGCTTAGTTTAGTCAAGAGAGAAGCAGAACAGATGGGAGTGAGTTCCTTGACCTCCATAAGATTGGGTCGCTGAAACAGCCCAAGCAGGGGGGGGTGGGAGAGGGCGGGCTAACTTAAAGAGCAAACCACGGCGGGCAGAGAAAGCCTGGGGCGGGCGAACCCAGCCCAAGGTAAGGTCAGCCAAATGGAAGCCAAGCCCAGGGTGGCAGAGCACAAGACTCCAGGGGTTCAGGCGTTCTTTTTTCGCCTAGGTACTCTTTTCTGGGGTGCCCAGCCCGTAGCGATAACTGATGGAACTCCACTGGCAGTGGGTGGAGTGCCCTGCCCTGGGCTTTTCGTCGCTACCAGATCCTGAATTGGAGGTGGGTTCCTTGATTTCTGGAGACAGGACTCGGTCGGTTTTGCTGCAACTACCATGTCTCAGACTATGTTGCTACTGTTTACGTCGGATGAGGCAGTCTTGTCTTGTCCTGTCTTGTATGGTCTTGCGACAATTTACTATCATGAATTCCGATTTCAGATGCTATGACGCATACGGCCAAGAGCGACGTGCTTGAACATTTCATGCAGTCCTTCGTGTTACGATCCATAAGGTACTAACTGACCTTTACTGCACATTTAACGGGTGGAGTCTAGAATGAGTTGGATGGAACCGTAGAGACGGGACGCAGCATCCCGCCTCCAACGGCGGATTGCCTTAGCTTTCCACTAGGAACTGTTATTGACTGAACTGTGTGGATGAACTCAATCAGCCTTGGGAGGGATCCCATATCCACCACACACACCTGCAGAACTGCCGGAGTCAAAGGCGGTGCTGGCCATTCACTGGACGGGTGTCTCCGAATTTGATTAATATGCCGGTATCAGAATAAAAGATCACATCATCGTACCTAGGCACTCCTCCTTGCCATGCATCGGTATGACATAGCTAATAGAGAGGGCTGGGCTATGTTGATGAGGGAACGAATGCAGATTGAAATGGAGGACTGCGGCAGTGCAGTCACGCATAGTCCCCGCTGTTAGTGCACATCCCAGCCATCCACTGAAATGACACATAAACTCACAAGCTAGCGTAACAATTAATACTCTGCACCATGCAATGGAAATGTCCGTCGGACTCAGCCCATTCGTATAGCCACCTTCCGCTCTGATCAATCACAAGTAAATAAGGATCGAAGGTCTCTGCCATCCATCTCGATTAAGGTTACGGACCCTCTGAGTTGGGATAACGTGATAAAATGAGGCCGCTATGCATGCATCTATTTCTAAATAAAACAAACAAATTGAAGAAACAGTAATTAAATGGCGGGTGATCGTCTAGTGTATCTGATCATGAATCTGATTTACCACTAACCGTATTTTCCTGCTTTTTAGCTGTCTATCAAATTCCCTGCCATTCCACGATATGCAGCCCTACCAAGCCCATCATCAATATTCAGCCACTGTCAAACCATCAATTCCTTCATTTCCTAATTAGCCAGCACCATTATATTGATCACAGTCAACTCGTGCTTCACTGCATCGCTATAATTATCACCTCACTCATGATCGCTGAGCGTATGGCAAAGGTCAAGGATATCTCGTGTTCCTGGCATAAGACCTTGCAGTGGTAATCTCTACCGATCCACAGAGGAGAGTTCCATAAATAAACCTGCAGTCGGTCCATTAAATAAATATAGTACGTACATCCATCTTTTTGGGGCAATCAGAGAGTTGCTACAGATGCATGTCAGCGGAGGAAAACCCACTTCCATGTTAATTGAAGCGTCGTCATCACCCAAGTATAGACAGATGGACAGATGTACAGTTCTCACACATAGTAATAATAGATCGCATATGCAATTCTTTTGTATTGGTTCTCTCACACTTCCTATAAGCCAAGCTTTTTCAATGGTGCGAACTCAAGTTCCAATTCAGCATAGAAGAGGGTCTGGTAGGGCTGGCAGAGCCTCCAGCTAAACTCTGTCCCCAGCCGTTGAGGCCCGCAAACGACCTAGAATCGAGGCTGTGTCGCCGTTGGAATGATATGCATTTTATTCAGTCGATTGAATTTGGGCATCGTTAATCTTCAACGGCCGGAAACCTTGTCCGTTCGCCTGCGTAAATATTGATCGTATATAATCCACCAGTCATGATATCGTCAGGGCTTGAGGTTACTCCACGCCAATCCATGGCATGAATTGACATAGAACGGACTACAATACTACCCTTTAACTAAAATCTAAATATAAGTTGAATTATCTTGAATCGAATATTCTTCCTCCGAAAATGCTCACATTGTACCCAGTGTTTGTACTGGATACGTGCACAAAAAATTGGTTATCTACCCGTACATCGGGAGATATATATTCAACTCTCGCTTAAAGGAAGTCAAGATCCCATGAACCCCATCCATATCCTAGTACCGCCTCTTCATTAACTCCTCCAATGCTTGAATCTGTTCCATTCAGCCATAGTGAGTTGGTCGACGACTGTTGCGTGGCTCCGATCTGGCCCATTCTTCCAACCTCTTGAGTCTCTTGTGCATACTCGATCGACTGGAAGCATGTCGCTTTACCCAAGAACTGATGTAGCAGCCCCGTAAAACTAGCGATGCACTGCTTGATGAGCTCTTCTATAGTCTCGCCATAGTACGCAGTGGCCATACCCCCTTGTCCTGTCAACACGCCAGCAAACTGCTGCATGATGCGAGCTGCTTCTTGTGCCACTGTCCATCCCTCAGGAAACGCTTCGAGAAGCGTGATTAGTAGCACGACTTCTTCCCGGGCCGATGATGATGCTCCATCAGCCCTATACGATGGTACGAAATCATGCATCAACAACAGACCTACTGGCAATAACCGACTCAGCGATACCCTGTTTAGGGGGAGTTGTCGTTGTTGAAGGAGCGCCGAATTGGCTTGGAGTTGCTTCTGAGCAAATTCAAGCTGCTCCTGACGAGTAACAGCTGCAGCAGAGCTGTTGAAGTGGTTCGGAAAGTAGAGAAGAATCAACAAGTGGTAATACTGAGCACTCAACCAGGTGATGCTGCTGTGAATAGGCAGATTATCTGCTTCCATAGGCGACATGAGACACCCGTTGCTGTACCAGTCCTCGATTTCAGACCTCAAACTGTTCAGTACCGTACGCCTATCCGCGGGAGCCAGGCGTGCGGTTTCAGAGTTTTGTTGTAGGTGTACTGCGTGAAGAATTCGATATTCGAGTTGTCGGAGCTGGATGACATGCCGACTGGTCTGTAGGTTCCGAGCATACACAGCTCTGTCCGGACTGGCAAACTCTTCCACAGTCAGTCCTGGAAGCGGTACATTGGCATGCTCATCTGTAAAAGCGGCTGGCAGTCCCTGGGAAGCAGACATCATACGGTCAAGGACGAAGATACTCCAGTAAAGTCGATGTCTGAGCTCGGTTTCCACGGCCGTACGAGGCTGTTCGTCCGGCCTAGTTAGACCGATGACCATGGCTTGTCGTGCCGCAATACCGACGATGAAGTAGGCTGAGGTTGCTGCTGGATCAAACAGAGAGTACAACCCCAACAAGATAAGAATCTGTACAGACTCGATGGTTTCGTTAGAGAGACACTCTTGTATGATGTCTGGGTACACCACATCGAACCGACGTGCCGTATCACTAGGGATCTGCCCAGCCCGTACCAGCGACGTACATCCGATGGCCATAACGAGATACAAGAGTGTCATGGGGGGATCCTGATCAGCAGGAGACGCATCCCCTAGAAGTTCAAGATCTCGCCGTATTCGAGTTTGATCGACAAATGGATATGCCCTGTTGACGTGGCGAAAGAAGGCATCGACAAAGCGACTGGGGGCAATGTCAGGAGGGAGGGCTTGTCTTGCAATCAATCTTCTTTTTGTAACTGATCCATCCGTTGACTCTCCATAAGATAAACGACTGCTCGTGGTTCGCACACTACCAGGATCCCTGTCCTCTGGGCGTATCTCAACACTCTGTCGCCCGGTTGAGGGGTGGTCTAGTCCACGTATAGAGGGAAGAGAGCCTATGGTCTCTAAAGGAGAAGCCATCTGACCTGGCACCCGCGATAGAGGTGATGATGCTGTCCCTGAAGTTGCGATACTCCCCATACCGTTCCGTGGCCCATGACCTAGTACAATACCCAGGTCGGATCCCGTCTCGATACCTTCTATCACATCTTGTCGACCTGGCGGAAGGATGTTTTGTTCAATGTATTGGCTCAGCCATTGTACTCGAGAGCGCAGCTGATGGACTTGAGCCTCGGCATTGGCAACAGGGTTAGTATAGGAACACCTCTGACCGGCGCTGGCACATAGAGAGCAGACGGGAAATGTGCGGCTGCATTTCTTTTTGAAGCTGCGACACCTATCACAGGCCGGGGCTATAGGTCTCCCAGTTGCGCTCCGGCCCGCGACGACCGTTTGAGATTGCTTTTGCTGATCCTGCCGCCGAGCCTGCGCCTCTCCCTGGGTCGCATCCTGCTGCTGTAGCCGCTGGTCAGGAGACACTGGTGGTGAAGCGGACCGGGCCCGACCGATGTCCCTCGGGGATGGAGACACCCTGCGGAGGCGGAAACGGTGGATCGAAGCCTTCATATCAGATGCAGATGCCATTTTGGGCAATGGGCGATGTCAAGAGTAGCGAGTGGCATGGCAATAAATGGAAAGGCCCCAGTAGCCCAGATGAGAGGGTTATCAATATACGATTGATATCGCGGCTGTATAAGAATGCATGCAGAGGTTTTGAGATTGCATGTCATTTACAAAAGGAGAGCATCGAAAAAAAAATTCAATCACCTCATTCGCTGGTAAGATGAGTCTTCAGAACAGCAGATAAAGATACGCCATTGTGCCTATTGTTGATGGATGTTGATGGAGGTGGACCAAATTGCGTGCTTGCACGAGGTTGAGGTGCTATTCCTTCAATGGGCAGGGCACTTGCGTTAGTGAGAATTCGCGGAGCCGCAGGGACAAAGTCTAATCGACCCTGATGAGTTACAGGCGCCAATACGGAGATTTCAGAAAATGTGATATGAAGGTATCACAAGTTCACATATTGAATCAAGTCGAATTGTCTCATTAGATAGACATGTCTCAACGGGCCAGACTGGCAGCGCCGGGTCCTCCGATGCCCGGAGTCGGGGTCGCGCGGACGCCGACCGGGATTACCTAAAGAGGCAATCATACTCACAGAGACAATCATTCGACAACGCCGAGCGGATGAGGCTATTGTGCGGGATCCATCGGCAGCGTCTTTTATCATTAATCGAATGAGACGAGGAGCCGTTCATGAGAAGAGCATTGAGCCGCTGAGAGTATTATATATTACCTTGCTCCTCCCACGTCGTTATCGAATGCTTGCATCCCAGTATTGCCAGAGCTGTTTTATGTCACGTTGTTACATCACTGACTTAGACGTACGTGTGTTCCACGATTTCAGTAAAGTCATATCTGGGTCCATCGTTCAAAAGGACGACTTTGAAATAGAGAAAGAATGGCGTTGGCAGATAAACTAGACGTTCGTCGCATCGCCATCATTGGTGCTGGCCCAAGTGGCCTCGCAGCGGCCAGGTAATCACTGATACCACTTACACATCCAGCCCGGTCACTGACCCTTACTCTAGATACCTTCTTGCAGAGAAAAACTTCTCCAAAATCCGAGTCTTCGAGCAACGTGCCACACCAGGAGGTGTTTGGAACTATACACCCCTAGCCCGAGAACAAGGCTTTTCAGTTCCACGAACCCAGCCTAGTTTCACCCCAGATCAAGCCCTATGGCCTAACGACAATGGCGATGTTGAGTTCATGTCACCCATCTACGACCTCCTTGAGACAAACATTCCTCATTCTCTCATGAGATACTCTGATAAGGAGTTTCCTCAAGGCTCATCACTGTTCCCCCGACATAGCGTTGTGCTACAGTACCTTAAGGAATATGCCCAGGAAATCAACCCTCACATCTCATACCAGACACAGGTGCTGAATATTGAGAAACCTGATCCAAGCCGTTCTCAACCTTGGACAGTTGAGGTGCTCGATCTCAAAGCCAATAAGGTCATCAAAGATGAGTATGACGCTGTTGTAGTGGCGAGTGGTCACTACAATGATCCATTCATCCCCGATATTCCTGGCCTCGTCGATTTTGACAAGGCATACCCAGGGGCTATATCACATTCCAAGTTCTATCGACGCCCGAATGACTTCAAAGATAAGGTAAGGATCCTTGTTCGCCCCCTATCGAACGTTCACTAACAATTACTCAGAAAGTCATTGTTGTCGGAAACTCTGCCTCTGGAGTCGACGTGAGCGCACAACTCTCTACTGTTGCAAAGCAGCCCATCTTTGTCTCTGAAAAGGAGAAGCCCACCGTGATACCACCCGCCAAAGAGCCATGGGCAGCTGGCGTTCCCGAGATTGTCGAGTTTCTCCCTTCTCAGCGTGGTGTTCGCTTCGCCAACGGCCAGATCGAGAACGACATTGATGCTGTCATATTCTGCACTGGTTTCCACTACTCGTACCCCTTCTTGAAGTCTCTTGACCCAACTGTCGTTGTACCCAGTGGAGGCCATGCGGCACATCTCTGGGAGCAAATTCTCTACACCGCGGATCCTACTTTGTCATTTCTCAGTGTTCCACAGCGAATTGTTCCATTCCCTATTGCTGAAGCCCAGAGTGCACTAATTGCTCGCATCTGGTCTGGGCGCCTGAGCCCCCCTTCAGAAGCTGCTATGGAAGCCTGGGTACAGGAGCAACACGAAAAGAAAGGAGAAGGCAAGGCAATTCATGTCATGGCGTTCCCAGAAGATGTCGACTACATCAACCGTTTGTACGAACTGAGCAAAACCGCGACCAAGGCCCCGGAGCTCGGCCTCGAGAATGATGGCGAGGGCAAGAGACCGCCTTACTGGGGACTAGATAAGCGATGGGTGAGGGAGAGAGTACCTAAAATCAAGTTGGCGAGCAGAGCAGCGGGTGATAAGAGACATGAATTGAGGACATTGGAAGATCTCGGATTTGATTATGAGGAGTGGAAGAGGACGGTCGAAGAGGGGGAGAAGTTATTTTAGACTCGATCCCGTGAATTTCTTGACTCTGATTGAAATCGCTCGAATCAGCCCAAGCTTAGCCCAAGTCGTCGTGGTAATAGTCTTCGTTATGAGCTCCCCAAATCATTGACTAATCTCATCAATGATACAGTTTGGAGCCATGACAACATTGCGTGGATCTACACAATTCACATGCTAACGCATCGATATTGTTTAAAACAAGTTCATTGGCAGCAGTCTAATTACAAACGCTCGTATGTTTAATATCCAATAATAAGTGCTCATATACCAAAAAGCAGTTTCGTTTCATGACTGCGGGTATGTTGAAATATCCTTAATAACACAATAACAACATGAAACGCCGTTTTCAGTTGTCCGTCGTCTTTTCGTTACCTGTCGTGACACCCTCTGCGGCATCGACCTCCTCCTTCTCATCATCGCGTCGCTTCAGTGATTTGAGACCTGTTTTGTGCTCCTTATGCTCCTTACTGAGGTTGACTTGCTTGATCATCAGACTGATGATGAGCGACAGGCCTGCAAAGCATGCATAGACGATGTACATTGTTTGCAGACTCTTCCAGAATGCTGTCTTGGCAACCCTACCATCGTGGCCTGTCAGGGAGCCAACGAGCTCGACGCTGCCTGCTGCATTGGAACCGGAGAGTCTATCTGCGAGTTCGGAACCGAGTTCTTCCTTCAGTCTGGGATACTGGCTCTCCATCTTGTTGTTGAAAATGACACCTCCTACCACAACGGAGATTGATGTGCCCAATTGACGGATGAAGGAGAAGCATGAGGTTGCAGAACCAATGTCTCGAGGCTCAACATTCGTCTGGAGTGCAATCAGAGGAGCCTGGAAGTTAGGACCAATACCGATTCCGGCGACGATCTGGAAAATGATGATCTTCGCCCAGTTGGCGCGCGGTTCAAGGTTGATAAAAAGACCGAAGCCAATGACAGTAATGATCAAGCCCAAAACGATAACGAGCTTGTAATTGCCTGTCTTCTTGATGTAGATTCCAGCCCCAGCCGACACAAACGACAGGGAGAGCACATATGGAAGCAGATAAACACCAGAGAGCAACGAAGATGCGCCGAGGACTCCCTGGTAGTAGAGTGGAAGCCAGTAACTGCCTGACATGAAAACAAATGCGTGAGTGAAACCAACTCCATAAGATGCAACACTGTTTTGCGTGTGAAAGAGACGAATAGGGAGAACGGGAAACTTGGCGACTTTCCACTCGTATACGAGGAACAGACCAACGACAAAGATGCCAAAGACGATGAGACAAATCGTCGTAGCGGAGTCCCAGGGGAAAGAAACACCACCAAGCTCAAGTCCGAGCAACCACATAATGGTACCGCCAATGATGAGGATACTGCCAGGCCAGTCCAACGCCAATAGACCCTCTTTCACCGGTGTTCGTGGGTTGTGGAGCTTCAGGACGAAGACAAGGATAACGATGGCAACGGCTGAGATGGGAAGGTTGATGTAGAAACACCATCGCCAGGTGACCTGGCTTGTGAATACACCACCGAGAATAGGGCCAACCGCAGATGCTAAAGCCCAAACCATACCCAAAATACCAAAGTACATTCCACGGTTTCGCATAGAGAAAAGGTCGCTAATGGCGATATTCGGTAGAACGATGAGACCGCCTCCACCAATGCCTTGAATGGCACGCGAAGCGATGAGCATTGGCATGCCATTGCTAATGGCACACAGCAGAGATCCAATCCAGAAGATGACAGCTGCAGCAAGAAGAACAGGCTTGCGACCAAAGATATCCGAGATCTTGCCCCATGTCGGCACGAATGCGGCGTTGCCCAACAGATATGCACTTCCTATCCAGATGTAACCCTGACTAGAGTGAAACTCGTTGGCAATAGTAGGAACGGCTGTGGTAATAATGGTCGTATCCAAAGCGGCAAGGAAGAGCGCAAGACATAAAGCACCAACTACCAAGATTGTCTCCGACTTGGTCCGTCCGGCCTCGGGGTCACCGGCCTCAGGTGCTCCGGGAGATGGGTTACTGCCGGCCGGTGTCGTCTCCGCTCCTTCGGAAGTTGCTTCGGCCGCTGTAGGGTCTTGGGAGTGTCCATTCGCTGCATGAGCTCCATCTCGTTCAACATCAAGAGTACTATCTGAGCTAGTCCTCCGCTCTGGTGTTGGTGGTGAAGCGGCCATTGTTGCGCAAGAAAGCCCAAAAGGCTAGATGTAAAGATAAAACCCCTACTTCCCTTCACCTATTTGAAATGATTGAAAGTCGTCGACGTAGTAGCTGTAAAGATCCTTGTCCGGAAGCCGGCGTTGACCGCAACGGCGATTGCTAATCAGGAACCTGTAGTTTTCTCAATACAGTTATATTTGGCTTGGTTACTCTGCGTTCACCTTACGCCAGTGAAAGATTTTCATACGAGGATCCTGGTCAAAAACGGGAGAAAGAGATTGAGTTGAGTTGTTGTAGTCAAGTGCATTGTGATCCTTTCTCCGAAAACGGGGACCACGCACGCAACAACCATGACTACCGTATTCATTAATTAAATCCGAGGCGCGAGGGCGAGGCCAGGAACTTTTTCGAGCAATTCGGCAAAAGGAGCCGTCTGGTCTCTTGGAGGGTGGAGAAATAATTCCACTGCAGTGAAATAAGAGCGTCAACGACATCAAGACCCCAAGAACAAGGGTGTGTGTGGAGTCCGAATATTATTGCCGGGGCATAATTCCGTAAACTTTTACGTACTGGCCTCCAAGATGATCCTTCGGCTTATTGTATGAATCTAACGAATGTAAGTGTTAGCTCGAGCAGGCCGCTACAACCACAGTCAACTACATATGCAATTGCTCACCGGAATGACTCTTCGGTTCTTGTGCGTGTCTGATGATCGTCTTGCTTTGACTAAGCATCGGAAACTAATTTGATTCCTCTCTAGTTCACCTAGCTTGAGACTTGTCCAGGATGGGCTAGAATGGGTTCCTTGGAATTGCATGACGAGCAGTGTGAGTTCCTGATATGATTTATTCGTATCCCTTCTTCATAATGAGCTGACGTCCTAGGAAGAGACGACATCGAACCAGTTCTCATTCTAACATCGTGCATTTTGGGGCCGATTTGCGTCAGAAGACATCATTTGATACCGCTGCACCCAACACTGAATGAGGCCGTCGATACAATCGAACGTCTGTTTGCCCAGTGTTATAGGAGCAACACCAGGATATTGCAGTGCACAAACGATAGCAAATATATGATGATATTTGTACACGCTCCTAAACGCCAAGAACAATGTTTCGACGCTGATAATATCTCAGTCTATTTTACATATTTGTCCGACATCAAATCTCAAGCCGTCTTGTTTGAGTACTTGATACACTTATTAGAAGATTTTTGTGATGCTTTCCCTCGAGATGACACTGTTTTGTCGTTCATCTCGCTTGACTCTGAAGAAACTGTCACAGAAATCGCTACACCTCATGTGTCGCAAAAAGTCCTCGTCATGAGTAATCACAATAAGCTGGAAATTGCTTTGTGCCTGTCGGGCTTTGATGATCATATGGAGACTCTCCGCCAGACTCTTGATATTGTCGCGATCCAAGTTTGTGGTGGGCTCATCGAGTGCGATAAGGCCACAGTTGACGCCGAAAGACTCAGCCAGAGCTAGGCGAATGATGATAGACGCGAGAACCTTTTGTCCAGCAGAACATCGACCACGCATGTCCATCTCAGTGTCTTGCTTCACCATGCAGAGTCGGTAGTTGTAGCTGCGTTTGCCTGTGTTTGACTCATTGTCTGAACGGATGAGAATAGTATCAATGTCGGTTCCTTGGTAGGTGCTCTGCCACAATTCGCCAGCAATGCGATTCACTTCGGCCATCTTCATGGAGTGAAATTGCATCACAGCTTTGTCCACGGCCGAGCTACACTGCGCCAAATCTTCAATAGCAGCCTTGGTCGTTTCCACGCGAATGTGCGACTCGCGATACTTTCTCTTGGCGTCCTTATAGTCCATTTCCCACTCTTGAAGGAGCCTCCCAAGCTCTTCATCTTTAGTTTTCATAGATCCCATAACGGAGCCTCGCTCAGCAAGAAGGCGATTATAGTGGTTCTCTTGCATGCGAGCTTCAGCCTGGAGGCGTTCGTAATCCTCATCTGCATTGCGGTCTTCCAACTCAGCGATCTCTTGACGGATAACGTCGATCGTGCGAAGGTTCTTGCGGTAGTTTAGGTTGTCTTTGATGTTTTTCTTCTTACGGTCTCCATTGTCAATGTCCTGCTTGAGCTTGTTCGTACGAACAGTAAGGTCTGTGACCTCCTTTTCAGTACTCGCAATTGTCTTCTCAAGTGTGGCAATGGATCGTTCATTAGATGCAAGATTAGAGGGTCCGCCCCGGTCGATATAATCTTGAATATCAGCATCCATCATCTTCATCTCGTTGACAGAGTTGGCTACGGCATCACGGGCGTCAGCAATGACTTGCTCCTTGGCCCGGCCGCGTCTTAGGACTTCATCACGGGCGGACCTTGCTTCAGTAATGCTGGGCTCGATGGTCTCCAACTCCTCATCAGCTCGCTGGATGACGTCTCGTTGATGCGAGGCCTCTTCTTTCAGTGCCTGGATCTGATTCTGGAGGTCCTGCTTTTTGTCTAATTGACCCGCTGCTCGGCTGATCTTGTTTCTTAACTCGCTCTTTTCAAGCTCAAGAGAGTTGAGCTGGTCTTTTGTGCGCTGGCGATCCGTAGTCAACTTCGCGATGCGATTTTTCAGGTTCCTCATCTGGTCTGATAGGCCAGCTTGAAGCTCATGAATCTCGTCGGGACTTCGAGTGACCCCACCTGACATTTGCTGAGACATGATACGGTCAACCTGGTTCTCGGAATCTGCAATATCCTTGACAGTTTGTGCAATGCTGAGGACCGTCTTCGACATATCTTCTAAGTCTTTCTGCTTCTCTTCCTCAGCCGACACGACGGATCCCTGTTCTTCCACTTGTCTCTCAAGGGCATCAAACTCTGCTTCGGCGACCTTGCACTCTTCTCGAAGACTAGGCAGTTCGGCAGTCAACCGCTCATACGTATCATAAGATCCCCTGACGGATCGTAGCTTTTCTAAGTTTGCGACGGTGTCCTTGAGGTCCTTCTCTGTATCAACTTTGCCTTTGGGGTCAAGGTGCTTGTCGATCCTCTTGCTCAAGCGCTCCATGCTTGTAGCTTGGTTGTCATCAAAATGGCGATCACATAGTAAGCACTTGCGTTTAGTATCAAGCAAGCGCTTGCATTTTGTGTAATAGTCCACGAGAGCGTCGAAGAGGCTCAAGTCATTCCTGAGCTCCTCCACCTGTGACTCAGTGACCTCGATTTCTTCTTTGTAATCCTCAACGGTAGCATTGTCGCGAACGGCAAGAAGAGCATTGACGACCTGCTGTTGGCAAGTAGCCGCCTCCTTGGATTTCTTCTCATGGGACTCCTTAGAAGTCCTCAATTTGAAATCCACTTTCTGCTGTTTTTGGCGGATTTGTTCACGACGCTTCTGGGCCTCACTGACAATCTTGCTCTGGTCCTTAACCAATGCCTGGAACTTGGAATCGAGTGTCTCCGGCTGCCAATCACTGCCAAGAATCTTGTCGAGCTTCGGCTTCCAGGTGCTTGTCAGGGTATCAAGCTTGCGCTTGCGGTCAGCAAGTTCCTTCTTCCTGTAATCAAGTTGGGCTCGCTCAGACGCTAGACGAGTACATTCTACAAGCTCCCGGCCTAGCTTATCGTTCTCATTTTCGAGCTGATGTAGCTTATCGTTCTCGTCAGAGATTTGGCGGTCCCAATCGGCGTTCTCGAAGGTCTTCTGGGCTGTCTGAAACCTACTTTCAAGATCTTGCATCTGCCCATCAAGTACAGCCTTGGCACCCTCGTCCACGTCTATCTGACTTGACTCGTTCTGGAGTACCGAAGTGCGTTTTTCAATAGCGCCCATTCGTTGTTTCGCGGATACGCGGTCTTGTGTGCGAGCAGCTTTGCGGCCTTCAAGCTCAGTGATGACGCCAGTGGCCCGGTCGAGCTCAGCGGAGTTTTCCTTCTGCAAGCGCTCCAGGTCCCGTTTCTTCTCGCTCAGAAGTTTTTGAAGTCTGTCATTAAAGGATTTCACATGGTGATCCGAAAGATCGCCGTCAAAGCCCGAGAAGCCGTAAGACTGGGCGGCTTCCTGAATGGTTTCCATGCGTATCTTCAATTGACGCTCGTACTTGTCTTTGTCCGATTGGTGTTTGCCCTGTTCGGAAAGCTTGGCAGAAAGTTCCTTTCGTGATTTTCCTAACTCGGTCTGCAATTCATTATACTGTGCTTTGTTCTGGTCGGCCTCATCCTGAAGATGCTGCATACGGTCTTCGTAATGTGCTAGGTCACCCTCGAGCTTTCCGTCGTCATCGGGCAATTCATCGATAGTGGCCTTCAATTCTTTGACAGCCTCTTCTCTGTACTCAAGCTGCTCACGCTTGGTGTTAAGGTTCTGCACAATTGCAAGGTGGCTGTTCGCCGTTTCTCGGATGTTTCGGATCTTGTCTTGCGTTTCCTCCATTTCAGAACTGATCGACTCACAAGTTTCTCGAGATCCCTCAATTTCGGCTTGCAGGGCTTTCATCCTCTTCTCAGCCCTGTCACCACGATCCTTGTTCACCTTGTTATGAGCCTCGTCATTCTGAAGCTTACCGAGCTGCTCGACTTGTTTCTTTCGGAGGACCTTGAGGTTGTCGATGGCTTTCGTATATTTCATGGCCTCAAATATCTCGTCAAATCGTTTCTTCAAAGCAGCCGGCTCACTCAATGGCCAGAGGGATTCGTCTTGGTGGCAGAAAATGACAGCATCAAGAATTGCAGGAGAAACACCGAGACGCTCTGGGATCATTTCATCTAGCTGAGCCTGCCGAGTAGAAGTTGTTGTTCGCTCTCCATTGTTGACTACAACCAGGGAGCAGTCTAGGGTTTTCTGAGAGCGGGTGGTCTTCTTGACGGTAAGTTGTAAACTTCGAGTAGCGACATGTTGACGGTCATTGATCGATCGAAATTGGAGTTTGACCTGGGCCATAACCTCCTTCTCACCACAAAGCTACATTATGTTAGCATCAAGATCTGCTTATTGAAGAAATGCGCATGTCGGCACCTTTGGATCATGAATGAAAGCGCCACCCTTGCTGTTAGGCGGCAGCTCGCCGGTCGTGGCATATTTTAGACACTCAATGATTGTTGTCTTTCCCGATCCATTGTAGCCGACAATAAGAGTAAGAGGCGTATTGAACTGGATAGCTTCACGGACTGAGGGGCTGAAGGACCGCACACCCGAGATCGAAAGCTTGTCGATTCTGGACATGGTGACTACTACCTCATCAGGGGAGCGTAGTGACGGTAGTGTCGATTACGGAGATTATATCATTGACTAATAAGAAAAGCTGCAGTTCACAGGTCACAAGAACGTCGAGGCCTTGGATAAGGTAGACAACAAGTGTCGCTCGTTAGCGTGGATCAGGCAGCTGAAGTCAAATTGGCGGGTAACGCGACGTTAGGTACAAAGACGCGTTGAGAGGTTCGAAAGCCAGGACCAGTCGATGCGTAAGCACGTGCTTGGTTTAGCCGGAGTTCCCGCGGCTTCACTGGGGAGAGAAGATGGAAAGTACCATGATCCATCAAATCTATCACCCATCCTGCCTGCCTGTATGGCCTGTTCACTAATCATTTCTCCAAAATTGGCCAGTTTTGGAAAGCTGTTTGAGCTCAACAATACACTTTAGCATTGTTTTGACGCTGGCGAAACCGTTTCATTTTCTCATTCTCTCATGGCAAGTAGTTTGTGACGTTTCATCAATTGATGAGATCGACTAGAAGATTACGTCTTTTCGACGTCAGCAGAGCATCAAGTGGCAAGTCTCCAGAGACCCCTAAATCAAGCCCTCCAAAGTCCCTGGGTCAAAACACAAGCAAACCACACCAGTCCCGGCGCCACTCCGCTTTGGGTTTGTACAACGTAGACCCGAGACCCCTTACAGCTGGAGCGACAATGCTTGATGGTTCTCCCTGAGAGCCTAAGGGCCTCGAAGGGTCTAGAGAGCTGGAGAAGCAACGAGATACAAACATTTTAGGGAAAGACAAGAAAACTTAGGATCTCTGTCCTAAGTGACAAAAATATTTAGGTAAGTTTAGTATATCTTAGCAGGTCTTTAGACCAGTTGATTTTGGCACCCTAGCTTCATGTCAGAGGTTTTCTTACTCCCCGGGACATTCAAGCAGTTCAAATAGCGCATTTTGCTTTTGGATGACACTAGTTGTGCCATGACAGTGACATATCTATGTTTTCCTTGCATGAAAAACTGAGAAAACAGCAGACTTTAGATGAGGCGACAAATTCGGGAAGGATTTGCTTACGAGGATAGGCTAACGAGACGTGCAGACGTGCAACCTACTATGTGGTTTGAACAAGACATGGCATTTCCTCTTCACCCCTTGGGCATCTCTCGCTCCCCGATGCCATTTTCTTTCCCGATATCTCGATCACGAATCTCTGCAACAGACCCCCGTAACTGCCCCGCGATGATCCCCCTGAACGTCAGACTAATCAGACATCATGAATGCCTACGAGAATCGATATTTCTCCTACGAGCCTCGAATGAGATACTACAAATATTGGTCAGCCACTGTGGATGGTGGCCTACCCTTGGCGCTTGGCTTGCGCTACTGCCGCTGGACCCTTTACGCTGGATCCCGCTAAGGCGATCCAAGGGTGCGCTAAAACGGACTACGCCGATGCAGTCAACCAATAGATCCGGCTGGAGAAACTCCTGTGAGCCACTAGCCCGCTTTTCCCGGGGCATAACCTCCGGCACACTCGTCTTGTCCTGGCTCAATTGTTGGACAAGTGCCCATGAGGCTAAAGACAAGAACAGGGGGTCTTGCCGAGCAGTGCAGATTGGGCCCCGGACACAAGAGGTGACGTTTCATGCCCAGTTCAGTCCAAGACAGCCCGAATTTCCATGTGTGAAAGAATCCAATTCTCCAAAAGTGCCATGTTTTTACAGTGGCTAAGTCCCTGATAGTACCTGGCCACACTTGCTAAGCTGCCCAGCCAGCCATGGCAGTCTATGGACTGATTTGAGATGGACACACACACCACAAGCCTGTTGCTGCCCTGTCATCAGACCCAAGCAAGGGGAAACAATTAAAAGTCGCTCTCAACCTCTGTCTCTGCTGTGAACCTAACGATCTGCACCTTTCAAAGCGATCCTGAGCCTCGCCTTGACTTAGAAAGCGGGCCATTCTTTGTTATCCAAAGACGCTACTAGAAACCGTGGTGTAGGTAGGTGACATGACAGATGGATATGTGCTTGCTGATATCTCATCTCACCTTGCCCCGTCACAGCAAGTTCATCCAAACCCTTTCACAATCTTGCCTCTCACATTCACTATTATTTCTTGCTATACCAGGCGTCCCATCTGAGTACTGTCAGCCAGGTAACTCCAATCTGTGCCCGTGCCCGTGCCCGTGCAAACATCGCGGTCCATGCCTTGATCTATTTCGAGCCCCTTCAGCGCTGCCTCTTCACTTAATTTCATCATGCCAACCACATTTTTCAACTTTTGTTGTTGTTTCTAACATTTTATCGGCATCTAATAGGGCTCCCTTTAACTTCTTTACCACTTTGTTCCTGGCCGATTACTTGATGTTCTTTGCTGTTCATTATCTCAGTGGACAGTAGAGAGGGGAAGCTCGACATCCATTTCTACATTTCGAGTTAGATGTTGAGCTCAAGAATTCGCCTTCACCATACCCAAAAACAAAATTGAAGGGAAAAAAGCGCCAGTACGACCCGGATATATCTTTTCGTTTTTAGGTATTTCTCATGGTACTCAAGCCATCGAAACAATATCTCCAATTTGACAACTTATCCCCAGCTCTTATCGCTACCGCTGTCGCATCCACTGAGTCGAGCGCTGAAGAGACCACCAAGGCCACGCCCAAGGCCACTGGTATTGCCCTTTCTGGGTTCTCACCAATGCAACTACGAATGCTCGACTGCCACATGAATGCGCCGCAACCATGTCCCACGGACCACCTCCACCACCACCTCCGCCCCAGGGCGCCCCTCATCTGAACAACTTCAACAATTTCTACGGTTTCAACCTCGATATCGGTTCTCTCCCCGACATGACGGGTGGCCAGGTCAATTACTACTCCCCTCCCCGCGACGCCGACGCCGACGCCGGGGCTGCGGCCCTATCTATAGCGCCCCCCTTCGGCCAAGGCCAACGCAACCTTGATCTTCGATCATTTCGGCTAACCCGATTTTGTAGATGGGCGCTGATGGTCAGGACAACGATCTTATGGCCATGCTCGATAATAGTATACTCGGCGGCATAACAGACATTCCAATTAACACCGAATCCGCAGATGACTCCAACATGAGCGGCTCTTTCGGCAACGGGCAATCGACAACAGAAGAGTCTGTCGCGAGAGCTGAAAATCAATTCAACACAGCAGCCAACAATGTTCCTGGCGCAGGGCCCCTCCCTGCTGGCGCGTTTGCTCAGATGAATCTCGCTGGTGCCAGCACCCTTACTGAGTTCACCAAGCGAAGAAATTGGCCCGCCAAGGTTGTGGAAGAGCTCAGAGACTTTTTACAGATTCTCGATGCGAACGGTCGCATTAAGTACGCATCACCTAGCATTCTCCAGGTCACTGGATACAGTGTAGAGGAGATCCAAGATGTATTTCTGAAAGACTTGATCCACCCAGACGACCAAGGTGTTTTCGTCGCAGAACTCAACGAATCCATCGCATCAGGCAACCCGCTACGACTTTTTTACCGTTTCAAAAAGAAGGACGCCGAATATGCGATTTTTGAGACTGTCGGCCATGCTCACATTGCTGGCGCCAAGTTCGCCCCCAATCCAAATAACCAGTCACCCTTCTGCCAGGCCGTGTTCATGATGGCGCGACCATATCCCACCAAAAACGCTGGACTTTTAGACTCTTTCCTTGAGCATAAGATCGAAAATGAACGATTAAAGCGCCGTATCGCCGAGCTCCGTCGTGAAGAGGAGGCCGAAAACGACGAGGCGCAGAAGCAGTGGCTGCAGAGTCAAGAGGGTCGCTCAGACATGACACCATCTGAAGGAACCGGCGTCTCCTCGGGAACCTTTTACCGCCCGGTTAGCGAAAGAGGAATGACAGAAGCCGATCGAGCAGCTCTCAATAAAGCTCTTACACGCGAGAATCTCGAAGGCTCAGTCGCAGGTGGTCGACAGGATTCGCTGAAGGATAAGATGGCACGTTACGAAGGGGCATCGCACACAGACACGATTGAGATGTTGACGGGATTGCGATACATCGAGGGCGAACGAAGCCGGGGAATTACGACTGGTAATGCTAGCCCGACCCTGATCAAGGGCGATGCAGGAATTGCAATTCCGATGGAACGGGACCCTCGAACAGGCGATAAAAAGAAGAAGCTCAAGACGTCTGAGGAATATGTGTGTACGGACTGTGGTAAGTGGTTTTGTCGACGTAAGTGGCCTGTTGCTTCAATACTAACATGATACAGGCACCCTGGACTCACCGGAATGGAGAAAGGGACCCCAAGGACCGAAGACATTATGCAACGCCTGCGGTTTACGCTGGGCCAAGAGGGAGAAGAAGAGAACCAGCACCAGTCATCCTCCTACGGTGGATCAATCTGTATAATCACGAGGCGACGAAATGGCTTCCAACGAGTTATCGATCTACCGGCCTGTAAGATGCGTGACACGACCGAAACGAGGGCAGCAAGTAGCAGTGTTTGCCGCGACATAAGACGAGTCGACCAGAGACACGGTGCCTGGGGCACGACGGAGTTTAGGCTGAAATTACTGATTTGGATGGCGAAAAGCGGGATACACGAGACGCTCACAGCCGGTTGTTCACTTGATTATTTTCTTTTTGCAAACTCACGATTGAACTGGATATTTGATTTGTCACGACTGGGACTACAACACAGATACCTGGAGTGTAGGGAGCATTTGGGCAGACATAGCTGACGTGCGCGCCCTTGATGCGCCACGTATATGAATTGACGCATTTTCTATAGAGTGACTGTCGTGACTAAAAGATGCAACGACATAAAACCCATTTACCTCTGGCTAGGTACCTTATTCAGTGTCGCTCAATACAGTCAGTCGGGGTCTTTTTTCATACGTGACGGCGCAGTTCAGCTGAAGCTATGATCCATGGCAGCTGAAATAAGCAACGGCTAATGCTACAGGTCCCACTAAGGCCGAATGGATTGCGTAGGTCGTGACAAGCTCCCCATAATTATGAGGGGAGCTGTAGCTTGTACAGCTGGATCCACGTCAGACACCTCCAGGGCAATCGCAGCAAAGTATTGGATGGATGATACAGCATAACGAACAGTGATACACTCTGGTAGGTAGGCACTGCTAGCCAGAGGGCCATGTAATAAAGGCTTTATTAATTGAGCTGATTGGACGTCCGCTCTCCGAGCTCAATGTACATACAGTACCTGAGACTTGGACCCCTCTCTATTTCAACTTTATCCTTTGCATCATCAACCTCTCTCACATTTACATTTCCCTCTCGATACTAGACAACTTTCAATACAAACATATTTTCCATCCCCTCAAGCCACATCGCAATCATGGATAAGCTCATCAACGCCGCTAAGGATTATCTTGACGACGACAAGGACAAGCGTCAGGGTATGTTCATGTCTCCGTCCTCATATTTTACCTCATAGCTCTTATTACCCCGCCAAGAATCCATGATGCCCCTCATACGACCTCAGACCGTCGAGGGAGGTTAAAGCAACAGCTAGCCGTTATTTTACTGATCTCGACATCTCAACTATAACTCAGACTCCAGATAGCTTCAGCTAATTAATATTCTTTCTAGAACACCAGCAGCAAGGGCATGGACAGCATCAGGGCTATGGAGGCCAAGACCAGGGCTATGGCCAACAACAAGGCTATGGCCAGCAGCAAGGTTACGGACAACAAGAGAGCCAGTACGGCCAGCAACAGCAGTACCCTCCTGCTGGTGGCATCCGTTAGTTATTAACACAGGCTTCCACTCGAGCGAGCGAATCTAACAATACACAGAGTCTCAGGGTGGCGGTGGCTTTTCCAGCTTCCTTGGTGGAAACGTCGACTTTGACAACGCCAAGGAGGAAGCCCATCAGAAAGCCGGATCTTCTGGTGACAAGGATCTCTTTGGAAGCATTCTAGGATCTCTCGGACAGAAGCAGAACAAGCTTGCTGATGAGGACCTTGATGAGGAAGGTAAGTAATCTTTTTGAGATTTCTGTCCGATGGGTCAAGACACATGCTGATGACATATGACCACCAGATGCCATCAAGCAGCACAAGAACACCTACAACAACGACGACTCCCAGCAAGACAGCAAGAGTCTGGGTACCGCTGCTGCTATGCAAGCTCTCAAGATGTTCACCCAGGGCCAGGGCCAGAGCAGCACTGGTGCCAACAGTCAGACTGCGTTCTTGGGACTTGCCTTGGCCGAGGCTAGTAAGGTTAGCTTTGAGGTACAGGACACGTATAAGTCAACGTCTAATATGAATTTATAGCTCTTTGACAACAAGGCTGCATCAGGCAAGGTATCCGAGGGCACGAGCAAGGAGAGCGTCATCCAGCAGGCTGGTGAAGTCGCTTTCAAGATGTACCTCAAGAACCAGGCCGGTGCTGGTGGACAGCAGGGTGGCGCTTCCGGTCTTATGGGTCTTGCTTCTAAGTTCCTGGCTAAATAAGCCCAATAGTTGCTTCGACATGTAGTCACAAGAGGGGGCTAAGCAACACCCTTGATCACCACATGCTAAACAACAATTGAAGGATTTCGAATTCCATTTTCATTTTTGCGACCTAAGTGAAAAACAGCAAAAGCATCATCTTAGTACGACGAGTTTATGCCTTCTGCTTAACCAGATCCGCAACATCCAACCACTCATCAGGTCGGCGCCGGCCAGACTCTGTAGCGTTATGCAAATACTCTTCTGCCTCTGTTGCCCAAGCCAGGAGCTGCTCCTCGCTACCCCATTCTCCTGTAGCCATCAAGCCAATAGAGAGCTTACCCTCACCCTGATCAGGATCGACGTAGCCAACAGGAGCCGAAACCGCAGGTGTGCCGGTCAAGTTGGCTAAAAAGACGTAGAGCATGTTTCGGATGGTCGTGTTGGTATCACTCATGCCATAGGCTTGATCACCAGGGACAATAGGCCATCCGATCAAGGGGCTTGTGGGTGTCATGATAAGAAGGCCAGGGTGCTTCTGGAATAAGTAGGCGAGATGTTGCATGATGAGCTCTCGTAAAGCCCCGTATTTGAGCATATCAGCTGCAGGAGTCCTGGTACCGACAGACATAACGACCTTGTTAGCGGGTCCTACCAGAGAGAGCCAGTCAGCGGGATTGGGAGTTCGTCGGCGGGCTGACTCGGCCATTTCGGTGATACAGACAACACTGTGCGCAAGTTGCGCCTCAGGGATGTAAGGGATAGTGACGTCGATGATCTCATAACCGCACTTATTAACGAGGTAATCAACCGCCCTGTCACAAACCTCTTTGACACGAGGATCAGCCTTGTTCCACCAGTCACGGTAAATTCCCATGACCTTCTTCTGGCCCTTTGGCGGTGGGTCAGAACGAGCAAAACGGCTTTGGATATGACAATCTGGGTTAGGTTGGGACATGACGCGGTAGGCAATAGTCAGGTCTGCGACAGTAGCGGCGATGGGGCCGGTGATACACATGGTGTTATTCATAAACATAGTTCTGTTATGTGTGGTCTTGAGGCCGTAGACGCCATTGAAAGTGGGTGGGATGCGGATACTGCCTCCCGCGTCGGTGCCAACGGCGATGGGGACAACACCAGCTGAGACAGTGGATGAGCCTCCTGAGGAAGAACCGCCAGGATAGTAGGATTTGTTGAGCCAGTTAGTGGGTGTTCCTTGTGCAGCCTGGATTTGTTAGTGGTGTCTTTTTACAAAGCGGCTCGTGCTTACATTGCATCCGCTGGTGTCTGATCAAGGTCAGTAATTGAATTAGAAAGACGTTGTATATGGACTCACCGGAGCCAAGCTCATGCATAGCATTCTTTCCAATGACTACAGCACCGGCTTCTTGGAGTTTCTTCACTGGCCACGAAGATTCTTTCTGCTCCTTGAAAGTCTCAATGGAGGGGTCATATTTCATACCAATGTGGTTATGAAATCCCTTAACATCGGTATCATCCTTGACACCGATAGGTACACCGTCCAATACACCCAGTGGCTTGCCAGCAGCATAACGCTCAGTTGAGGCTTTGGCAGCCTCGAGGACTAGATGATCTTTGCCGTGGTTATCAACCCAGCCATCAGAGTACTTGCCATCTGGTCTGGAGATCTGAGGGAGGAGAGCTTCAGCGACTTGAAGAGGTGTCACTTGACCCGACTTGTACATCTCATGATAGTCACTAGCAGTGTAGTAGCGTGCTTTGGACTCTGCATATTGGGACTTGAGAAGCTTAGGTTCAAAGTCGAGCATAGGCTCTGCAGGGCCCAGGGGAGTTACGGTAGGCTGAGGATGTTAGCTATGTGGCATTTTGTATGAAGCAATGACCTTTCATACATGAAACCTGTAGGGAATATTATCGAGAGCAGGAATATCTTTGATAGTGCCAAAGTGGGCATTATCCCAGAAATATTGTTGAAGGAACCCAACTTTGGCGATGCTACAAGAATTTAGCTTTGGTAAGGGTATAAGCCACAGGATATAAAACTCACAGATTAGCACCAACTACGAGAGGAATGCCTCGAAATGTAGGGTTGTTCTCGACTGTGGGATTGTATGTAGCTGCTGGAGCCTCGACAGGCTTGGGATAGTCGGCAAAGTCGGATGGGGCCATGGTGGAAGATCCGGGGGATTGTGTTAGTCTGGGGGAAGATTCTGGGGTAAGGAGACCCGTGCAGTTTATATAAATGGCAGAAACAGCAGCAAGAACAAGAGTTATGTCCTAATAGAGCAGGTCTGGAGATAAATAAGAGATTCAACTCCCTCCTAAGCTAAGCTGAGCTTAGGCTGCATCTGCCGTTTACGACCCCTAGAACGCCAACCTAGGCTGCCCCACACGAGGTTCATGAATGAGATGCCATTTGCCGAGGCTCGTATAAGATCATGAGAGAAGAGGTGGGTGTTCAGGAACAATCTACTGTTTGCATGTAGCGGTCGATTTTTTGATACGGAAAGACCAATCACACTAACTGCAGCGTATTTCAATATATTTGGACCCCGTTTCGTCCATCACTTGAATTCACAAGCAATACGGCTACCATTGTTTAGAGTAACTGATCCTTGCACATTGAATACGCGAGCATTTACGCGTCAGACAGAGGATTCATCTAGATCAAAGGGACGGATTAGTCAAGTAAGATGAATATTGAACCAATTGAATGAACGATTGAAACAACATAGTCCATAAGGTAGGCAAGATGAGCAGCATACAAAGACCATGTGGTTACCTTACGTCATCCCTAACTAGCACTAAGTCTCTCACCTCCCTTTAGTGCGTTTAGTGCCCCGCGTCACAGCATCGCATCACATGGCATCTTTGTCACTCCTCACTCGATAAGACTCCAACAGCAACAGACACCGTGACCGTTTTCTTTTGATTTAATTACATACATCTCCATACCCTTGCTCTTTAAATCTTTCTTCTAGCAAAAGACTCATTCATGGTCAGCAACATACAGTCTACAAAGCTCTCCTAGGAGCTCAGCTCTCACATAGCTCAACCCCTCCAGGGATAGCTCCGCGATAAGCTATCTACAGGTATCTACAATATCGTCGCCATCAAAATGTCACTCTTTACCGCGCAGCTTTATCCTGGCCGAGCACTGGGCTTCCTAGGTATGGTAAAACATCATAAGACTTAATAACATCTATTGACATATTTACAGTCCTCGGTGCAACTCTTCACGATGTCCTTACCCGTCTTAAAGCTGAACCCCAACGCTTCCCGAAGATCGAGCTACTTTACTCCCCTGACCGACCTGTCACCGAACCCGTTGGCGTTGAACTCCCTGGGAATGGTATACGACTAAGATTTGACGGCCCCGAACAGCGTCTGCGTCTTATCGAGGTTACCGACTTTACCAAGAATCACATTACCTTCAAAGAACGAGATCTTGTAAAACCATTTGCTGGTACCCCTGGATCTCCTTCACCAGGCGACTCGGCATCAGGACCGACCTTCCGACACATATACCATAAACTACTCGGCCCTACGTACGCCGGTGAATTTATTCCGCCATCTAGTGGTCACGATAATGGCATCTATGTCCTGTCCTATCCCGGTGTTGCCTTTAACTTCGCACTTAATCCTTCCGAGTACTCGCCCGAGAAAGACGTAGTGTCGACTTTCGCATCGGCATCTAGTCAAGTCGCAACCTCGATGGCTGTCTTTAGTGGTGATTCCTGGGCTGATGCTAGACCGACTCTTTGGACTGAGATTTTGCCAAGTATCAAGTCAACTACCGTGATTCCTCGAGGCAAAGATGTCTACCCCGACGAAATTTCGCTTGTTCGATTACATGGAGCTGGAAAGATTCAGCTTTTCAGAAAATGGACCAGCAACTCTTTCTGGATCACCCTTGGCGAGACAACACCTCAAGATCTCCTCATGGAGTTGGGGCCTCCGAATGCCATCTATCGCAAGAATGACCAGAAAATGGTCATTCATAAGACGCGTACAGCAAGCAACGCTAAAGGTCGTCCAGATGCTGCTGATATTGGCCGGCCTGAAGATCTCACCGATACAGATCAGTCTTCCATGCACGAGGGGTCTGATGCATCAGACAATGAAGAAGCCGTCGATGATCAGATCGGTCTTAACACGAATAGCGAATGCTTCTATAATTATTTCTATCTTGGGTTTGACATATTAATATCGACTCGTGTACCCCCGTCACAAGCTCCTCCTGGCAGCAAAGTCAGTGAAGCAGAGGGTCAGAACGGCATCATATCCCATTCTCCCGATCGACTAGTAGCCACAAAGCTGGTTCTACATGGCAACATACCTGGCTCATACGAATTCAATCGTCATCGCCGTTGTCGCTGGGAAATTGCTTACCTGGACTCTCTGAATGATGGCAACGGACCGACAGATTCGGAAACGCCTTTCCCGCAAATAGAGGACCGTATGAATGCTGCATGGGCATCTGCATTCCCACGAAACGACTCTCAGCAAAGACAACGCGGCATGGTTCTTAATCGTGGTTGGGGCGATAGTCCAGGCAGTAGTTGTGAGTTCTTGGGAGGGTGGGAGGAGAGCGGCGCAAGAAGAGCAGAAACAAACGGGGATTCCACGACCACGTTGTATGGATTCCCAGGGTTGGTATTTGAAGTTTTGAAGAATGGGCATGTCAACACTGTCACAGTGTTTTGATCTAGGGCGTCACATCTGGATTTTGTTTGGGGGAGTTTATGGTGTTTGGGAAGAGTCGATATAATGGCTCAGTTTTGTTTGCTTCGATACCTCTGTCCATATGATCTTAGATATCCTGTGAATTCATAATGACAGGTCGTTATCCTTTATGTCTCTTTGCTACGTTGCCATTGTTTATGCAATTTGATGAATGGGGCACGAGATGCGGGAAAGTGCGTCAAGGGAGGTAAAAGCTTCTACAACTACATTACTCAGTGCACTGCAGTTATTCACTACCAACCTCAACCCTCTGCACTTTCGCTCCCCCTCGCCAGTTTATACACCTTGATACAACAAACATCTCTCCTCTACGTCCGTAACCAAGAAATCTCCATGTCGACCACAGAAAAGAAAAACACTACAGAGCCAGTTGACAAAGCAGCCATCCGCGAGCTGATCAACGAGCTCGAACACAAACTCGACGCTCTGTACACCCTAAGCGACGAGGTCAACAGAGGTATTCTTGAGAGCAAAGATGCGCTCGAAAGCGTCCGCGAGAAACGCGTCAAGCTACTCAGAGCGCGGCTGGACCGGATCTTCCAGCAGTGGAATATCGGGTCTCTGACTAGCAGCCATCACCCGTACGTTACCTCTGAGTTATGTGCATTCGATGCTGAGTACGGTTTTAGGTCAACTCAGAATCAGAGCCAGAATCAGAGCCAGAATCCAGGTCCGGGTCCAGGATCGAGCCAGGCTCAGACTCAAGCTGGGATTAACCAACAAGGGCAATTCGGTTTGCCATGGTAGATGCTAGAATGGTTGGTATGTGGCATATCTATCTATGGTGACACGGTGGCAGGCTTTTGCTAATGATCCATTAGAGGAAACACAACCAACGAACTTTCTACCAAGAAGATGGAAGATCAGACTATGAGGCAGTGAGCCAGTATATTGCGCTATAACATAGAGGGAATAAGCCATTATCAACCTTATATAACTCACACTCCGAGATCACGAGATACTTATCGATCTTCCGTAGTATAAAGCCCTGAAGTGTATATTGTACTCCTATTTTTCATCTATTACAAGCTGGACTTTCACGGTACCCAAAGTATCTGTAAAGGCTCAACTATTGTAAAGACATCCCTGTTAGCAAGACTATAGTCTCGGTAGTCAAGTTATGCTGTTTCGCTGCTGTCAACATGATCATTTATTGCGCTGGATCAACTGAGGTGTGTATGATTTCGGGCATATGAAATAGGCTCTGGGGGGAGCTGGACTCCTTAGGTGGAGGAGAAAGAATTTCTCGATGCCCTTGCAGGCCTGACTTCAGTCTCATATACAGATTGACTCGCAATATAATTATGCAGGCAGCCTCGGCCCTCCAGGGGTTGACTCCAATAAACTCTTAAAAGGTAATATGAACTTGAGGTAACTTTACAGGTTCTAGAGGAAATATATTGACTTAAAAGATAAGTTTGGTCGCCAAAGGTCATAGGGCCTTTAGCACTTCAAAAGCAACAGAAGAAGATAAGCACATTTTCGAGTGGATTACATGACTAAGGGTGAACTTTATCAAGGTTTCTGCTAAACTGATCTTATACACAAAGCTTTTGTAAAGACGAGTCTCTGTGACTGCCGTTCAAGCCATCTATTCCTACATTGTACACGCTACACCAGGTATCATCATGCTCCTTTTCCTCTTGTCCGTTTCCAATCTCATGCGTATTTCATAACTCTCTACCACTCGTCGACCTCTCCCTTCTTGGGTTTTTGTACCCGCACAACCTTGTCACAGTTGAGCAAACATAGAGGATCAAAGGCCTTCTTGATCTGCAATGACTGTTAGCAAACTGCTCATTTCAATATATGGGCAATATTTCTTACCTGTCGCATAGCGTCAACTGTAGACTCGCCAAGCTCATGAGGGAGATAATCCCGCTTGACAAGTCCAACGCCGTGCTCACCCGTTACGGTACCCTCCATCTCAACAGCCTTCTTGACCATGCGATGCACAACAGCCTCAGCCTTTGCACGCTGAGCATCGTTGTACAGCAGAATGGTGTGGAAGTTGCCGTCACCGACATGTCCTACGATAGAAGCAAATAGGCCACTCTTTGCCATATCCTCTTTGGTCGCCTCAATCAGATCTGGTAGCTTGCTCATGGGCACAGCAACATCGCCTGTCCACACGTGGTCGCCAGGCTTCTTGACAGCTGTGGTACTCCAGAGAGCCTCCTTTCGCGCACTCCACAGCTCGTCCTGCTCTTCTTGGCTCTTAGCAAACTCAAAGGTCTTGCTGCCAGACTGCTTAGCGAGCCCCTGCACTTGGGCAACCTGCTCCTTGACACCGGCGGGAGTTCCGGCGAACTTGAAAAAGAGTGTGGCTGCCTCTGTCCATGCTCGTGATGTCATTCCGGCATCGTTGATGCACTTCATCTGGTTGTCGTCGAGAATCTCGACAGCAGCGACGGGGATGCCCTGGGCCACAACCTTGCTCACACAAGTAGCGGCATGGCGGATTGAGGGGAAACTGCAGACAGCGACGCTGGTAGACTCAGGCTTGACGGTGACCTTGAGAGTAGCCTCAGTCACGAGACCAAGGGTACCCTCGGAACCAATAAACAGCTTCGTGAGATCGTAGCCAGCAGAGCTCTTGCGAGGTCGCTGCCGGGTCTTAATGACAGTGCCATCAGCAAGAACGACAGTCAAGCTGAGAACCCACTCGCGCATGGTACCATAGCGATAGGCATTGGTGCCACTGCACCCAGTGCCAATCATGCCTCCAATCATAGCGCCAGGACCAGGGTCGGGAGGGAAGAAGAGACCCTCATGCCCCAGGTGGTCATTTAGAGCTTCCCAGCCCATCGCAGGCTGGACAACGACATCGAGATCCTCCTTGTGAAGGTTGATAATTTTGTTCATACGGCCAAAGTCGATAGAGATGCCCTTGCGGGTAGGTGTGAAGTGACCTTCGAGACTGGTACCGCCGCTGTAGCCTGTAACGGGAATCTTGCGCTTATGGCAAACCTTCATAATCTCAGACACCTCTTCAGTGCTTGAGGGATAGACAATGCAAAAGGGACGGTCTTCGGGGCCAGCCTGATGAGAGGACCAACTGGATGTGGCATGGTGTTCGAGGTCGTTCTCAGCGGTGCTGACATTGTCCTGGCCGACAATCTTGACAAAGTCGGCCCAGGCAGCCTGCATATTCTCGAGTTTCGTGTTGTGCTTGGGAGCTTTGGACTTGTTGAGAGGCAGTGTTGACGTGGGTTCGGGGTCTCTTGGCCAATATGTACCAAGCCAGTATGAAATACCAACGCCCGAGAGGAAGACTATCGTTTGTTAGATTTTAATTCGGAAAGCGAGTAATTGAGCGTACCAAATGTCACCATCCAGTTCCGTGTAGGATCTGTCATGTTGCGCCACTCCTCGTACTTCTCCCTCTGCTCCCGCTCACGCCTTAATCGAGATCCAATACTGCCCATAACCTGTCCTTGGAACGTCCTTCCCACCTTTGTCTCGTTACTCTGTCGGGTGGGGGTATTCTTATTCGGCCTTTCGGGCTCGATCTCGGTAGCGTAAGAGCGGGAGAAAGACGCAGGTAGCCTCATAGTTCTACAACTAGCTGTGGTGGGTGTCCGCAAGCTCCGAAGAGCAGCACGCTGAGCGCGCAATTGAAGAGAAGCCATGACGACGTAGCTTGTGCGCGGGCAGAGGTTGAAAGTCAGTAGCAGGAATAATTAAGATATATAGGTCGTAAAAGGGTGTAGAGGAGCTGATCGAAGCTGCAGGAGTGTGTCGGGATAGGAATTGGCCGACGAGGAAAGGTCGATGTCGAGCTTAAGTGTTGAAGTCAACGGCAATGGAAAATTGTTAGGACGGAGTTGGAATGCCGCACTATAATTCCCGAACCCCACATCACGGGGCCTTGTTCGGGCGTCTTCAGGGCCCTGAGATCGGCTTCGATTAGATCTGCTACGGCGTGGAGGCCTTTGACTAATTCTCATTGGTTGTGTTATTATATTTACTCTTATACTTGCCTTTTTCGTTATTGTTTCCTCGGTATAATTCAGCAGTCGCGCTGTGCAATGTCCGTATTCTGATATCTTCGATACCGATCCGTACCAGCCGGGCCCGGAGCTTCTCCCTCAATCTTGTAAGATAGGATCTATCGATGGCTGAAAACTGACCAAAGTGGATGCTCAATATGATTTCAAGGATCAATATTGACTATAGAGGGGGCACGTTGAAGAGCAATTATCACATCAAAGCACGTCACCGCCGGCCTCGGCCAATTTCACTATCGTGTATTACCAATGCTGTTGCAATGAACCTCGAATCAAGTCTTTATCCTGTATTGTATGTTTTGAAGCAGTGAATGTTTTCGGGTATCCATATAATGCTAATTGCAATAGCCGAGACGTCAGATCTTCGGAGATTGGCCACCGCCATAGATGAACGTCTCAGCCGCATTCCCCAAAATATATCGCGGAGACCAAGTCCGCTCTCTCTGTGCTTCCATCCCGACGCCCAGAAAACTGTCAAAACTACCCAATCATAAGCTGTATATTGTCCCAAAACTCCGTCCGCCCGTTTTCTTGTTGTCGTTGTCATCACACGTAGCATGGTAGCTCTTCGCATTCAAAGGTACACGAAGTGATCATATGCTGCCGTGTTGGACAAGTTGAACAGTAAAAGTCGGCGTTCCACTCTGCATATGGTCAAAGTAGGCTGCTAACTCATCATCTCCTTGTATCTGAAGGGGTAATTCGTTGCCCTTAGGGTCCTTAATGATACCCTCAATACGAACACACAACGCTCCGGGAAACTTAGTAACCGCGACCTGTCGTAACTCCTGGATCGATTGTGAAGACATTGTAGATATCCACAGGCTGGTATTGGCCGGATATGTCGACGAAGGGTGCAATCGCATGAATACTGCAAAAGAAGATGGTACGGCAGGCACTGAAGGCACAGGCGAGAACATTGTATTGGGCGCCGACGCGGAGAATTGGTGCTGCACGTATTGCTGCGGCATATAGTTTGCCTGTGGTTGATTTCCTAAGTACATCGATGAGCCGTACTGAGCATCCATGGGCACGGTGTTGGCAGCGGACGAGCCCAGCATTCTATGGGGCTGAGGTAGGACACCCTGAGAAGCCGGCATGCCCAGAGCCGGCAATTGTACCTGTCCTGGCCGTTGTGGTGCTGGTGGCTGTCCGGTTGTTGTATAAGCAATACGTGAATCGACTGGCTCATGGACAGGCTCATACCCATTGCTGTCCATGGGTTGATCCATCATCGGATCCGCAGGTGAACTGGACCCTGGGGCTCCCCTGTCTGACATTCTGAAGGCAGGGGGGTTCTCTATCGCTCTTTGGGCTTGTTGTTGATATGTGCTTGGTTGAGCCGCGATGAGATGTGAATCCTGAACAGTATGTTGTGATTTGTCATTCTGAGGCTTGCGCTTTGTTGAATCCTTCTGCTTAGGAGCTTCGCCACTCTTGGTGGTCTTGGATCTCTTCTCGTCGCGTCTTCTCTTGATCACATCTCGAGCGACGATCTCGACTGCCTTGACTTTTCGGCGAGATGATTCATCATTTCCATGAAGGGGGATTGCCCTCATACGTTCTGACTTCTCGAGCCATCGCTTCTTCAGTTCTTCCCATTGCTCTGGTGTTCCATCAGATTTACATGTAAACTTTGCATCGCACAGCACTTCATGCAAAGCAGCGCGGATTTCATGAGACTCTTCTGGGTTGAGACCTAGCTCGTTCTTTGCATCGACGAGAGTCATTCTGGTATCCTGGTTGCGTAGGCGCTTGGTCACGTCAGTGCAAATAACGTCCAAGGCAAGCTGCTTTCTCTCAAGGTCCTCTTTGGAAAGCCAAAGAGCCTGTTGTAGGTGTGGGCGCTCATGAATCAGGCGGTTCTTGACATAGTCCCATCTTCCTGGCCCAGCTTGGGTTTTCTTGACGATGGACTCTTCTTGACAGATTCGAGCAAAACACTCGCGAGCTTCTGCGTAAGTGGTCGCATCGAGACCGAGGGCTTCTTTGGAATCGTTCAAGGTCATTTCAGATGGGAAACGGACAATGTGCTCTGATTCGGTGAGATGTTGACGATTTCTTCGGCTTTGTCTTTTGCTAATCTTGCGTGGTTTGGGCGTTGTTGGGACAGAGTTGGGATCTTCTTGCGCTGAGTTTTCAGGAGCATATGGTGTTGGATGGTCAAGATCTCTGGGTTCTTGTTCAGGCAGTAGAGTGGTCACGTCTCCGTCGTCTAGTGAAGTATCGTTCTCAAGATTCTCATCATCAGGCTCAGCATCACCAGATCTTGCTCGGTCACCATTTCGAACTCTAAGGAGCCAACGATTGCGGGCACGCACTCTCATGAGTTCACGGGAATTGATGTCAAAGCCATCCTCATCAGTAAGGATTCGTAGCATTTCACTTTGAGGAACATTTCTCTTCCATAGCTCATGGATGCGCTTCACAAGTCGATCATCCTTATGTTTTAGTCTTTGTTTTGTAGGAAACTTCCATCGACTAAACTGAACTTGAAAAGCGCGTTTGCTGAAATAGGTCGTGTAAGTCGAGAAGAGCGGTCACTTACACTGAGCACTTACCTCGGCGTGAACTGATAAACATTCTTCATGTGCACCATGATATCCTCGAGGGACCGACGCTCATTGATATAAAGTTGGTAGCACACATCTTTGTGTGGTTCCCATTGATAGACCATGATTCAATACTCCAGACAGCATAGTCTCTTGTGTCTGCGTCTTTGGTCAGAACGGCTCAACTAAAACTTGGAGCTTGTGGAGAGACTTTTGCATTGCTGGTTAATCTGGGCTTCCGGAGTTTTTTGGCTGGTCAACCAGGGGATTAGTCATTAATGTACAGTCTGAAGAGTGCTCAGCACTGTGATGTTAACTGTGCAAGCTGATAACTGCTTGATGATGAACTTGCAACAAGTAATAATATTCATGTATTATGATAAAATTTGCAGAAGGTTCAAATACTACTGCATTGGTGGCCTCAGTATATAATTTATAGATAGATTATATAAGAACAAGTAAGAACACCAACAGGATACATCACTCAAAGACAACCTTCAAACCCATTTGTACCTTATCCTGCTATCCTGGACTTTGGAATAAGCACATATGATAAGGATCAATGAGAGCAGCCGAGGGCATAGGTTGGATAGACATTTTAAAATAATCCTGTTCATATTTTCTAAGTTGACACGTTCTGAACAAATGCTGCTTTTGGTTCTCGTCAAGACAGCAGCGTGCGGAATCCAAGCCGCTTGACGATGACACTGACGATCTCTAGCTTGAACATAGGCCAATAACCTTACATGTGATACTAGCATTCACATGCTCTCACATCATCGTCTTTCATTCATTTACACACTCTATTTTACTCACTTGAGAAGCTAGGAATAATATACAGATACCGGGGATAATCAAGCGACACTCACTCAACGCTTCTGGGCTTATTTAGCTTGCACCTCGGTTCGATCTTGTGAGTCAAGAGACGTTGTCACCATTCCGCGGCTCAACTGAAGAAGCCCAATCAATCCGTCGCACTCTAAATTAACATCGTCCTGACCTCAGCTTCACTCATTCATACTTCGTTTATTACTCACAATACCAATAATCGCAATGGCATCGCCTTCGCTCCCCGACAGCTATGCAACCCTCAACCTCCCAACCCTGCAGCTCTTCCATCATCCTCCCTCTTCCAAAGAAGTCACACATGTCATAGTCATAAAGCTTCACCGTCCTGAAGCCCGTAATGCATTCACCGACACAATGGCGGCTTCGCTCTCCCATGCGCTCAACACACTCTCCGTTGATCCTCGCGTTCGCGCTATAGTTCTCACTTCGTCGGATCCAAAGAACCGCATGTACTGCGCAGGCATGGACTTCAATGAGGAGCATGCGCTGGGGAAAGACGCCGCTGATCATCGCGACTCGGGTGGTATTGTCACTTTACCTATGTATCGCTGCAACAAGCCTGTTATCGTCGCTATCAATGGCTCTGCTGTTGGCGTGGGTATCACAATGACTCTCGGCGCCAACATCCGCGTTGTGAGCCGCGACGCCCAGATTGGCTTTGTGTTTGGTCGCCGTGGTTTCAGCATGGAGGCATGCAGCAGCTTCTTCCTCCCACGCCTCATAGGAACCAGCCGTGCACTTCACCTCACCACCACTGGCGCTGTCTACCCTGCCACTCACAAGCTCTTTGACGGTCTCTTCAGTGAGATTGTCGCACCTGAAGAGGTTCTTCCCACAGCGCTCAGGATCGCGGATGAGATAGCGACCAATGTAAGTGGTGTTTCTGCGCGAGTAATGAAGGACATGATCTACAGGGGAGCCTCGTCGCCTGAGGAGGCGCATTTACTTGAGAGCAAGATATTTTGGGACTTGTTCACAGGTAAGGATGCGAAAGAGGGAATGAATAGCTTCTTGGAGAAGAGGAAGCCGGATTTTACGGGGACTATGGACAAGAATGCGCCCAAAATCTACCCTTGGTGGACGCCTGTTGATATTGCCAGGCCAAAGCTGTAGTGATTCATTGCTGGAAATGCGTCTATTGCTGTATTTTATGGTCACTTTGCTATCTATGCCTTACGAATTGTACTCCGTTTGTTTTGGTGTAAACTCGTCACCAAACTTCTACAGAATACTGCATCGTGATACCCATAAATCCATTTCTCCTCATCCCTTAGTGAGACACATATCTGCATTCATCTTCAACAATAAGGTTCTGTCTCATAACCCCAGATTAATGTCTCCATAGATAGGACTCGAGGAACGATTTAGCGCTGAACCATCAAAAAGAGGTCATGAGATCCATGCCTTCAAGACCCCTGTCTAACTAATCCTCCCCACACTTAGGACCTCCGCCAAGCCGACCCACTCTCTGTCAAAGGCCGCAAACGAACGTCATGTGCAATTGATTAATGTCATGTGAAAGGGAAGCAGAGGAGGCAAAGCTGAGCCACTCTGATACACACGTACGATGGATTCGTCTTATTCTTGGCCCGACACTCGAGTCACTAGAATTGGGGGCTGTGCTACTTCACAGGATGGTTTGCCAAGAGAGGGAGGAAACGTAACGTTAACGTGAGGGAGGCAAATTGCCGGTCATGTCTGTTCATGTTTTGATCCGGTTCTATGGTAGAAGCGCCTAAGCCGTTCCATCCGATATGCCACAGCCGTGCAGGCCGAACTGGAAATGATACTCGAAAAAACAAGAAGCAATGCAACAAATCGTCCCAAATCAAAGAACAAAGTTCTTGAGTTCATCCCGCGTAGCTTGAGTCCGTTGATGCAACCATGCATACCAATCGTAGAAGTAGAAGAGAGAAAAAACAAAGTGGTAAACCCCAACTCCTTGCCTGTAAAATGTCAAAAGATAACGTTCCTCCTGGTCGTGAAAACTCGCTCGTTTCCATGCCACATTGCTCCAAAGGCCGTGAGTGGTGTGCGTTATACGTGGGCGAATGGGAAGTGAGGGATATACTGCTTCCCGTAGGTGAAATTCAAGGTATCGTAGTGAAGGATATGGCTAGCTGTAAATTTGTGCTCGCCGAGTATCTGCCGAGGAAAGCAGTCGTAGATTCATCGGCGAGGGGTATATGGTGATGAGCAGTATGCGTCGAAGGCGCTAGTCTGCTGTCGCGGCTGGTATTGCTGATAGGGAGTTCTGACAACGAATCCCTTCTTTGGGCCAGAGAATTTGGTCTTGAGTTTGGTCTTGGTCTCGCTGGTAAAATTCCCCTATCTTCGACCAAGCTTGAGCAGTCGCGTCCTCAACCACAGAACAAAAGCGGTCCAAGTACTGGTGGTTTTCCGCTTGGTGGTTTTGGTTCGGTGAGTTGATTGGAAGTGCACATCGTCAGCTCTAGCGCCAGGAGTCTGGCCTGTAGGCACAGTGTCGTAGCTGCGGGTACCAAAGTCGACCTTCTCGTTCTCGGTGGTCAACCCCAGACCCACGCCAGTGCCGGTAGTCTTGCGGGAGATCGAAGGCCGAATATCAGTACTACTGGACACACGATCACACGAGATTCGAGAGGTTCCAAAGCTACCCTTGCGACCATTCTTGTTGAAGCGGTGGGCTTCACGACTCTCTGCACGTTCTTGCTTGCGGATCTGCTCACGGGCGTACTTTTCCTCCTTGGCTCGTTCTTTTTCCTCAAACTTACGACGGGCCTCGCGGACGTTCTCCTGGCGTGTGACAGTGTCAACCTCGCTGCGTGAGCGGAGACGGAAACCGCTCATGTCGAGAGAGCTTCGGAGTGGTGACATGGCGTTGGAGGATGTAGACGCAGCGATCATCTGGGGTGAAACAAAGGAACCAGAAGGTGGGCTGGTGCTTGACGCAGAGTCGAGAGCAGTGGTTGAGCCTGTGTTCAGGTGGAGGTCAGATCGGCTGCGAGTCACGATGCTATGGGGCTTTCGCGCAGATATTCCTGGGGCAGCGCGGCCGTTGGTAGTGATGCGCAGCGGTTGGTTCACATCTGATAATGAGCTGGTGCGCTGACTAGCAAGAGAGGGACGGCGGGGCCGGGAACCAGAATGATAGGCACGAGTCGAAGTCTGAAGGCTCTGAGAGTCGATATTGTCCTCGTTCTCAGTTATCGTGGGAGAATAATCGCGAGGTCCGGTGGTATTGTCCAGGGATGCGAGCGAGTTGGCGTAGGAGAGAGGTGGTGTTGAGGTGCGCGGCGTTTGTTGAAAAGGATGCACAAAGGAGCCGTTTCTGCCACCGCTAGCAGAAGTCGCAATAGAAGCATGAGAAGTGCCACTGGTAGAGCGAGCATGCCCGTGCGAATACTTGTTTGAGCGAGCACCTCCATTGCTCAGATCCGTGGCCGATATAGAGAAGCTGACATCGCGGGCGCGGGCGGCAGGTGTTGGCAGTGCTGATGCACCTGCCGTATAAGACGAGTCGTCGCCGTCCACATTATACGAGGAATAACCAAATTGACCCTGCTCGTCCCAACCGCGATCCAAATCGAGGGAATTCTTTTCCGAGTGGGAGTGGTGCGATTGCAGTTTCTTGAGGATTGGCTTCACAGCAGGTCGACTGCGAGGTTTTGTTATTTTAGCATGTCCATGGCCGTATTGATTACCATGTCCGAAGCCGTGACCGTGTAGGTGACCCGGTAACGAACTGCTGGTCTGCGCCATTGCCATTAAAAAATAGGCAATAGTGTAGAAGAGAGGTTGAAAAAGAACCCCAAAGGGTTTCAAGGGGTGTCAAAGAGGTATACGAGGGGTTTTGTGTTGTGTTGTTGGTGTCGCTGCTGGTATTGGTCTTGGTGTTGTTGGGCGTCTTGTCGCCGTTGCACGGATACGGGCGCAGCGCAGGCGGAGGGTGAGGAGTCTGTCGCACGCCCAGCGTATATCTCAGAGCATCATGAAAGAATTTGACTCCTCTTTTCTTTCAAGTTGTACAAGGAACAGACAAATCACCTCCACACACACAAAGGTTCTTCACAGAAGATACACTCTCTTCGCTCTCTCAACGACCAGCGTATGCAAGTAAGTAAACAAGATAAGAAGAACGGAGCGACAACAAGGAAATGTCGCAAAGAAAGAGAAAAGACTCGGACTGGTCGGGTCGGGGAGGCCTGGCCTTAGAACTATCAGGGGTGTTCCCAGGTCCTAGAGAACCGAGAGTAGGTACTCCGTAGTGGGTGGGGTTACTGCTGTAAAGGAGGAGTCCGGGCCCGGCGGTAGCCCAATTCAACTGACTCTCACTTCTGGAGTCGAGTCCCTAAAAAGCCAAGGAATACCAGAGTTTAATGCGGCGATAAAGCCAAGACAAGAGTTGAGTTTTTGATTTGGAATGATACAAATGAAAGTCGAAAGATGAGGGGAAAGAGAAAACAGGGGGGGTAGGACGGTAAACCCTCTGTGTCTTTTCTTATTCTTCTGCCTGTGGCCGTGTAAGAGGCGGCAGATTACGACGGTGAAAGCGGCGGAGGCAGTGGAGGTCGATTTGAGAATGGCGGTGCGGCCGGAGGAGGCAAATACCGGTCAAATACCGCTGTACTCTACCTAGCAACCACTATCACTCAGCACTAGATCAGCTCAGCATATGGGAAGGATACCTACAGCCTGGTACTGTACCTACAGTAGGCTCTTCAATCAGAGACACTCTAACCTTGGGTAGAAAAACTGGGTTTCGGTGGCAGCGAAGCCGAGTGATTGAACCAATGTCAAGACGTTCTAGGCCAGATTCAGCCTCATCGAGCGCATTGGCACGTGGGGTTTAGTGGAGAGAGTTCTTTCTTGTTGAGTCCTTTTCACTCCTCTCTTCTCTAGACTCTTCCTCTTCGTCCACAGGCTGTGACGCTGACCAGGGATTGGCCAGGGTATCTGGTTCCGTGGGTATCGCCAAGCCAACGTCGGTCTGCGGTCTGCGAACCTGCAATGATGTGATCGAGTGCCGTTGTCCCGTTACAGTGGTAGTCACAGTAGTATTCGACTACAAGTTGTTGAGAGGCGGTAAGACAATACAAGAGATGTGATATGCGGAGGTTCCAGGGGCCAAAGAGAGATCGAAGCGGTCGGGTCGCAGATATTCACATCAATGTCTTGCTAGCTACCTAGCCTACAGTAGAGTAGCGGCAGATAACGACACGGATAGATAGACGTGAGTGAGATTTGGGGGCGTTTGCGGGGGGATGTATCCTTGGAAACTTAGGATGCAGCAGACCGTATCTGTCTCGATGGAGGGGGAGTGTTGGTCCAATAGGAAGAGTAGGGACAGATGATGATGCGCTCAAGTCTGAAGCACAGAATGTTGTGTACAGAAGAAAAGAAGAGAAGATATGGAAGAACTCGAAAGAAATGCGGTCCCGATGGAGATGTCACTCACATGCACTTGTCCCCCCTCATGGACTCGAGAATTACCTACAGTGTAATATCAAACTCATGACGCTTCTGATCAGACGAAATTGGGCGATTAATTACTCTGTCAGGAAGCGAGCAGCCAAGACAGAGCGAAATGAAGTTCCCAAGGTTCAACCAACCGATTGGTTCGCCAATAGCCTCGCCAGCTTTGCAAGGATAAAACTGTTAGGTGCCAATAACCTATGTAATCTGGGCACACGCAACTCTGATAATGTGATTCTTGGTGTTGTGATTTCGCTCCCCTCGAGTCATCCACTAACAATTACACTCACCTTTTATCGGCCCTTCTCTAGTAGATACATTGAGCCAAAGAAACAATATGGCTTACAATTGTTTTCAGCCTTGTTTCTCTGTCATGTTGTATGGGTAGATCTGTCACAAATTGTTCCCCCTCGTTGCATCATGTACTGTTTCATCCGTGTTGATCCCCCGGAACATCAGCATCAATAACATCATCACCCCGTTTCATCCATCCGGATCTACCAGCAACGCTTCTGTTTGCGGGGGGTTGTCTCGGGTCCTGTAACGCCGTGAGACCAACCGGGTTCTCTATTCACTGAGGCGTAGCGATCGATGCCTGAATAATTTCGTTTAAGCATCATCAAACTTTTGACTACGCGATTAATTGATACTTTCGCTTCTCTAATTGCCTCGTCTCCCGTTATCCCGCGTTCCTTATCTTGGTCCCGACCTCGAATTCGTGGCTCTCGACCCCTTGTCTCTTGACACTAGTGGTCGATCATTCGCTCTAGGCCAGTCCAATTTGATGTCATCACTGATTTCTTTTTGTCTCATAGTAGGAATTGACTATTGATGAAAGTGGGAAACGTGGTTTATGGGGCTTATGCGTCTATCACTGTATAGATTTGAGTTTGATTACACTTCAACAGCACTGCCTGAGATCAATTACGAATCCTTTGATGAATATACCATAATGCCTTTAACCTTTTGACAGCCACGTGTTCGTCATTCCTCGTCCCTATGCTTATTCAAGAGGAGGGGAATCCAGACTGCGCCACCAGACTCCTCGTCATCAGGTACAGAAACGCCATTAACCGTCGTCTCCTGGCGATCACTTCTAGACTTACCAGACAATTTTCAGTCAAGTGAGGCAAGAACCCTTCTCGGAATTCCATACATTCGACAACCTATCCAAGGTCACGCGACTTCAAGTCTCGGCTGGCCACCACATGTTGAACGACCTCGTCAGTTCATGCTGGTCTCACAACTAAATTCCCCTCAAAAGGGTCCTCAACTGGCGTCTTTTAACTTGCGCCACAAGTCGATAGCGTCCATGAGGCCTGGGTTTCTCCTCATTGCCCCTCTCTTCATAACGGACCCCTGCCCCGCCTCCGCTTCTCCTCTCACCTTCGCCTCAATAGATTCGCAACTCCTCTCTCGTGGTGAAGTCAGGTGGAAATGGCAGTCAGATTAAGTTATCAACACGCCTCAGTGACATTTGAGCTTCGTAAGTGACTAGTACGTGGCCATCTGCCTGTGCATTACGTTACTCTCTTAACAGGTTCCAGTCCTAAGTGGGCAAGTCTGCCTCCGTAGCTTATTGTTGGTTGAGACGTGCAGAAACACCTGCAACTCTCCCCAAACGTCTCGCGTAGAGTCTCGATGTCAATATCATTCCCCATAGTATCCGTTCACCTTGTCCTGTTATAGTACTCGGAGTGGGGAGCTTCTTGGCCATCTCCATATTGTCATGCTAATCCACTAAGAACAAACAATATTTGGTAAAATGACATTTGTATCCACCAGCTAAAGAATTGTCTTTAGGCCATGACCTCACAGTTATGTACTAGGTGGACTCACAAGTAATCCTCTGCGATTGACTATCATTTGCTGTGGAGACTCCAAGTCGTGTTATAGTTTGAAGTAGAAACTCAGTGAGTTACGCCGGAAACATCTGAGACATGCAAAACAAGTTTCATGATGATCGGATATCGGCAGTTCTGAAAGTCAAATCAGTTCAGGCTCCTTGCTTGTATAAAGATAGTATGCATGGTATTGCTACGACTTCAATACAGGCTCGATTGAGACGATGCAGCTATGTAAAGGAGTCTCACTCATTGAGTCATTGAGGCTCAGGCCAGCCTAGACATCAATACTCTCGAAACTTTATCTACCCAATAATCATATGTATCAGCAAGCTCTAGACCGGAGAGCTAATTATGCTATCTAGCAATATATCGTGAACCTTCTTGAATTGTCTATGCACTTAGTCATACGTACACGCATCAACCATCATCATGACTCCATCTTCAAACACAATGCCCCCCATGAGAAGACCCCGATACTATGTTTTGAAACACGGAAAGGCCCGCCTTGGCTCCTTCGTCTGATGAATTTGCCTGTCTGGTCTCAAACAATGTTTTCGGTGTTGGTGTTTCATGATGTGTATTGGGGAGTCTCTGGTAAAGTGTGTAAGTCTGGACTAGCGACGATGGTATTTCACGCATACTTATGCGTTAGAAGGGACTATTCTATTCAAATCTTTTGATACGAGAATAGAACTATTACAATATTGATTTATTCTTGAGCTGTGCTGGTCTTGAATTTCAAGGTCGATCACCGCTTCACAAGATGAAATTAGGAAGTTACCTTCTAGTGAGCTTATTTAGACACAAATACCTGCCAAAATTTCAATATAGTGTTCACTAAACGGCTGTAATCTCATTGCCTAGGCTCTATTCCTTACAATGGTTATGTCAAACCAGAGTGATCTAATGATATGTTTCCCATCGAGATGTAGCCATGTCACTAACGAATGCCAGCCTACAAGCCACTTTATAGATTGTAGTCCCAGGGAGAAATGCCCACGAGATGTTCTTAGAGTATTAATCCATCTTACCTTAACTCGCTCGCCTGAGAGGTCCGTAACTGGGTTCTAGGGGACAAGTGATACAGCTTCGCCATCACCGCCACCACTCGTTACTGTGTTCAACAAAGCCCTGGAGCTTAGATGATTGTTACATGTTGCATAACTTTGAAATCTCTCCTTCGTGATTTTGTACTGGGGGGGTTCCTGCCTTGTCTTGTCTCTATTTGACTTACAATGGTATGCCGCTTCAGTATAATGTGCATCAAACACCTTGAGACTGGAACACACAAGTATAAGGTCACCACAATGATTAGGCACTCGATTAAATGGTGCTGATTCATTATCAGTTCAGCTTTGTTTATGTAGATCTTGCTTTGTTATCACCACGGCTCGACATGTCTAACATTTCTCATTCTGTCGGCGTTTCAACCTGATAGACCTTCGAGTAACTTATCAATACCGTACTCACTGTCACCTTGATGACTTAAAGAAGCCTCAAGGCCAATACAGCGTATGCGGTATTGACATCTGGTTGAAAGCCTGGATATGTTGAATTCTGGATATGAGTTTCTTGCATATAGGGTAGTTAGTATCAACTGTTACAAGTCATGATTCCAGTTAACCTGGGCTGCAATATAGGCAGGATTACTCTATAGGCGAAGTAGAATGCTTAAACATACTGATTTAGACGTTCTGAGCCTCGTGTATGGGCGTTGACTGTGTTCTTGGACGAGGAAATGGTGTATTCAGTGAACTATGGTTTCAAATATGTAAGTGTTTGACTAACTTCGCCTTGAACTAGAATATTACCGAATTATTGATCACTGGAAAGTAAGCTATATTAGGTATTAGTTACGGCAGTGATATCTTATTTTGAATATGGTATACCAGCTTCGTCTGATATTTCATTACACCAACTTCCACCTCGCGATGTAAAACACCATATCTAGGTTTCGCGATGCGTGACTTGGCGCCATATTAGACTGCAGGGAAAAGGCATTAGTGCAGGTACAATGAGCTTTGACCTATGAAATCGATCAGTTATGACCAAGTCCACGATGGTAGCTCCCATGCTGCATGCTTATTCCGACAGCACATCCGGCAGCACCTCGTGCTTCCCCGAAGCATGCCAATGCCCCGCCATGACCCGGTGCGATCTGGGAACAAAAGAGCGTCGTTAATAGCCGTCCATACGAAATATATATGTATGTGCCTATGATACAAGAGAGAAGTTCTAACGGGGAGATGGTACGAGCGGTTATAAACGCCTTGAGGCAGACACTTGAGCTTCGAATGACCCCTTCGCAGTCACAAATCACCGTCTCAAACAGGAGCCTACTCTCTCAACTATGACTGATACTTGTGTTGTATCTGAATGTATTGGAGGCTTAAGTTGACAAGAACTGCTTCCAAGTCAGTGCAGAAGTCTCATAGTATGCGAGAAAAGATTCAAAGGAGAGTTGGTGACTAGGAGCGACAGACAAATTTGCATGTGAGTATAAAGACATCGAATATAACTTCGCATCTAAGAGTACGAGCTCAGGGACTGGTGAACGACCTTCTATTAGAACCCTGTTTGAGAAGCTCTGTATGGAGACTTGATACTTGATGCGCCGACCCATGTTTTGAACAAGCTGCCCTTTCCTGCCGACTGACATGTGCAAACGTCCTCATGCATAATGATGCCGGGTGAATGACACCAAGGCCGTGAAGCCGTTGGCTTTCTTATCTGTGTATTCCTTTCATCGAAGCCTGCCACTTGAATCGAATCAAGGTCAAGGTGCATATAAATGAATGCAACAGTGTAAATTCTTGACTGGAAACTTTTCGAATAGGTTGGTTGCGCCAACGTAGATGTCATTTGATCTGTATAAGAACATACCGAAATGCGAACCATATTGACCAGGAGGCTGAGGATTCAGTATAACGGCGGGATTTGTACCAAGTTGACGTTACAGAGCGACAAGGAAAAAGTAGTCTATCTGGTTTGGAGAAGTGAGCGTCAAGATTCAACCCTGTCGACGTTGGTTTAGCAAATACTCCGTGCTTCAATCGTTTCTCCCCTGTCTAGCTAACCACCCTGGCCTCCGAGTAAAGCTAGGGTTATCCCGGCTCCTCCACAAGTTTTGTAGCACTAAAAGAATAACGGCAGGAAGATCAGCTTCGTCTTCAACATTTTGAAAGTGATATCACAACGCATTGTGAATATGGCCTTTCTTGAGGCACAGCTTTTGATATACCGGACCAACAACGCCCGGAGCCGTTTCTTGTCACTGCATGGTGGCGAGGTTACTAAAGATCTGCGAATGAGGGAAAAAATACCTCGAGCATGCGCCCATGAAAATGCCAATGGCTCCATAGCGGCAAATCAAGGTGTAAATGTGAGAGGGTTCAACAATAAACGAGCGGCATCAGGATCAGGGTGCAGTGGGGATCCCTGCAGTCTTGTCTTGATGGGCAGACTCCCTCCGAGAGCCTGTCTTGAAAAATGCTGTAAACAAAAGGTCTGACCCACCATGCATTATCGATTGGCTTTGATCGAATAACAGCACTTATGCTACCTGTTGCGTTGCAGGTAATGGTAAGTTGTCTTTGAGCTCTGAATGCCATTCGAGATTGAATTGCAGGCAAGCAACCTCAAGCGCAGCAGTTAGGAGCACTGCAGCACCTTTTTGTGAACAGCTGCAGACTGAGTGACAGTTATGTCTCAACATAGTGGTCAAAGCAACGCTACTCGGATTGGATATTCTGAGTTGCTACGTTAGATAGATAGCCAAGCAAAACTTGAGACCTACAGGAGCCAACCAGCGAGAAATATGGCCGATGGTCTGCAGTAGTCTGCAGGACGATAACTATTGCCGAAACTGTCGAGCTGCGTTGCGCCGCGTAGAACTTGACTCGACCTTAGACCAACGGATGCTGGCTGATAACTAGGAGTTGATTGAAGGCTCCTAACAGGACAGACGTGCGTATAATACCCACATGCTGGAGCGCACGCGCCAGCCTCTGTGAGCCTAGATCACATATGGTAAGGGCTCGGGATCTGGCGACCTTGACTTGTTTATCCAGTGTCGACTGAGCAACAATTACAGTGGCTCTTCGCTGACAGTGGAGTCGGTTTCTCAAGGACAAGCTATGCAGAATTGCAGATGAGGAACGAACGACTGGCCCATCTGCGCCAGCCGTGGGAGAGTGAATGGACGGGTCATTTTGCGGCTCATCATCGATCAGGAAGGACTGGGACAATGTGCAATCGACAAAGATGAACCAATTGGAGTATATCATGACCGACATGCCACTAGGCCTCGTTGCTATCGATTTCCGTATGTGCACGAGCAGGTGGTAGTGCTGAGCTATTTTTGCATGGAAGTTGAGCAGACCTTCTTCGTGTCTGTAGTTCCCTCTTTTGGCTCAAACCGGTGATATTCGTTTGGCCCCAGGCGTTGTGGCACCGTCTTGGCTGTCGTACATGATACTACACGGAAGACCCTTGTGGTGCCTGTCTCAAGCAAAAACCAACAACAGGCCATGTGGGTTCGAGCATCGCGAAGAAGTAGCAGATCCGGGTATGGTGTGATTTTACGGGTTTAGTTACCATCTGCAATTGCGTACGACTCCTCCAGACTCTATGCCCGTATCGTCAGCAAGGTAACTCCAACGAGGACCAACCGCATAAAAGTGCAGCTTCATCATAAGAGGGGTCCAATCTCAGAAATACAATTTAGTAATTTGCTGGGGTAAAAAAGACCAGCCACAAGCGGCCAGGAATTCCGCTTCCTCAAGCAGAACAGTCCAAAACGCAGCGAAGCAAAAGAAGGCTGTATTCTGATAGACAGCGCAGTGGCATATTGTACTAAGCCATCCATACAGCGACATCTGTCATATTACACCCAAGACTTGATATCTCAACAGATAGCAGCTAGCCACAGATCATCGGCTTTGGTGCGTTGCACCGTGCACTGACTCTCAAAGCTGCCGATGCAGGTAACACAACTATCATGACTGGAAGAGAGAGACAAGGGACCAGCGGAGATGATGCAGAAGCAGACTCTTGGCTCTTCTCGGAGTCTTTCAAAATGTAAATCTCATCAGCCAGCCGAAGCCGAAGAGGATCCGCAGCATTGCAACCCTGCCGCCTCTGTTTAGCTGCCGGGTTGGTCGATCTGCGGTTTTGCAGTGTCCGCTGGTCGGTTGTTTTCTCCAGGCCGGTTTCCTCCCGCCGAGCATAATCGGCCGCGGGTCCTCACGAGTTCCATTGGAGGTAGGCAACGCAACGCGGCAGCCGTCTATGGGCGGAGCGGATCCAATCTCGACGACTCGAGAAGGCGAGACAATGCGAAGTGATGTGATGATGCATTTCCTCTGGCCACTTCATACATGCACTGTCCTCTCTGTTTGTCCTCTCATTGTCTCTTCCTGCGTGGATAGGGCACGGGAATCCTCTCTGCACCTCAAGCTACTTTATTACTTGACTCGGAGAAGGATATCCATGCTGATCCATGGTGGTAGATGTGGAGGTGCATGTTGACGATAAAGAAAAGCGAAGAGAATTCGTAACAGCACAGCGGATGTTTGAGGGTACCAGATTGTTATCTAGACGATGGGAGTGACATATCTGAATCATTATAGAGGTACCTCAGCACTAATTCGATGAAGCCACCAAGATGTCAATCATCAGCTAGGAAAATTAGAAGACGTAAGTTATGCAACCAGGAAAGGCACATAGGTAGGCGCATTACCTACCTCTACGTACTAAGGTCGGTTCCCCACCATTTCTTTCCTCGACAACTAAGCTAACGTTGACCAGACAGGGACCTCGGATTTGAGGTTATCTGCACCTTCTGTACCACTTTCCTCCGGACCATCCATGATTCAACTAGCAGGAATCTGCCCAAAGAAAATAGAAACTCACTAGTGCTGCTCATCCCCCATCTTGTCGATTACCTCGAGACCAAGATTGATTTTAGCATGGACCTTCCCTACCTCAAATGAGTTTATCTCATTGCTACGGAAGGAATCAGCCGTCTTCCGCTCAGCTCCCTTGTACATTGTGTGATATCGCTCCTTCGACCTACATGCTGCATCTTCTCCATACATACGCTAACATCTCCATACTTCGTCCAGTAGCTGGCGCGCATCAGGGCCCAGTTCCTGCATTCAAGGATTCTTAGCTTGTACGTCTATGATATCCGATATCGAAGGCAGTCCTCCGTACTCCGTACAGTAGCTCGCTCGCCAATTGTCCCTCCGCTCAGTGGCTTTTGGGTTGGCCAATGGATCAATGATCTTCTCCTCGTCTGTCGATATGCAATCTCGAAATACATATACATAGCTGTATCCGGCCTCTCACAACTGCAGCAGCAGCAGCAGCGCTGCAATTTGCTCATTTGCTCATTTGTCCAATGCATTCCACTGGATTCATTCTGAACCTCAGATGCAAGATGCAAGACAACCACCTCTTGCTTCTGATACGATGAGCCGGCCTGTCGCACCACAGGCGAGCGGCTAATGGACTGGCATATCTCCAAGTCAGGTTGTGCTTTATGCTTTATGTTGCAGATTGATGAGTCCCTAGATACATGCATACAGTATCCTCGACGACCCTGGTTCATGTCCAAGCCGCCTCCAGCTATTAACCCACTCCCCACCAGATCCTCACCAAGGCAATGCGATGCTGAATGGTTGTCTTGTTTTTGTCTTGGCTTCTTTGGACTTTACTCGCTCGCGCCAGCAGTAACGAGATCCACACGCTAAACACGAACAAGGTCCCATGTCTCCTCTCCCGTCCGTAGCCATCGACGCCATCGAGGTTTGTGTGAACCCTGCACTTTGGACCCCAGAGGCAAAACAACGAAACGACAAGGACCATGATGTGCGCCGCGGGCCGAGCAGCACTGGCCAAGTGCTATTCAATACCATGACATGGGCTGCTACCGGGCACGAGACATGACTCTCATGCGCCTGCCCAGAATCGGCGCCACGATGATAGGGTCTTAGAGAAGCGAACGGACATGCTGGAGTTTTCAAGCCAAGGCACTGAGGTACCTAGCAAAAGATGCTAATGTCGACTCCACGCTTGCGAGCCTGCGCCCCCATGCCCTGTCCTGAATACAGTCGCAATGCTCCATGTCTATGTACAGTCACCCCGCTTGCTCAGTCGCTCCAGTATTTCTCAACAGTTTGCAGTAGTAGCATGGAAATGGACAACAAGAGAAGACAGAAAATAAAACCGTACCGTTCTCGGTAGTAACGCGGCCGGGGTCGGCGTCGAATGAGACTCAAATGGCTCTCAGTAACACATCTCAAATAACGCGCGCCAGTCTCTTTTCTCTTTGCTGTGATCTCAATACACCCCCTCCTCCAATCCCATTTGCGCTACTAATTAGCTACATAGTTGTGCCCTCTTTAATCCCCCAATTCGAGCCGCCGCCGCCGCCATACATGGCCCCTCCAACCCTCTCAAATCATCCAACCCCTCGCTCCCCACTGGTCCTGGTCCTAATGCAGTGAGCGCAAGACCAATACACCCCTGCTGTCTTGTCCGTTGTCCAGAACAAGATCAAATCTCGACAGACTTGCGCGCTTGTCTCTACGTACATAGTTGCCGCCCTACCAGTGCCACCACAACTAGGTACACACTACGATGGCCCACGACCTCATCAAGGACCCTCACTACTCCATGTTCATGCATGGTCCGTTTTAGAGACGGGGTTTGGCTTAGGTATATATCATAGACCCGTTCCCCGTCTTCACCCCAGGCTGTTATCATCGCCACTACCTCTTTTCCTCCTCCTCGCCCTTCTTCTACCGGCCAATTCCTCTTGTCATGGCCATCTTTGAATAATTCCTTTTCCCGTCATTGTATATTATTCCGGTGCCTCGAGTCTTGCAACGGTGCGACTGTGTCTCTCGTGCATAGTGTGTTTGCTTTGGTACTTCCAGCGTCTCTGATTCACTTTCACCACAACACAATCATCTTGGACGGTCAACCACTATCAATTCCAGATTACGAGACACAAAGTCTTGTTTTGAAATCACTTATAAACCCCTCCTCGCCCTTACTCTTTCGAATCTCTATCCTCGTTGTGTAGTACCCATCAACAGCCGTGTATCACAAGAACAGTTCTTCGCATCGCGGGATCAACAGCACCTCCTCCCACCTATCAACCTCATTGGATTTCGACACTTAACAGCTTCAGCATGTCCGAATCTGAGACCCAAAGTATTGGGCGCAGCCATCTTCCTGGCCTTGCTGGGTTATTAGCACTGCCAACGCCTTCTTTCAACTTTTGGTATTCAACTACCTTTTGGCTGTACCTTTTTGTGGGCCTTTGGTAAGTCATTTTCAATATCTTCAAATGGAAACTACGTTTCTCAACAAGAAGGCTTTTATGAAGCCTTAAATCTCATCATGGCCAACCAGTTCTAACATGATCTCAGGGTCCATCGCTATCTCCGTCTTCTAGTTCATTGCGTCAGCCATTGGACATATAAGTCGAAGCCCATCCCCAGCAAACCGACATTCACGAGTAAGGATGTGACTGTGGTCATCCCAACCATTCACAATGCTTTCGAGGAGCTGCGCCCTTCTCTTGAGAGCATTCTCGCTTGTGAGCCTGCCGAGCTGATTCTGGTCACAACGCATGATAAGCGAAAAGACCTCCAGCGTCTGGCAGACTCCCTGGTTTTCCCCAAAGTCCGTGTTCTGGATACTCCTATTGCCAACAAGCGCCTGCAGGTCTGCGAGGCGCTCCCCAAGGTCGAGACTCCCATCACTATCATGGCGGACGATGATGTGACCTGGCCCTCGACTCTTATGCCCTGGATCCTCGCTCCATTTGAAGACCCTCAAATCGGCGGTGTAGGAACTTGTCAACGAGTTCGACGGGAGCATGATGGCTCTTGGTCAACCAAGGCCTGGAACTGGTTGGGTGCAGCTTACATTGAGCGTCGAAATTTTGAGATATCAGCCACCCATAATATCGACGGTGGCACCTCATGCATGTCTGGTCGTACCGGCGCCTACCGCTCTGAAATCCTCTCTAGTCATGACTTTCTCCACGGCTTCAAGAACGAGAAGTGGAGAAAGTGGATTTTGAATGCTGACGACGACAACTTTGTGACTCGTTGGCTGGTAAGCCACCAATGGAAGACATGGATCCAGTACGACAAGGAGTGTGAGATCGAAACAACTTTGGAGAACAGCACCAAATTTTTGTACCAATGTTCTCGTTGGGCCCGAAGCAACTGGCGAAGCAACTGGACCAGCATGGTCACTGAACGCTACATTTGGACGTGAGTAAAAAGAATTATCTGTGGAAAATTTGTTCAGAATATCTAACAAGAAACAGGCAACAGTTGTGGTGCACATATGCTCTTCACTTCGCAACTTTTACTTCGTTGGCCTTTGTCGTTGATCCGCTTCTCTTAGCTTCATGCTGGTGGGGAACTGCGGACTGGGATATCCAGAATCGCCGTTACGCGTTCTGGACTCAGTTTATCTTCATGTTTGCGTTCACGAAGGTAGTCAAGCTGATGGGTCTGTTTATTCGAAACCCAAGCGATATCATGTTCTTGCCCGTTTCCGTCACATTTGGATATTTCCACGGATTGATCAAGCTGTACGCCCTGATCACTTTGAATATGGTACGTTTCGATAAACCAGTGCCGAAGCAATCAACTAACTATCTATTGTTTAGACTTCATGGGGTAGCCGAGCTGATGGAGATGCAAACGATGAGCAGCGACTTGCTCCCGCCCCGCAGCCTTCGATCGTTTTGAAGACTCCTCCTGGCAAGGGTTCGCTTATTCGATATAACGCTCGTCAAAAGGGACGGCAACCGCAGGCACAGCAAGTCGCATGGGAAAAGAGCGACTATGCCGCCTATGATTCAAGCACCTCGTATGTGCCCATACGAGTGCACACACCAATGGCAATGACGCCAAACAACACCAAGCTGCACGCGAACGAAACTTCGATCAATTCACAGTGTTGGGTAATTTGACCTGGCGATGAAACGATTTGATGAGGCCATGAGTAACGTTTTCATTTTCACGTGGGAAGTTAATTGTCCATGACCAATGGTTAAATGGAATGACGAAAATCTTCCTACCTCTTCTCTTTTACTACTTCTTGCACACCACACCACAGCCACCACCAAAAAAAGGACGGATTGGGGACACAGATGGGAGGCCTTTTAAGAGGCCGGTTGGGCAAAAGTTCTTGCTTCTTAGGGGGATGATGATTATGCTTTTCCAGTCGACGGCCGCTGACGAGGTTGAGAGTGTCACCTCCTTGGAATGAGATATTTCCGAAGCAGATGAAAGACACGTGGTAACCTGAACAGCGAGCTTTGCTGGGCCAAACGATTTTGGTGGGAAAGCAGTCAAGGCTATCATGACTACTAGCTTCTTGACTTGCTGACGAAACCCGAGCGAGAGTCATCTTCCCTCGTTTTGTAACAATTTGGGATCATTTGGGATTACGGATGGAGGCTATTCTAGGTGGTGTGTGAGACTCAAAGGGTACACAAAGCAAAGCTAGCTTTAAGGCATGTGAGAGTGATAATCAAAACATTGGGAGATATCTCCTACCTGACAATTACTTGTTTATGGCCTCTGTGATCTGACCTTCCTTGGTTCTGAGGCGGGTTTAACGGGCGCAGACATTTCATACCCAGTTAAACCCACATCAAAAACAACAACCTGTTAGTTCGCAAGGATAGATACAGACTCAGTAGAGACATCGAGTAACCTAAAATGGCATCGTTGGCACTAGCTTCGAGTTTAGTGATGACAGCCCTAGCCTAAAGAAGAGAGTGAAGGATGGTCAATGGACTGGCAATTAGAGATCCACAGCACCACCCACAAAGTGATTAGTTTCATAGTACGACAGCTCAGATGGTTTGCAGACAGGCCTCGCTCAGATGTGACCTTGGTCTCGAGTATGGCACACCAAAATCTTGCATCTACTCGACTGCAGCAAGCTATATTTGGCTTAGGGCTTGACGTGTTACACTCGCATCTCGCGCAAGTGCCGGAGGTTGATGAGACAGGTAGCCACAAAGTCAAAAAGGAATTAATTATCGCATCATCTCTGAAGGTTTTGATGCACACATAAAGCTCGGGATATCCAGGGTCCTGCCCTGTTAGGCAATGAGTCCCAGTCGGAACAACGCGAGTCGTAATATGTGGCATCGAGGGCAAGCAGGAACCACTTTCGTGTCATTGTCAGGCCGGGTTTCCCTGATCACCGTTGCATCTTCAGCGGGACTCAACTCGAGATGAGGTGCAGACTCAGACAAGACAAGGGAGTCTGGTTGGACAAGACTCAGAGTCAAGAAACAAGCCTGTAAGCCCCCACCAAGTGTTGCATTGTATACGCTCCGCTTCCCCTCCTTGTCGGCCGAACCAAGACATCGATTCCATTTTCAATCTCCGTGGCCGTGACAGCTATCAGGCTAGACCATGTGTCAACCCAAGAACCTCGCAGCATAGCGAGTGTGAATCACGAGCACAACCAGAACTCAAGGGAACAAGGCAGAATGGAAACGTAATGAGCCTGCTTGGGTGGGGAGGGGTTTGATCGAGTTTACTGGAGGACGAGTGCAAGATAGACGCCAAGCACAGAGGCTAGAGTTTTCAAGCCAAGCTAAGCATTTGTGGACAGCGATCGTCTGCACTTGGCCTCCTTTGATATGGATATGGATTCTGACGCGGGGTTTTTTTCTTGATATCCACTTACGGAGTACAGTACAGGAGATATCATGATGTGAGATGGACAACGCAAGGTACCTGATGTAATTCTGATTAGCTGAGTCTCAGTCTGGGGGTACCGAGTATAAGCCAGGCTAGGCCAGGATCACCGTGATGCGACTGGCTTGTCAGCTTAGCATCAGCATCGTGATTATCCTTATACCGTTCGTTGTATCATCTCTTCTTGAATCTAATAGTACGTAATGCATGTAGTGTATAGCTGTGTATGCATAGACTACCAGCTGCAAAAAGAGCGAACATGTCTGATGGTGTGGGTGTCGAATATTATTGCAACCTTGGGTGCATGATGAATTACGACAGTTGTCCACCATGTATGTCGTTCATCATCATTGTCGTAATGCCATGTTTGTTCTTGTCTAGCTTTCTGCGGGCCTTGGGGCTCTGCTATTTTGGTGTGCGGCCGGCATATGACCGTCATTGGACCGGCTCTGTTTGAGAAACAATATTCTTTTGCCAATAACAAGATAAGCATTGTATTAGAACTTGATTTTAGATGCTATTGCTGGCGTAATGTCTTGCGTGAGCTCACGAGGCCCATCAGGAGTTGCAAAGCTGCATATCATGTTGGTTGACCATGGAGAAACATATCCAAACGATATCCACAACGAATGATGTCTGTGACGATGTTTTACTCCTAAATCCACCTCACCAAAGGACCGATCCTGCTTGTGTCACCAACCCAACCTTTGGCAAAGGTTGCAAATACCCCCACAACCTTGAATCTTTTGTTTTGCATAACATCATCCTACATCGAATTGGATGCAGGTCCCTGGTCGCTAATCCTCCGGGAATAGTCCATCCTTTTGCAGATCTTTCGTCAGTCAGCGAGTGACCAATGCCATTGATACAGAAGGTTTACTGGAGATTCCCCTTCTCTTGTCGTATCGCAACGCTCATAGCACAACTAGCCCCACGGGATGGGACGGATAGCCACATATCAGAAAAGTCACTGGGTAATCGACATTGCACATGCTGAACCTCGATCTGGCTGTCGAGCCAATGTCCCTGTTGTGTTTTATCCAGTTGCTGCGCCATGGACCCTTGCGAGTGGCCCCGTTTCCCCTCTTTGATGGTGAAGATATCGTCGTGGGTCCAGAGCTCGGACTTCAATCGGCAATAGCAAGGGTGGCACGGGTCAATCGCGTTCGTGACGCCAAGGGAAACCCTCTGACAGGGTTTTCGGTTGATAGAGAACTACAACGGCTATCAAAAGTCGCATCAAGCGTTCCTGATGTTTCGGAATCGCATTAGTATGTGGTTTATCCTGCACAAATGATCCCCCTCTATCATACACAGAGACCTGCCGACGTTGAACGCATGTAACAACATAATGCATACATATGCATGTCTTGGATTTTCGAGGTGCTTTGTTTCTGTAGCACATGGATAAATCACATATTTCTGCTCAGACGGCCCGGAACCCGATGAGGTGATCGAGATGCTGAGGTATTGACTTGGTTATCTGCATCTTGCGGCAAGTACTAGTGGCTATAGTAGGTGAATCATAAAGAAACCACCATGCCTGTCGAGGTACAACGAATTATCTCTCATTTTCAGTGTTGGCTGGTGATAGGTTTTGGTGCAAGGTCGAGATGCCTAATCGAGTGATAGCAACAAGCAATGGTCAAAGCTTCTCATGGCCTGTTGCCTGATGAGGCAACTTGAGATCTCGTACCGAGCGGGATCTAGACAACTAGGTAGGTACGTGGTACATCCTTTCCCTTCCATGATGCCTATCTTTGGGTGCTACCTTAAGGTAGATTGCAAGGCACTCACTCTAGGTAAGGTAGGCAGGTAGGTAAGGGTTGGAAGGAACCAATTCAATCGACTCGGGAAAGTAGTTCGCAGTACGTACCTTCCCTTGGCTGTTCATTGGGCAAGGACTTCATTGATTCATCAATCTCCGTTCTCTCTTCCCGTCTCCATTCTTCATCCCTACAAGCTCAACCGTAGTCTCCTCTTCTGCTACTGTAGAGATGGCGCAAGAAAAGACCCCGGCCGAGATGGCGTCTGACGATTATCGACCCTCTAATGCAGTTCTAAGATCGACAAGTCTGTTCGCTCATCGCCCGTCAAGTGTACACCCACCACCCATCCCCATATGCTTAGCTGCAGCTCGCTATCGGCCGGAGGCGTCACATCGTCAAATGCTTACCCATGACCAGCAAAGGACGTCTTGGTGTGAACCCTGCTGTTTTCTCAGGCACACTAAAGCAATCAGAGCCAAGAGTTAATACTACAGATTCCGTCCCTTCCCGGAAGAAATGTCGCACAGAGATCCTGTGGCCATTGCTTGTGGCTGCGGCCGAGTTCAATGTATTGACTGCCGTGCATTGTTGAAACGAAGCAGAACGAGGAAGGGTAAATATCGCTTTGTTAGGAAGCCGGCTCTGCTTGACTTCTGATCTCTCCCGGCCGCAACTCGCCTATCAAGTCGTGCAGATATATGGTCTCATGCGTTAATTACTTGGCCACAACTGTCACTGGCTCACATATAACTCTGTAAATGCACTGAATTACTCGCGGTCTTTATGCACAACCCGAACGGTGGGCGGAGGTGCGGCGGCTTACCATCGGTCGGTCATCGCCCACTCTTCGGAGGACTGCTTCAACTCGCAAAGCCGCAATAGCCGCCGGGCCGGTCCATTTCAACATGGACCCTTGATGGAACTTTATGTGTCGCTGTTGCGAGGAACTTCCTCCGCGTTTACGTATTATCAAGACTCGATGAATAAGTATGCGGACTGGGGTTTAGCAAGTCTACGGCGCAGAAACTGCTAACCTAGTAGCGCAATGTTTTCTCCTTCATCTATTGTCTATGCAGGTTGTTGTCTCAAAATCGACTGTTGAACATCCTAACTGCGCTACCTAAAGAACCTAGCCCAAAATACACGCGATAGATTTTAGTGCCTCGAGGAACCCTGGCAGCGTCAGACCAGGCTAGCGTGGCGCACTACGGGTGTGTTTATATCATCAGCGTCCGAGCGTGCATCCTGCAGGCCATGCTTGCGTCGCGCCGTCCTTCTCCACTTACTAAACCAAGCGAAGTTGGCATTTTGGAGGGTTCGTGTCGACAACACATCGAACACTTGTGGGGGAGGGGATCACGATAGGCTGTGAGCGAGCCGGTGGCAGATAGGCACGGGCTTGTTCTTTGACCACCATCCTGATGCTAGCTCCAGATGTCATAGCTTTGATCTCTTGTCAGTGATCTTGTGGGCACATCGCGTGATGTGCGATGTAGAGTCAGTCTGAGACATGTGAATGCTGAAATCGTCCCCTCGGCCATTTTCTAGATCAATGTCGCCTTCTGAATAAGGTAGGTCTTCCGCGCCAAGAAAACTACTGATATATCGATCAACCGAGGTAGTGTTTTAATACAATGATATGCATTATCAAAACCTGGGGTAGTTGAATTATGCCTCGGACATGGTGATGGCAAGGTCGCTATCAAACACAGATCAAGCAATGACGCGAAAGATATAACAAAGAACAACGTGATGTGACCTAGGCCTCCTTTATATACTTTTGTTCGAAGACTAAATATGGATCTTCTCCCATGAATCAACCAGCTAATATGGTGATCGCCTCAGTCCGCGGCTCAATCCCCAAGATCACAAGGACATTTCTTGTTTACGATACGTGATACAAAATTCTATTTTTATGACCACATAGCACGCTGCAATGTCTCAAACGTTCCCTTTACGTGGTATTTCTTTGAGATTTTCGTCAATAGACTCAGAGCTCTTATGGTGTTTAATTCATACATAGTCTCTGTTACATGACCGACGTGATGCTCGAAATACACATATCTCGATGTAAGTATCCAGCCCGAAAGGGCTAAGGGGCAAAATAACTAGGAGCAATGGCAGCTTGAAGACATCATATATGGACCAGGGCCTGTGCCAGAAGGTCAGCACTGCCCGGTGGAAGACGTATGCAACTCGAAAATGAAGGGCTGTCACTATATAATACAGCCCGAGAAGATCATTCGTATAGTCTCTGCATTGAAGTTATCGACGCCCCTTAACTGCAGTGGCTGTTGCAGAAAGGAATCGGGGGATAAAGAATGGAACTGTTGCATTGACTCGCTAGTGACACCCAAAATTACAAGACATATTGAAAAGTTTCCTCCCATAGTCCAGTTACCCATCAAGACCTAATGTCCAAGAGGCTCAAACATTCTCCCGCACCAACGTCCTTGATTTGTTCTCTCGTTCCTTTAGACTGAGCCTCCAAGATACAGGATGTTCTGCTTGATGGGCTCAGTAAGTGTGACTCGTCGAGTATAAACGTGTGCGACAGTGTCCCCCCAAGCATGAGGATGCGGGAGGGGGAGCTCAACCGTGGCGCCAGGACGAACGTGCTCTGAAAGAATGACAGCAGCCAGAACGGGAAGGTATGTTCGAGCATAGCTGAGGCCTGAGAAAAGTTAGGCATGGTTCGCGGAGCCGTAATGCTGAGGTTAAAGGTTCAAGTACTTACGTATAGCGACAGGGCCGCAACCTTGGCGGGAGCCTCTGCGCTCATAAGCCGGCGAGTGCTTTGCATCTACTCTAGGGAGAACGCCATGGGAATGACGTCTTTCGTGAGAGATTCCGGGGGAGGATGCTCGAGAGCTGACAGAAGGAGGTTGAAGAGTGACAACTGATGCACGCCTATTCTCTTTATGTCGTTCAAGAGGGCTCATAACTGGAAGTGTAGCTCTTAACTCGTCCAAGTCGAAGGTTCTAGTGAGTATAATTGACTTCCGGCCAGGCGAATGAACAGCCACACGGGTAGTCAAACGTCTCTCCGAAGGATAGGGCGAAGACGCTTCTGCGTCACTCGAAGATAACTGAGACAAGCGACAAAGCTCAACAGGTAGCACAAATATCTCAGGCTCACGAGGTCTGTATGAGGCTGCGATCCATCGCCGACGATGATGCTCTCTTTGTCGAGCAAGGTGCATGGCTCTGGCGTGAAGAGGACCACCAGGGGCAGATTGTCGGCGCTCATAGTCGACATGACGGGATTCACCACCTCGCTCTGCATCTGACTCCTGAAGCAACATGCTTCTTGTCTCATCTGCTAGAGTAGGTCTTTGAAAAACGGGAGGAGCTAAGAGTGGCGCAGAAAGGGGAGAGCGCCGAGATGGCAAAGTGCTGGGGCCTGGGCTTGGGAGAGAAAGAGGTGCAATGGGTCTCAAGGAGACATTGCGTAAACCGGACTCAAGCTTGGGAAGATCACGCTTTCGGGGTTCTTGCTGATCAACTTTTGTATCATCATCCTGCTTCATATCATCATCTTCGCGCTCTCGAAGTTGTGGAAGAGGTCGGCTGTGGGGTGATAGGGGTGAAGGGGTCCATGACGGGCTCTTTTGGATGATACGGGATCGCAAAGATCGGACATTGAGACCAGGGCCTGAAGTTCGGATAGGTTCTATGGATGGACGAGGTCTGGCTTCAGAGGCGACTGTGGTCATAGTTGATATGACGAAGAAGAAGGAGTTTCACGAAGATATTGGACAGGCTATAAGTAGGCAGACAAGAATGAGACATAAACCAGGAGTTTGACACTGCTGGCTCTGGAAGATGGGAGAGTGAAGTGTTATGAGGAACAAGGAGTAGCCCTCCCTCCCATGGCAGGATGATAAATATTTTATTATTGGAATAAAATGGCGCTCGACCTTAAAGAAAGGATGACATATGTGCTGCTCATCTGCCCCAACATGCTCTGACTTCAGATATTTCAACACAAAGGAGTTAGCCATATGGCGTTGGCGTAAATCTTTGACGAAATGAAAGTGTGTGCTTGCTAAGCCAGAGAACAAAGAAATGCGGCTTGCTCTAGGCAATGGATGCCGACATGATGAGTCTGCGTCCGCGGGACGGAGCCCGGTTTTGGTTGGCCTCCCCGACCCAGTGGCCTGAATGAGGCGCTGGGGAAAGCCTGACCTGTCGAATATCGCGAGGGTACCGTGTTCGTTGGTGTGAGGTTGAAGACGGAGACTAATACTGTGTAGGAGGCGTATGAGGTTGGTGGTGAGGATACACGTGACAGGGTGTCCTGGCTAAGGCGCAACGTCTCATTGGCTGATTGGTTAAAGCTCCCTGTCCCATCGCCTCGGGCCCCTCCATCTCAATATCCTACAACTTTACTTACACGTTACAACGTGGTAACTTCATTACGAACAAGGCTGACTTTAACATTACTTGTCAACTTTTGCAGATCTATTGCCTCCACCGTCTCTTTGTGCCCGAACCTCTACACTCTCCTAAATTATGCGCTGAGGCTTGCCATCATTTGCCGCCGGCCATGTCTGAATCCGGGAGCTACAAGCAACGAAAGGAGGACTTTGTGTCCAATCTCTCTGGCGGCTCTGTCGCAGAAATCAATTATGTTACATCCGTTGCGGCTGTTGGTACCCCTATTCCACCCGCTCATACCATGCTGTGCGTGAATAGTTGCTAATTTTGAATTGTTACAGGTAGCGATTATTCTGTGGTCCGTCCTCCAAGCCCGCCAGTCCTTCTTCGAACCATATACCGTACTCGCATTCGCTGTTGATTTCCTCCTCAACGTTGGAGCCATTCTCCTGTCAATAACTCTCTATTCAAAATCACCGCTTCTTCTGAACCTTCTTCTTATTGCGCCTGCGATTCTCATCTTCGTCCTCCCACCTAACTCTACAAGTCGAAAGAAGAAGCTCAAGGCCCCTCCAAATGCGCGGTCCAAGGAAAACTCCGGGCAGCTTGATATCTTATCAACGAAGCCTTTCCTCACAAACTTTCGCGGTTGCATGATGATTGTCACCTGTGTGGCCATTCTTGCTGTCGACTTCCGCTTGTTTCCTAGACGGTTTGCCAAGGTTGAGACATGGGGTACTTCTCTGATGGACTTAGGTGTTGGGTCCTTTGTCTTCTCAGCCGGCCTTGTTGCGGCTCGTCCTGTACTGCGCGAGAAAGCGATAGGTCGCACAACAGGCCGGGCAACACCCCTTTCCCACCGGATCGTGCATTCGCTGCGCCATTCTATCCCACTACTAGTGCTAGGGTTAATACGTTTCCTGAGTGTTAAGGGTTTGGACTACGCCGAACATGTGACAGAATATGGCGTTCACTGGAACTTCTTCTTCACCCTTGGTTTTCTGCCCCCATTTGTTGCCATCTTCCAGTCAGCTCTGAAATGGATTCCTTCATTTGCAGCCCTGTCGTTGATGGTGGGCGTCACATATCAAATTCTGCTTGAAACCACTAGTCTCAAGGCGTATGTCCTGACGGCGCCCAGGACCGACCTAATCAGCATGAACCGGGAAGGTATTTTCAGCTTCATTGGATACCTGGCAATTTTCCTTGCTGGGCAAGATACGGGCATGTTTGTCATTCCCCGTAACATCCCCCCTAAGAGTACCGCTAGCCCTGGAGCCCAGAGGAACACCCTTCTGATGACCATGGCTGTTTGGGGTGGTGTCTGGACTGGACTCTACTTGCTCTCCACGAATTATCACTACGGTTTCGGCTTGGCAGTATCCCGTCGCATGGCAAACTTACCCTATGTTTTATGGGTTGTTGCCTTCAACACCTTGCAATTGTTGGGTTTTGCGGTCATCGATACGATATTCTTCCCTACCTTCTATAATGCACAAGACGCAAAGACGGAGAAGGAGGCTTATATGCAAGCCACCAGCCGTGTAATCCGAGCATACAATCGTAACGGATTGGCCATCTTCTTGTTGGCAAACTTGTTGACTGGCTTGGTCAATATGACAGTCAACACACTGGATGCTACTCCCGTACTGACAATGGGAATATTGGTTGCATATACCGCAACGATCACAGGGGTCGCGGTGGCATTAGATGCTTATAATATCAGCATTAAGCTTTGAGCATGGCATCTGGCATTTTGATCTCACATATCTAGCGCAGCATTTCGTCGGCCTTGTGGTCATTATATAGGTTATTTAATAGAACGTGGTCAAAATACGCAGATAATGAGTTGAACTCATGTTAAATCTATTGGGACACGTTGATGCAAATGCTAGAATGCAACTTGACCACACTCGACAGTCGCTTCAATAGCTAAACTTCCAGTGGTTCATGGTTAGGAAATGTCGTAGCAATTGCGCATGACTTTTTAATGCATTGAGAGGTGAGTTGCGACAGGTTCGCATACCGTGTTGTTTCTCGTACGTGTATGCCTAAATAAGACAAGGACAGAGAAGTTGTGTCTCTGCTAGACGCCAAGGGGTAAGTTCATGCTTCTTAAACAGATCTCAAAGGACACATCTCTTTCCAGGATACCTCAAGACAGAACCAAGGGCTGTTCTATCGTGAAGGGAAGGCCTCTCACTTCATGATGATTCCAAGCCAGCTTCCTTGAAGCTCACAGGTAACTTGGATACTACTTCGAACATATGCGAATATCACCATAGCTAGTGATAGATTCAGTTCCTACGGAGATTGCTAAGTAGTCCTATATGCAGAGTATACCGCATGAGCAAACCTAGTCATGACTGCTATGGGAGCATGAATTTATCACAACTATCGCATCAAAGATCAAGAGTGACATTGAGAGCGTAGATCCAGAGGGGAATCAAGGCCATGACTAGGATCAAGTCATGCGTTAGAGATGAACTGTCGAGTGGATGTAACGCGATCTTCACTTATGCAATTGCGATTGCGGTTCAAGACGCAAACATATTGGGGATCTGGGCTAGGTACCAAGGCCTTATCGACGACTAGGATGACTGGCCCGGCATGTCACTTGGCGGCCCATTATGACCAGGATGCACGCGTCGCGACAGGAAGTGAGGGGTGATTCCAATTTCAGCTGAAATGTATATAACGTACCATTTATACATGACATAGTAACTCAGCTGAGAAGGGATCTATTGAAAAGCAAAGGTTGATAGCCCATCATGACAGTGGAAGCCATGTCTATGAGACCCGTACCAAGTTTGACGTTCATGAACCAAACACTTCCACGTGAAAATTGATCTCCAGTTTCCACATCGATTCTCCCAAAAGAAGGAATCTGTTTCTGGAGACGGCGACGCCGGAAAATGACGTCTGAAACGAAGAAAAGAAGTCAAAGCAACCTTGTCAAGCTCAAATTCACGTCAGATGGATCCCTGTCTGCTTTACGCGTAGCTCATCTCCGGTATTAATGCTGCTCTTGGACTTCAACACCACAAGCGCAGCCTTATTGTGCAAGTTCCCGTCGAAAAACAGTCGTGCACGTTCAGATGACTTCCTAAATGTGTGCTATTTCCTCATCTGCCTTGGTCCAGCACGTCAATATTAGATAAAAAATATATACCGTGGCGTCTAAGTCGCGGGAAAATAAGAGATGATATTAGGGTGTTTCAGAAGTCCCTGGGAAAAAAGGACTGTCTCGGGATAAATGGTCAATACCAACATAGCCTGAGAAGCACATGTAATATAATGGAACCATTGCTTGTAAGCCGCAACTGAGATTTTGCTGTGGTTGAAGTCATCAAAAGAATTCGGTTGTTTGATCTGGGGAAATGAATGACAAGCGAGATTCGACGCTGATCAAGTGTGCCCAACCCCCAGAGTCATGAGAATCTATGCATGACATTCGGTTCAAGCAAGGTCGAGGAAGAATCCATGGGCTAACCCCCAGGGAAGATGCTGCGAACAAGATGATGGCCTATATATCCTAAATTTGCAACACATCATCTCACGTTAAGGAGTAATAAGTCCTAAGACTGCCTATATCAAAAAGTGCTATTAACTTGTGCCAAGGTTTAGAGCCCTCTATGTTTTTCTTTATTCGTACGTAGTTCAAACTCATAACCAATTATTCACTTGAAGGTGAGGTCACCTTGCCATCGCTGTAAAATAATCTCCTCGTTGGCATGTCTTGTGTGTGTTGGGTAACTTAAAAAAGCTCCGCTCCATAAAAAGAAACCACTGCTTCCAACAAATCTTATGGCGTAGTAGTGATAACTCCAAGAAGTAAAGTGCGCTCGTGACGAGCCTAGTGATTGTGATGTGTATGCCGAGGTAGGGAAGAACATGTCGAAGTTGAAAGTTGAACCTTGGCCCTGGGACATCACATCTCGACAGCTGAATCAAGGTTACATACATTCTGTGGAGTGAGAGAATTGCACAGTCAAATTATGGGGAAAATTGATTTGCTATTGTGTGATATGCTTCCCGGGCTTACATAGTATGATTGCAGGCTTGAGAATGCAGCCATTTACACCCAGCTGAGTTCGACGAGCGGAGCAAAAGCTCAACCCTGAAATCGTCTTCATGTATATGCACGAACCATAGCACGGTTTCGCTACTTGCATCTTAACTTCTCGAAACAAGTGGAAACTTGACCTCGAGCTTCCTTTGTTCTACGTGGTGCGGGCTGAATACGAGGAACAAGACCATGGACGGGCCCAGGCGAGATGGAATGAGTTGTTGGAGCTGGAGAAGACGGTGTTGAGCAACCTGATCAACAAAGTATGGTACCTTGCCCTTGATGCATGCAGGGAACTAGAGGGAGGATTGAGTTGATGCGCCCAAAATTATAATTATGATACGTACATAGTGCATGGAAACGGCTCCTCGTTATCCGTCGTATGCACCCATGTAATGCAGTTAGTTGGCTTGGAATCTTGGACTGTCATCCATCCATATACACTACCATCGACGGCCTGACCGACAACTTGCTCACAATATCGTGACGCGGGTTGCCGTAAATGTCATCAAGAAGAAGAAAAGCCAAAGCTGAGACCACCCACCTTCAGAGAACAACCCCCTCGCAAAGCCCACTTGTAAGATTACTGGTCAATGCCTCGCATCACATACCGGGCATTTTGTCCTTGCCTTGGATGTAAAGACCGCCCTGATTGAGCTGATGTTCCTGTCAGCATGCGATACACGATATTGAGTAGATGTCCGTAATGACCGACGTTGAGATTATTGGCTTCAGGCACCAAATTCAATTCCAGGTACGCGACGTCAGACGAACAGGGACCTGAGAGAAGGTCTCGGCTGGGCA